TTTTTCTTGCACGTGGAGTCCATCACAATAATCTTGGTGAATATCTCGCACCGTATCGAGCCTGTGGATATTGGCAAAAAAGGAAACGCGGTTAGATCATATCCTCCCCTCAGAATATCATGTGGTGCACACAATATGTTGCCAGGTCATTCAGTAAAGTCTGTAGGGTACTGCGGCCTTGCAAGTAGCTTTACAATCACTTCTTTTTCAATTTGGAAAATAACGAGATGTTTTCAATAAGCTTCCACTGTTGCTTAACAATACATAATATAAGTTGCTGCACTCCACTATTTGACAACCTTTAACTTGCTGCTGCTGTGGGTTAGACAGCTTTCTCATACTCGCAAAAGCTGAGATTTTGTTGGCACACTCGTGATTGTGATCAGTGGAATTATACTCTGGTTTTTCAGCATTGTTCTTCCTCGCACCCCGTAAGATATGTTTCACCATTGGCGACCAAGTATGTAAGTAATTGTAATGAGAACTCCGACCACGTAGCCTTCCGCCCTATCTTTCCCCCATGACTGCAATCATCCAAACAGTTTCCTTCTTCAAACTTCCTAATTTACTTTGGAGCTACTTGACACGAAACCCTTTTACATATACAGATTTCAGTATAGTAATCTGTGCGTCAGAAAGGATACATTTGGAATCTGTCAGAGCGAGTGTTGCACCAAAAGATTTACAAAAACAACAACGAATGGGTTTATCATTTAAACATGTTATATTCGCGAGTCAGGGTGACGATACCGGTTTCGAGGGGGCTCAGTACATTGAGCTATAACGATAAACTAATGTTGATTAGTATAAATTGTCCTATCACCGATGTATCCTTTTACGAATACTACTTTGTCTCAAATTTTTTAGGATGGGTACATTATGTGAACAAACATGAGCTACTATGATTGGATATAAAAATCACATCATTTTTGGTTGGGTATGTATGGCAACTCATCACCACAGACAAGCTGTTTTAAGGCACTGGCAGCAAGCGCTCGCCACCTAAACGAGGCCGACGATTTTTGCGATGGTAGCATATTGTGTTGATCATTTTCTACGTCAAAGCTTCTTTAGTCATTTTTCATCGCTTCTGGACTTGTTTGTGATAGATTCTTCATCTTGAAAGGAATGGCTAATCTGATACTTGGAAAAGAACGAAACTAATGTAAATTATGAGTGCTTGTGTATCATCTAATATCATTCTATATTTAACACTTTCTTGATACTTCTGCGAAATTATGACAGAAAACTCACTCACACTACATCAATTCTGTTCATTTATAAATTCTGTTGATTATGCTATCACGCTGCTATAAACACGTTTAAAACATCTTGCCCTGGTGAAGTCCAACACTTCTTGACTTCAGAGCATTGACAAATATAAATATGCTGAAAACGAGCAGACAACCACCGTTTTCTTTACTTGGGTCGTGTGAGTGAATAGGCTCCAAAATTTGCATAAATCGCTCCAGAAAGAGCTCTATACGGTGTGAGATCGTCTCCAGCAGTGAGTATAACTAAACTGTCTGTACAATCATGAAAGGTAGATAATTGTTGCGAGCCCGAAGGGTGAAGCTGGTGACTGTGCGCAAGCTGATTGCCGACCTTTTAGAATCGTACTTGTCTGTGTGTATGTAAATAATGCGGCTTGTTGTAGCTTACACGTACTATGTATGATCTAGCCTTTCCCCTCCTCATGGTTGCTACATAGGTACATTTAAAGTCACTTTTCGGCTAGGTCACTATTGTGACACACGCTTGTTTTTGGCTTCATTCGATCAAAGGTGATTGTGATCATGTAAGCAAATGCTCAACGCTCATAAGCGAAGGATGATCGCGTGTCCGAGTATACTGTACTATGTCAATACAGACATTAACAGCATCGTACGCATTCTACAGTAAGTACTGCTTTTCGAAAGTGTTTTACAGTTGGATTCGGTTCTCCGGACTGGATGACCTATATCAAAGGGCAAACTCCAATGTTTGCTCCCCTATCTTATAGCTAAACTCGTTGCTGTGAAGTTTATGCGCATTAGTTCAAGGAAAAATTTACACTGATCTCTAATTGGTGCACAGAAAGGCAATTTTTACTCACCGGTAAAACGCTCTTAGCACTTTTGTCGAATAGCACGCGCTGTGATAGAATGCGTTTTGAACGCGTAATAATCTATATTCGAAGGGAAAATCTTATACACCCAGGCCTTGTTTTCGAAACACTAACGTTCGGTTTATGCTATCCATTTACCCTATTTTTCTTATTCAAGCAAACGCTAAAAATCCATTACTCGCTTTGATATGTTGATGCTAATGGTGCAACACCGCATGCGCGCACAAATTCTCAGCTGAACCGCATGCTATTAATTTTTCAAACTTTGCTATGCATGTAAATTGCTGGAAATTTTAGGTTCCTCAGGGTACACAAAAGTAATTTTCGCAACGAGCGAGAATCCCCTGGGCGATACGACTGCAGCAACGAAGCCTTATCACGCTTCCTTTTCAATCGACTTGCGTATTGCCACGTATTCGGGCTTACTTAAAAGAGCCCAAACCAGATGAATTTTGTCTGCGTTCGTGTGGGTGCATTTCGCAGTGCGGACATGCTTGCAATGTGTAAAGTGCTGCCATGTAAATCATCCATTACACGCTAAAGTATGATTAACGTAGCCGAGTCCACGACAATAATCGGTCCAACATGTACATGCTCTGGACTTCATGGTCCTTGAGAAATTCCTGGTGGTTAGTTGCTCTATATTGTGGTCAAATAAACGCCACCATACAATGGTCTCAGACCAAGTTCCCGACAAGGCTGAGCTGTTAACACATAATTTACAAGGTGAATACTGCTTGTGGATTATTCATCCTTACATGCACCACAATGAGTGTTGAGCACATGCATTTGCGTGTGTCGCGGTTTTGCGTGACCGATGAGGCTTAAATTGAGCATATTGGAAACGCGAAATTAAGTACAGGACCCCGCTAGTAAAGCAAGCGGATCAGAAGGGGTATGAGAGCGTCAGGGTCGTCCACCACGTCATAAAACGACACAGCGGCCGACTTTCACTTCATGGTAGGTTATCATCGACGCTAAAGTAGCGGAAGGCTCCACATTGTGAGTTGCAGCACCAGAATGGAAGGATGGAAGGCACACTTTCATGAAGAGGATCCAGCAATAAAGAAGCAAACAGCAAGTTAGAAAACTCTCTTTGCACCTTTTGTTGGCGCAGAAAATGTAAGACAAATGGATTGACCAAATGAACTATCGATGTTCGGAACACTACGCCTCAGTACTTTTAATTTTTGTTTTCATTGGCAGGCCATAGGACAATCCCGGATAGCCGGAAACACACCAAAGTACTAATTTCAGACATGCTTTTGGCGGAAGAAGGTGCAAATGTCAATCTCCAGGAACTGTTCTGAAATCATTTGGTGGACACCACCAAACGATTTCATAACACGCTCATAACATTCAGACGCCTAGTACACCGGCTGAATAATAGGCATTTGCTGGCTTCGGGATCGGTGTGGGACCGTCAGATTGGAGCGGATGGAACACGGCTAACGATGCAGACCGAGTACGTGGTCCAGATATATAGCATTACACGATTTCTTAATATCGGACGCTTACGCGCTTTTCTCACGAAGCGTATTCACGCTGAGCTTGACTTAGAAAACCTTGATGCATGTACGCTACATCTGAGGACGTCTACAGTATGTATACTTACATTTATCCAGAAAGTTGTCCCGAGTCTCTCAGAGATATAGTCCGCCTACCGTGGTTGGAACAGTAATCAAACTGAACCACCCGGGAGTGGAAAGCTTGTGCAGTGTTTGCGATGCGGTGCTTAAGTTCATTCAATGTCACGGTGTGGTATTTTACTGAACAACTCGGCGGGCCGGGTAGAATTATCGCGTTAAAGGCAGAAGTCTTTTAACTTAATGACATGGCAGTCCCATTTCGCAGCCTGGAAGAAATGCTGAGCGTCGGGACACAGCGCATCTGCCTGCAAGGTCAAGCGGATACGACACCAGCAATCGCTGTACAGCCCCAGCGGTGACAGTGCAACATAAAGACGAGAACCTACATCAGACAGCTAGCCATATTTCTGCGGTATATTCCGCGCCAAGATCTAAGGAGGAGAAGTAAATTCAAGGAGATACGACGAATCTTGTAACGGGGCACCCTTTGTTTGGGGTGCCACGAAAGTTCACGTACACTAGTACGTGCAGAGGAAGCTAATCTACCTAAACGACTCGTTTGAGTAAAGGCAAAAAGAGAACTGTATTTAATAAAGTTAAGCTATCAATATATCTTCAGTCTTTATCTAGCTTTATTGATCTACATGTCGTGTGACGACAGCCTGCTCACCACTCATTGCGCGCGTCTAGCAGCGATTGGTAACCTTGGTTGATATGTCTTTTATCAACCAATCTTAGATCAGCGTATGAATATCATCCTACAAGTGAATCATATTCCCTCAATATTACCTATCTCGGGTAATATCGGCAGGGAATTATCATGCTAGAGAGAGAGAGAGATTTATGCCGCGCGGTCCTTCAGATCACCCTGGGGTGATTTGCGAGTACTCTGACTCAGTTTGAACTCCTTACAGGACCCGCACCCCTCATTACACTATGGGGCTTTTCGGCTTGTAGGGCCTCCGGACGGCACCGGCCACCCATCGGTGGTTGCTCGTCTACATCATTAGCCTATCTCCGGCGCCCTGTTATCGAACCCCCACCGGGTATCGATCCAGGCACCTCCCGGTCCCAGTTCCAGTGGTCTACCACTCGGCCACTGGGGTCGGTGGAATTATCATGCTAGACAATCTCCCTATTGACACCGTTTGGTGTCAATATCATGTGAAGGACCACCCCGTTTCAAGTCGCCCGTGATCCGAAATTTCCAATGTCGCGTGGATGACTTCCCGTCACCCATCACCTTCCAACACAATCTACTAGCGAACAACGCTCACGACAGGCGCATCAACGACGTTGTAACTATGGACTCTGTCGCTGCTAACATCATCCACATTGATGGCGCTGCGCTGGACGTGGGCAACGTCTCGCGGTTGAACGCGAGTGCGTCTGGTGCTGACACAGAACTGAAGCCGCACGGATCAGCTGTGAGCCAGACCAAGAGCGACAAGCAGAGTGGTGAGGAGAGAGCTGGATGTTTGCAGATACTGAAACGATTCGGAGGATCTGCTTTGCGGCTAGCAAAACAATTCCCTTGGTACGAGCGACTACCCACTGCGGAGGCGAATGCGGCGCCTCCAGTGTTCGAGGACTGGGTGACGAAGAATGGAGTAGACAGCCTTTTATCCCGGAAGTATTATGAGAACGATGAACATCTCCTAAAACGTGGACTTTATAAGCAGGGGTGAACAGCTTGTTCAAGAAATTGAAGAAAGCGGAAACGATATCGAACATAGTGGCATTCTTCAGTCATGTTCAACACACTAGAAAGAAAGATGTCGTTATGCTGTGGCTACAAAGGCTTTTCGAGAAGTCCCAGTGCAAAGAATAAAGGTTTGATCGTACAAGTGTGGTTGCGAGCAGGGATGGTGCCCGAAGACGTGCTAGAGATAGTTGGCTCTTCGAGTGGCGAAAGAATTATGTGGCTTTGATTTGCCAAGCTGTACTGGGAGATTGTGGGATCTGAACCTGCTGCGAATATTTTGAGACAACTGCGCGAGACTTACTCGGACGGCAAGAGCTTAGAGTGTGGGTGCTACTTTTAGGAGTTGATGCCTGAACCGGACCTGAAGAAGCTTGCGGAATCGATGCACGAAATCCGTTTCAGTGAATTGATTGCTTCGAATATCAGACCGTCTAAGTATTCGAGACAGATGGGAGAAGGTGATTTTAAGGCGATCCAGATGCGTATGCACAACCCTGTCAAGTACCGCGCTTACATAGCCTACTTCAATCAGTATGATGACACAAGCGTGGGCAATGTTAAAGCGATTCTTCGCGATCATCTCTCAACGACCTTGGCGCCTCGTTACTTGGTCCCCCAACTGGGCAATATCTTGAAGCTTGTTTCGGAGCCAGTTGACGAAATGCGGTTTAGCATCGAAGAGTTAATTTCACTAGGCGCGTTTTTGAAGACGGTACAAGCCAAAAACGTTCGGATTGCATCAGAAAAACACAAACTACTATCGAGCACTTGCAGGCGTTGACGAGAGGTAAGAGGTTGACTAAGGTTCGAGGTTGACTAAGGTTTGAGGTTGACTAGAGGTGAGTGGGCTGAGATGCATGACGGTGTCGTCGAACCTGAACGTCAGAATCTGGTCGAAGTTTTGGTAGAATTGCGGGAGCAAATGCTTGCTGGCCATTAGATACGTCAGACGAATACGATCAATATGGTTGGCACGTAATGTACATCCGGGGTAATGTATCAGTTTACCGCATCGTGTTGACGTAGCTTAAAATGGTGGCATACTGCTACGGTATCTTCATAGGTCTGTTGATCCATACAGAGGATGCTTCGAGAGGTTAAAATTGTTGGGTAGTGTCGAATCACAGCTTGTTACCGTACCGTTGCTAACAAGAAACCACTCGACAAAATACGTGAGATAGTCGTTAGTAATTTCACATTGCGATCAAGAACTTAATGATCGGATCAACATTGACACGATAGTTGTGTTTATACGAATATGTATCGTCGAACCTGAGCTGAAGTGTCGTCGTCTTAGTGCATGTCGCCATAGTGTCAACTGATGCCACCCCTACACCACGCACCGGAGCCATTGACGAAGCCGAGAAACCAAGAGTAGCAGCGGCAGAGCTTATATAATGGTAGCATCCACAGCGATGAGCGCAGACGTAGTGCCAGAAAAGCATCTGCATGACTGTTGCGGAAACAGCAGAGTTGCATCCATTCCAGCGACCCATAAGTTGGTGTCCAAGACAAGCCTAGAACAGTCAAGTCACCAATATTAGGAAGACGAATGGCGGAGCAAACTGTGTTGAACGAGATGAAGACACTATGGACGATGGTTTTGTATGCTTATCGATGAAGTACTGGAACTATTGTCGCCGCAAGAAGATTGAGCACAAGGTCAACCCAGTTCCCAATGCCGAACGTGAAATCGTGCTTGAGCTCCTGTCACCTCCTTTGCATCCGCGAATGCACCCAAGTGGTTTTGAACACGTCTACAGCTACTCCTTATTACAAATAGCAGTCAGTCAAGTGACTTGACGATACTATCAAAACGGCGACGGAAGTCCCGCTTTCGTTGAAGAGCCGACTCGAAATCAGCGCGCCTTTTCGCCAGTGATGGCTACATTTCATGTGGCTTCACTGAGAGCTCGAGTGTTCTCGTCGCTGTATTTTCCGCCAATCCCCAGCTCGAGTCCATGACTGGTGGGGAGGCCCACAAAAGTCACTGCAACAGCTTGTCACGGACGCGCTACGCTTCAGGCACTCGCTAAGCCTCTTTTGATTGGCTCACGCATCGCGTGAACCACAATATTCGCAAACCCGTCCACTCAGCATGCGCAAAAGATTCGCTTCCGACGTCCCGCATACCACCACGCGCACTTGCTCACCCCCTCTCTGCGTGGAATTCCGACCTCGTCGTTGCGCTCCACCAATCATGAGCTCAGTCTCTTTCTCTCTCTTTCAATAAAAAAAGAAATAAAAAGGTTCGCCACTCCATCCATCCACTCAACGCCACTACCAGGTATGTAACGGCGTCTCTGCTGCCGCCCCTTGCGCCCCTGTCCACTACCGACTTGGTAGAACGGTACAACCACGTGCCTCACCAAGCGCTGCGTCTTGGCTTTCCACTCGTACCTTGCTCACCCTCCTGACCCTCCTGTATCCCTCACCCTCACTCACTTTCTCTCTCTCTCTTCATCTAAATTGTATGCAAACTGTAGCCATGGCCAACTCGACGACTTCCCCAACCTCCAGCCCCTCTCTCACGGCCGCTCCTGCTGCTACCCCAGCCACGTCCGCAGCCACAGGCGCTGCCCAGCCGTTCCACACGGCGTCACTTTACGTCGGAGACATTCATCCCGACGTGACGGAAGCGCTGCTCTTTGAGATCTTTAATGCCGTGGGCCCCGTTGCCAGCATCCGCGTGTGTCGCGACGCCGTGACCCGTCGCTCGTTGGGGTACGCGTACGTGAACTTCCACAATGTGGCGGACGCCGAGCGCGCGCTGGACACGATGAACTTTACCAGCATCAAGAGCGTGCCTTGCCGCATCATGTGGTCGCAGCGCGACCCGTCGCTCCGCAAATCGGGCGTGGGCAACATTTTTGTCAAGAACCTGGACTTGTCTATTGACAACAAGGCGCTCTACGATACGTTTTCGCTGTTTGGCAATATTTTGAGCTGCAAAGTCGCGATTGACCACACATCGGGCAATAGCAAAGGCTATGGCTACGTGCACTACGAGACGGCTGAAGCCGCAACTGAAGCTATTGCCAAGATCAATGGCATGCTCATTGCGGGCACCGAGGTGTTTGTCGGACATTTTCAGAAGCGACAGGACCGCCCGGATGCAGATGACTGGACGAATTGTTATGTGAAGAACATCCCGACCAAGTGGACGGATGCTGACTTGCTTAAGGAATTTGAGCCCTTTGGCCACGTGCTTAGCGCCGTGGTGATGAAAGACAATGCGAACCCGGATCAAAACCGTGGATTTGGTTTTGTCAACTACGACGACTCGGATTCTGCCCATCGAGCGGTAGACGCCTTGAATGGCAAGGCGTATCCGGTTGGCGATGGCGTCGAGACGGACATTTACGTTGGCAAGGCACAGAAGCGCACGGAGCGCGAGCGCGAGTTGCGCAACAAGTTTGAGCAGCTCAAGATGGAGCGTATTAACAAGTACCAGGGCGTGAACTTGTATGTAAAGAACCTGGACGATCAGCTGTCGGACGACGAGTTGCGTGAAGCTTTTGCAGAGTGCGGCACGATAACGTCGTCGCGTGTGATGCGCGACCCGAACGGCAACTCACGTGGTTTTGGATTCGTGTGCTTTTCGACTCCTGAAGAGGCCAACAAAGCTGTTGCAGAAATGAACGGCAAGCTGATTGTGGGCAAGCCCGTGTACGTGGCACTAGCTCAGCGCAAAGAGGTTCGTCGTGCGCAGCTGGAGGCTCAGCATGCTCAGCAGCGCGCTGGCATGGCCATGGGCCGTGGAATGCCGATGGGTCAGCCGCCTATGTACGGTGCCGCTCCGATGTTTTACGGCCAACCTGGTCAGATGCCGCCCCAGGCCCGTCAGGGCTTTATGTACCCACAACAGATGATGCCGCGTGGTGTCCAGCGCGGCCCGATCCCGTATGGTGCCCGCGTGCCAGGTGCTCCAGCTCCAGGTGGCTACCCGATGCCTGGCTACGGCATGCCCATGCAGCAGCAGCGTGGGCAGCCTCGTCGTGGTCGCCAGGGCTTAGGTCCTCAAGGACCTCAGGGTGCTCCTGCCAACCGCCGCAACTTCAAGTACACGGCTAATGCTCGCAACCACCCGGCTCGTGAGATGCCGCCTCAGGGCGTGATGCCGCCTGCTGCTCCCGTGCAAAACGCAGGACCGGAGCCGTTGACGTCGGCTGCCTTGGCCGCGGCTTCGCCGGAGATCCAGAAGAATATGATTGGTGAGCGTTTGTACCCGCTGATCCACCGCCAGCAGCCTGAGTTGGCCGGCAAGATCACAGGTATGCTACTGGAGATGGACAACGGCGAGCTGTTGCACCTGCTGGAGAGTCCGGAGGCACTGGAGGCTAAGATCCAGGAGGCTTTGGCTGTGTTGGAGGCCCACCAAGGTTAAGGCTATGGTCATTGGCCGGTGGCTTGCGCGTGCGTCTTGCAGTGTCGTGTAGGCAGCATTCGGCACGGTGAGGCGGCAGCGGGCTTCCTTGCTAATGCAGGGGGGTAGTGAAGGAGACGTTCGATGAGCTGCGGCTCCTACTTTTTGTGTCGTGGTGCTGGCTAGCTGTTTTGGTCGTCGTTGCTGTAATGGCTGGTGGAAGGAAGATGCTCACCGAGTACGCAAGAAAGATCACGGGGAAGACACAATTGGTGGGGGTCGTAGCTTAACGAAAACACGAGATGAGATGAACTCAACGCTCTGCCCGCGGCCAGCCTCGGTCCCAGCCTCGGCATTTGTTTTGCGTTGCCCACCCGCTTGACTCTTTCTTGTCACGCAGTTTCTGCACATGCCTGCAGTCATTTTTATTCGCCGCAATACGTAGATAGTTTAGTTTGCATGTACCCAACCTTTTTCATTTGACGCCTGCCCTGCCGATACGCATCATTTTATGGCTCTCTCTCCCATGTTGTGAGAGGGACCACCTATGACAAAGGATGGCTACAGTGTCGAATATAACTGAAATCTCGTCACCATTTCAGCACATTCAAGTGACTCAAGCACGAAGCCAAGTAAGTGGTTCTCGCATCGCTTCAGTGTGCCATACTGTACTACATTGCTGAAGGGTTTAGGCTCGCTACAAGTGCAAAGAGGGCAGAGAACAAACCTGCCAGGACTTACCCAGAGCTTGTGGCGATCACATCGAAACGAGTACGTTCATTGTTAACAGTGATTAGTCTCAAAGGGCAGCAAACTTGGCATCTATCCGTACAATCCTTCCTCTAGTCGCGTATAGCACTTCCTGAACCATCGTTGGTCCTGAGCACAAGTGGTCCAGTGCTTATTCCTCATGAACGAGACAGTCATGTGATACTGCACCACAGCCATTCCATGATTGGCACTGATTGTGCTACTCAGATTACTACTCACTGATTCATTAGCAACTTTTTCTTCCTGTAGTATGTGCTACAAATTGAGCTTGGACGCTCAAGTGGCTGAGACCAAACATGTAGCCACTGACTCTTTACAATCACAGCTTCAATCACCAGAGCTGCCATAGCTAAAGCTTTTTGGTGTAGCTGTTGACCGCGCTTTGCACAGCTGCTGCCTGTGCAGCCAGCAGCATCATGTAACCACTTCAATTATTGATATCGCAACAATTGCATCGCGGCGCTTGCCCTATTGTGATATTCTGACATCGTTCCTTCCGTAATCACCCAAAAGTCGTACTTACGCACACTCGCGCGACATTTTTGTCCGACCAGTAGTTATTCCCGCGCGATCGATCGATCGAAAAGCTACGTCGAGTCTCATGCGCGTCAACAACCTGATGCCATCAATAGCGCGTCAGCTGCAGACGCAGCGCAAGATGCCGTCGGCAATGGGCGCGCTATGTGCACCACATCTCCATCCCTCGAGCACGATGCATGTGCGCTCTATGGGCGTGTTTTCCAGCCTCAAGGAGACGGTATCGAGCAAACTGGAGGAGCGCAGTCAGCACAAACAGGGTGCGTCCATCGTACATTTTTTTTGAAACTGCGCTGCTGTGCGTACAACTTTTACTGACGGTCGTGCTACTTTTGTTGTAACTGTGCTACGACTGCTGCAGAGGAGGCGTACAAACAGCAGATGATTGAGCTCTCGCAAAAGGACAAGTTTGATCTGAACGGGTTTTACGACCACCTAAAAGTGAGCGCAAGACGGAGGAATTCTACAAGAGAGAAGCCCTTTCATTCATGATAATGTGTGGGTTTGTCCGTGTGTGTGTTTGTGGTGGCGGCGGTAGAAAAATGCTGAAGCTAGTGGCGCCAGCGGCTGGCGATCGATGATCCCTGGCGTGTCAACGATGGTGCGACTTGTTTTACTTCATGCTGCTCGTTGATGTAGTGCGATTGTGGCTGTATGTTGTTTGGTGGATGCTGACGTGATGTCTTGTGGCTTTCATGATACTGTTGATGGCGGCGGTGTTGTTTTACTGGTGGTGGTTTTGTTGTTGATGCTTCGCTACAGAGTGCCGTTCAGCAGATGAAAGCGTTCATGGCCATCGTGGAGTCTATGGATGTACGTAGCGCTGGTGCATTGATCATTGATTGCTGCTGATATTGCTATCGATGTTTGCTTCGTCGTGTCGTGGATTTTGCGACAGCCGGAGTATCGTGAAAACCCTCGTCTCATTAACGGCAAAGTCAAGAGGCAGATCTCGGAGAAAGTCGGTCACGTACGTCCGAGTGCTTGCTAATGCGTCTATTTATTCTTGCGATTGCTATTGTTGTTGGCGGTGTTGTGCTCACCTTGTCACTGGTATTATGTTGCTAATGGTACGATTTGTTGCTCGACAGTCCCCGGAAGAGATCAACAACATGCTGCGCAACTATGAACAGCTGTCTGCTCTCCACCTTTGGCTCTTGAAACGAGCGGCACGTGGTCTCCGTATTCCCGAGACGCTGGACGAGACCACGGAACTCGTGCGTCAAGACCCGACGGGTTTTCCTACCAAGAAATTCAGGTACACACTCGTTTCGTTTTCGATGCTTCGACTCGCACTTTGCTAACTATGTGCCTTCTGGATGTACGCTGTATGCGTAACAGGGCGAAACAGCGTCGCTACTGAGTGTGTGGCTCGTGACATGTCGCACGTCCTAGAGTCGCTTTAATCGTGCCAAACGTCTTTTCATCCAATCGCACGTCGTTCGTGTGTCTCTTTATCCTCTGATTCTTTTTCGAACGTATCTGCGGAAGTAATTTATACAAGTCCGACCGACAGATGTCTAATCCCCTCGATAGTGACACGCACCTTTTCATCCAATCGTATGCCGTCGTTTGCCAATCACCGATCTCTTCTGGAGAATGAACATATGTGAGTCACAACGTCACTATCCCATATTTACGTTAACGGAGACCAACAAAGCAGCTAACGAGCTACCGATGCAGCAGAGTTCGCACAACGTCGTGTTTGGCGACCCCTTGAAGCCCGTGAAGCTCGACGATTTCCGCAATGTCCTCATACGGTGCGTGTCCCGTATCCTCCTTCCGATTCCGTTCGCCACCTTTCTCTTGTTGTCGTTCGTTCCCTCGTGCCGGACATATTCAATCTGATTCCTGCGTCTGATTCCAGGCAAGAAGAGACCACTATCTTTGCGTTAATCGAACGCGCGCAATTCCCACGTAATTTGGAGGTTTACGTCAACATGTGTGACAGGTGCAGCAGCTGTTTCCATCCTTGTTATGACCGTTATATCTCAGAGGCCGTCGACAGATGGCTGCTTCATGGTCGAGCGATGATGATGACGAACGATCTTTTTGGGTGTGTACTGCTTTTTATGTCGATGCTTTTTCTCCCGTACAGCACAAGCGCTGCTTTTGGAGGCTTGAAAGGCAAGTATCGGACATTTGACGGCAGTTTGCTGGACTTTATGCTGCTCGAGACGGAAAAACTGCACGCTTTGGCGCGCCGGTACATGTCTCCAGACGAAAATGCTTTTTTCCCACATCTTTTGCCGGAACCGATTTTGCCGGTCGTGAACTATCCACACATCTTGACTCCCAATCGAATCAACATCAACAGCCAGATCATGAGCGTGTACCAGGAGAAGATTCTGCCTGGACTCACGACGAACGCCAGTGATCACACGTTGGTACGAAGTCTGGATACTGCGGGGATGGGCGTTGGCTGTTTGGCTAACTCGGTTTGGGCGCCACGTACTTGTGTGCTCATAGTATGGATCTACAGTGACGGCGGACATTGCGGTGTTGCAGGCACTGAGCAAGCGTATCCACTTCGGCAAATTCATCGCTGAAGCCAAGTTCCAAGCAGAGACGGAGCGATACACGAAACTCATTCTCGCAAACGATGCCGACGGGATCATGGAAGCACTCACTGACTCGACAGTTGAAAAGGTTGGTTAGCTGGTTGGTGATCCAGAATGTCCATCGTCCAGTCGAAAGCTTGCTGTAATCATGTGGGCAATGTGTCTTGTGCATACTATAGAAAGTGCTCGAACGCGTAAAGCTGAAAGCTTCGACGTATGGCCAGGACCCCAACTCTCCAGCGACGTCGAGTGATAAAGAGCTGAAAGTGGACCCGCAGCTCATCTCGGATTTGTACCGCGACTTCGTGATGCCTCTGACGAAGCAAGTGCAGGTGCGGTACTTGCTGCAGCGCGTCGCACACTCTTCCATCGCTGTCACGGGAGTGGAAGGATCGTTTTGCTGGCTCGCGGCTCAGGCTCTTTTCGGTGGCGAAACCCTTCAGAAGGAACAACTGCTGCCAGCTGAATCCATCAGTATGGTCTTTAACGATGTCTGCTCGAATCGCACAGCGTACGGTGTCGTTCCGATCGAGGATTCGCGTCTCGGGATGCTGAAGGAGACACAGGCGCAGCTCATGCGTACCTCGCTGAAGGTATCCGCTGAGCTCGTGCTTACGCGCTCATTCGTATTTGCAGCGAAGGACAAACTAGTCAACCCGAGCTCAGACGTGGCAAAGGTATTCTGCCCACAAGACACTGACGCGTGGCTGCTAGCTCAGGCAGAGCAAAGCTGGCCAAGCGCGCAGGTAGTCTCTGTATCCAACGTTACGGAAGCTGCGGCGCGTGCTTTCACCGAAGCGTCATCGGTTGCAGTGACTACGTTGAGCGCTGCAGAGTCGAACGGCTTGGAACAGGTTGAAATGAGCCACGCCCTGGGGTCTGATGGTCGTGCATCAGAAGGCAGGTCATCGTTTATCCGCTTCGTGGTGATTTCAAAGCACTACCCCGCATCCACTGGAAACGACAAGTCATGTCTGAGCATGAGAATCAAGCACGAGGTGGGCTCTCTCCTCAATGCGTTGGATGTATGGAAGAATCACGGCATCAACCTCACATGTCTCGAGTCCATATACCACCAAGAACAGGGCGGCTACGACTTTTTCGTCGAGGTCCTGGGCCATTTTGACGACGCCAACATGCGTCAGGCTGTCGAAAAGCTGCAGTCCGTTTGCACCGTCAAGCATCTCGGCTCGTTCCCGATAGTGAAGCGTCTCATTCAGAGCTGATTGCCCAAAAGTGCCCACACGAAGCTAATCATGAGAAGACCATCTGCAGCTGGCGGAAGACGCACACATCGACACTGGAAAGTGAAAATACGATAAGCATATCCATTTGTGTACGGAAACCGCTGCAACGACAAATCATGCAAAAATCTCATCTCCGCTTGGTGCACCGTGCGCGCGTTTATCGGCGAAAGCTGCTGTCCTTGTTATCCTTCAGGTCAACGTACTCGGCGTCAATGACGGTCTTCCGCCGACCGCCAGCAGATGAGTCACGCAGTAAATCAATCGTGTCACCAGTTTGGCGATTGTGGTCTACGGAAAAACATCAACAGCACGAGGCTTAGACCCAACAACATCACACTAACTGCACTGTACGTACACTTGAGCCCTGTAAACGTCAGATCACCTCCTGAACCAATCGAAGCCTTCATCGTCACCCGTGCCGAGCTGTACGCCGCGTTGACTGGAAACACTGCTTCAATATGCCCAACACCATTCACAGCTGCATCATCACACCAACGACATGACTGTCAGCGTCCGGCACAATCTCAATCACCGTCATTTTTCACCTACTCGATTCCATCCACTGCTCCGGTTCACCCACACTCACATCGTCGCCCATTTGATCACGCACACGCTGATTCGCCTGCAAATGTTCATTGGCACGTCGTTGCAGCTCGCTGGCGCGCTCCAAAGAGCTCTGCATGGCATTTCCCACAAGCGAAAACACCATCTTGACAAATCCTCGCACCACCAATGGCAGTCCCTGAACCATGGAGCTCAACTGATCATCCGGCGCTGCTCCCTTTTTGCCACGTCCTTGACTGCGACGAAACATATCGTTCAGTGCATCAATATTAGAGCTCACGGAGCTGAACGAGTCCCTAGTGCTGGATGAGCGAGTGTGCGAGCGGTACAGACGCAAGACTTTGTGGTACAAAGTGTACGCGCCGATCCCGGCTGCTCCTGCAATGATTAAACCAAAAGCCACTGCAAAAAACACACACAAAAAACACAGTAAAACAAGCAAAAAAAACAGTAAAAACACACACGTAAGGACAGTAAGTACAATAAGTATGTTAAAACTCGCTCAATTGCTTGAAAGTGATAATGAGCGAGAGGTACGGACAAGAAGTTGAAGCGAGAAGTGCGCCTGTGCCCAATAGAACGAGTCCGCCGGTTTTTAACGTCGCTGTCCAGTCGTGCTTGTCGTTTTGCCACGTGTTTTTACGTCCAGACGAGTAAAAGCGATTTAACGGACTTGACCACACCAAAAAAGCACTTTTTTGGCAACCAAATGGAGAGCATAGCTCCCGTGACAATGGCAGAGACGCGCGGAGAGGCACTCGAGAACAACGTGAGCAAAGACGAGACGTAGAAGGTACGTGGATAAGCCGATTCGGCGCACTGCACGTACGTACTCGCGCCGCTGTGAACGGACGAGCACAGTGTCGGAACAGCCACGACGAGCTCATTGTTGTTGTGTTTTTTTTTCTGGCTAAACCGCTTTTTAGGTTTCCAACAATGACAGAAACGGTGGATATTTCTATTACGGTTTCTAAACCAAGTGCCGTTAGAAATTCGTGGTGGTTTTATCGTTTTAACCAATGATGCAAGTCTGGCTACTCCCTGCAAACTTGACGCTGCCAGCGGATACGTTAGCCGCGCCAGAGGCGGATGTGCAGCGATTAGTGTGGGCTGTAGCCGGAATTTTCGTTGCCGCTTCTGTCGTGTCGTCCGCACTGCTGATCCGAGGCCACCTGAACCACTTTACACAGCCGATTGTTCAGAGCAAGGTCAGCCGCAGCCTCGTGCAGATCTAGATACTAACGAACAGTCGTGTGTGTGTGTTAGGGTTTTATTCTATTTTTCCTGATTGCTTGAAGCGTTTAATTTTGCTTTTATCGCTTCGTATTTTTTGGTTATTGTCGATATTTTGCTGGATAATTTACAGATTATCGGGATTTTATGGATTGTGCCGATTTATGCGACGGACTCGTGGCTATCACTGCGGTTCAAGGATGCGGCATTATATCTGGATTTAATGCGCGACTCGTACGAAGGTTACGTGATCTACTTGTTTCTGGCACTCCTGATTGCGTACTTGGGAGAAGGCAGTAATGAACAAGTGATTCGGACGATGCGCAGCTTACCAGCTGTGGCCCATTTATGGCCTTTCAACAAATGGCTCCATCCGATTGACATGGGACCGAGTTTTCTGAAAGACTGCAAGATGGCGACCATGCAGTTTGTGGTAATGAAACCCCTGATGGCGTTTCTAGCAATTGTGCTGCAGCTCAGTGGACTGTATGAGCAAGGCAACTTCAGTGCCACGAACGGGTATTTGTACACGAGTTTGGTCGTCAATGCTTCCATCACGTACGCGTTTTACTACCTTGTGCTCTTTTACTTGGCGTTAGGGACGCAGTTGGCGCCGTACAACCCCGTGCCAAAGTTTCTGTGCATCAAAGCAGTGCTCTTTCTCTCCTTCTGGCAGAGTGTGGTGCTCGCGTTTCTCTCGCGCTTTCAGATCATTCACGAGCTTGGGTCGTGGAGTGTGGAAAATGTCACGACTGGTATTCAGAACCTGCTCATCTGCTTCGAGATGTTCTTTGTTGCGCTGGCACACCAGCATGCGTTTCCCTATAACCCGTACGTGCATGGAGACCCGGCGCTACGAACGAACATCTTGGCGGATCACCTGGCTTTGGAAGATGCCATGCGCGACTTTAACGAGGTCATGCCAGTGGTGTTACCGACGCCGTTCAAACCTGGTGCAGCTTCATTGAAGGCAACGAAGAAAAAGTACGACGACTTAGCCCACTCGGAAGATCGTATCGCTTCGGAGACTGTGGGGCTTCTGAGCGCTGAAAGGGCAATTTCTGATGCCGGAAGCGAGTCTTCTTTGGGGTCTAGAGATTCTCGAGGTTCAAGCACGGGAAGGAAACAAATCTTGCGCGGTTGGAAGCTGTAGAGCTCAGACAGAAGCTGCACCTCATTTATCTATTTGAACATTACGCAATGATGACAAACATCCAAACCGAACTTGTCGCCACAGCCACGAGACGCCATGATACACTCGCGTCAACGTTCGAGTGCGATCATGCATCCTCCTTGCGGATCCGGAAGTTCCGCAGGTCTTCTTGACCGACCAATGCCAGACCTTTCTCGTTCGCAAGATGCAGTACGCAAATGAAGTAGAAGGACACTGTAACGTTCGATGGAACCTGCAAGATCATCCACCACAACAACCATGTTAGTAACGTCACGTCGGAGAAACCAGGAGGGACAACATCACTGCCCACTCATTGTACCTTGGTCGCAACGTGTTCTACCACGCTCTCAAAAGTTGTTTCGGTACTTTCGCACTCATCCTGCTCAGGCATCTCGATGTCACGGGGGCGTTTACCACACTCGCTGCCAGAAACGACATCCGTGTCACTAGCTTTTCCGCCATCGCCATTGCCTTCTCCTACGCCCTTCACAACTTGTTTCTCCAAGTGCTCCCATATACTCCCCTTCAACTTCTTCACATCCACGCGTTTGGCAAAGCGTTCATAGTGTACACCGATTTTCTCCACCACGCGATCTGCTCGAACTAGACCTTCCACAGAGTACAAAGTTTGTGCTCCTGGATCATCCGCACCGCAACTACTTTCTTCTTCATCATCTTCATCATCGTACCCACCATCGAAGCCGGCGCTGTCTTCATTATACGTGAAGACTGGTTTTCGATCGCCATCAGCCTCCACACCGAAAACGTCATCTCCAAACTCGCAATCAGTCGCCGAGATACTTTCCCGATGGACGCCGTCCAAACCATTATTGCTGCGTTTTCTGAAAAAGCGAGGCCTTTCCTTCAAAAAGTGCCGGAAAAAGAGACCGACCTTGATGTGCGTGTCCACCGGCAAGACCAGATCAGATGCGTTTTCCACTTGCTTCCTCAAGTTCCCTTTCGACACTTCCAAGCTACTTGCAGACTTTGGAGCTTTCAACTTGGAGAAATCAGGAGCTTTCAACTTGGAGAAATCAGGAGCTTCTCCAAAAAAGTCGACCGTGATTGCTGTCTTTTTATCCACACCAGCGTTACATCCTTTTCGAAAGCGATCAGCTGAAAGCTCAGTCGGTTCAGCCTTGATCACAGCACCACCTTCATCAAACTCTACGTTGACGCTTACAAGATCATCCTTGTCCGTCTCTTCCTTAACGCGCTGTTTCATTTGGATCTTGCGAATGGCAGGAAACTTCCAGTGACCAGGACCTGCCCAGTTCCGAAGCATCTTAGCGTCGAAGTATGAGTAGTCATGTCTGCCATCGTGGTCCTCTCCACCCTGCTCCTCATCGTCCAGCGTTGCAGATCGGACGAGTGCAGACTCAATCATCTGCGAGAACAGATTGTTTTCGTAATCCTCCGGCAAATTCTCGTTCACCCTCGTGCGAAAAAAGTCGGCAGCAGTCGATCTCAACGATAATTCCTTGTCGAGAGCTCTTGAGCCATTTTCCATGTCATCTTGCGTGAGGTCTTCTACAAGAGTGTCTTCATCGCCGCTATCCGCCAAGTCAATAATGTTATTTTCCTTTTCCACAACCACATCATCAACGAAGACCACATCGACGACATTTTCGACTTCACCGCAATCCTCATCAACACCATGGTCTGCGTTGTCTTCGCCACAGTCCATCGACACGTCGAAGACATCGTCTTCACCATCCGGTTCATCCTCGCTGGCACTTTCCATAATACCACCCAAATTTACAGCAATAGCATCCTTCTTGTCTAGTGTCTGGCGTTGACCTTTCACTGGTGTAGTGTGCAAAAAGTTGTTCTTGAGACCGAGTCTGTGGCGAGACTCATCTCCATAAAACTCATCCAGTTGATTGTATATCCGGTACAACGGAGGGCATACGCTCAAATTTTGCACATCTTGATCAATACACGGCAAACAACCGAACACCGATAGATTGATGCGCTCTCTAGTCGCACCGAGACTGTCAGAGCCTCCAACTTTCTCCGTTGCCCCGAGACTGCTGGAGCTTTCACCTCCCATTGCACCCGTGTATTCCACGGTGCTCTCCTCTGCAGACTCCTCGTTTTCTTTGGTCTGTGTCACCTCCGCAGTGACATCGTCCGACGCAACTTGCTTCTCCTTTTCCAATTTCGCCATTTCGACATCATCGGCAAAGCCTTCTTTCTCTCCACTCGTCTGTTCTTCTTCCATTGTAACGTCCTTGTCCAATTCTCCACTACCGTCGGCAGAACTGCTTTCCATCAGTTTACTTCTGTCGGCTTCATTCTTCGCTTCATCACTCCACTCTTTATCTTTCTTCGCGTTCTCACTTACTTGGTCCTTCGCGTCGACAACTTCAGCTTGTGTCACGTCCTCTTCGTCGAGTGGTTCAGACTGTACGGCACAGTCAATTGCTTTATGGACTAACGTTTCTTCCGCTTTTCGATTCTCACGACCTTTTGGTTTCTCCTTTGCTTTACTTCCAATCTCATGAATAGGCTTTCGCGTCACGACACTCACATCCGACGAATTCAGTAGAATCTTACACCCGTCATACACGCTGAGATTGGCAAGTAACATGCCTTTTGCACCTCCTTCGTCAAAGGATTGAGACATCTTGTGAAACAGCGGGTCGGCCTCGCACTCTGTATCATAGGCCCTCAAGTTGATATTGTTCAAATTCTTCTCGATGGTCCGCGCATGCGTCTTTCTCGTCTTGCGTGCAGTCTTTGCGCTGCCTTCCACGTCACTACCACCATCGTCCACTCCATGTTTATGTTCTGTCCGAGACAAGTTCTCGAGAATCTTATACGACGAGTTCCACGTATCATCCACTCGATACGAGTAAATCTTGATACTCGCATCCAGCGTACAACTCGCCCGCTGGAAGTTGTACATATTGTCCGGTCCTTCTGCAGCACCTTTCCTACACCATCACCAGCAAAAAACAAAACAAAACCCAATCCAAAACAACGCCCATCAGTCACCCCATATCGTCCCTCTCTCGTCCTCCCACTATCCAGTTTTCCATACTTGGACGAGTCCAGAATGTCTTCCATATGGTCAATCAAGTGCAGCGACCACGAATTCTTGACATTGATTTTCTACCACCCGTAAACAAACACACACACACACCCAATCACCAGTATCATCATCATCATGTACCCATGTTCCACATTCCCTCGCAGTAGTGACAGCCACCCTACATTTTCCGACGACATCTTGATAATGGTCGAGTACATGTCACTAATGTACTGCTTGCTGTGCGCCGCCACGACCGACGTCGCCCCGCCCGCTCCACCGCCTCCAGCAGCTCCCGTCCTCCTCTCACTCGCTGTCAACGAGCGCCTTTTCTTCGGATGAAACGCCAGCGACCGTCGACGTCGTCGCCGCCGCGCGAGTTCCTCGTCGTCATTCGAGCGCTCGCGCTTCCGCGTCGCTCGCTGCTTCGAGTCCTCGTCTTTACGCGGCAGTTGCGGACCCGTCTCGGTCTCTTCTCCTTCGTCGTCGTCGTCGACGTCCGTGAGCTCGTACTGGCCGCTGTCGCTCTCGCCGTCGCTCTTGCACTCGCGGCCTGTCGTGGCCATCGTGACAATTTGCAAAACGGGACGAGTCGAGTGACGTCTTCACTTGCTTTGAGTATGGAACAGGAGTGGGACCAGAAACCAAAGCACCCACACAGGACCGATCGGGCCGTTCTTAGTTCTGGTCACTGGCGTTGTTTTCTGTCGATCCGCCTGTCTTTTTTTCCTTCCTCTGGTGTGGTATGTACTTTTGTGTGGAATGGCTTCGCTTCTAGTCTGTTTGATAGTGCTGCACACTTTCGTCATAACCGATCCGAGATAGACGCTGTTCCAGCTGTTCCACACCAGCGAGCAAGTGTACCTTTTCTTTCCATCCACGCAGCGTAATCAGACTTGCCCGTTCACAGAGTCTCACATAACAACTCAATGACCTTCTTCTTGGAATAGAAATCACTCGTCTGCCTTTTGATGCACTCGATCGTCCACGGCCATTGTCCATCTATCTATCTGTCCGTCTGTCTTCCTTCTTCTACCTGCCTCTCTCGTCGAACTTCGTCTTTTCTTCGTAGTTCCGTTGGGTCAGCCATGACGAAGCCCTGACTCGGGAATGTATTTCCAGCGACCGGTACAAATGCGGTCACTTCCATACCCAAAGCGGAGGTGAGTGTGGGTGATAGCAGTCGTCGCACATGTGTCGGTCGATCAAAGACAAGGAGGCTGAATCGAACGACACTTTTGGCCTCCCTTCTGCCTTTCGTGTGTCTTATTCGAGTCGTTCCGGCTGCATGGCCAGCCATGTCTCGCTTGCTCGCATTATCCTTCAGCTTTCGATTCTGAAAGACTTAGCGACCAAGTGCGTCTTGCATGAGTTCGTTGTCTTCTCCAAGTCATTCGAGAACATGTGACGTGGCTTGAGCTCAACACACACTCGAAGTCCACAAGTCTCCATCGCGGACTCGTCCCGCACGCATTCCTTCACTCGCTTTCTCTCTCTCTCTTTCTTTCTTTCACCTCACGTCGCAAACCCCTCCATCTGGCTCGCTGGCTATTTGGTCTTTGACTGACGGACAATGCAGTCGACGGTCACGACCAACGTGCATTCCCTCACATTCGCCATGAAGCGCTCGTTCCAACACGTGGCTGCAGCCGTTCCGTTCAATGTCGCACCTGTCGCTGCCGTCAATGGTGAACCCATTGCTGTTGCAGTCACTAGCTCCGAGATAAACGACTGTAGTCGACCACGGAAGCACCGAGTGTTGAACCACTCAGCTATGAAGGTATACTCGACACCAAGTTCGTGTCTTTCGTCGAAAAATTGCAACATTGCGATGGCCCTAGGGTCCCCACTCTCACGTCAATGGAGATGTGATACTCTGGAGAGCAGGTTACGGGAGGAAGGTGTACTGCATCTCGTGCTTTCGTTCCTCAACTTTCGGGATCACCAGGTCATTCGAGGAACGAGTCGATGTTGGCGAGAACGGGTTCGGACACTAGAAGTCGATCGACTCGACGTCTCGGCTCGAACCTTCTCGTTGGGTACTCGCAGTCTCCCCCGAGCATGTCAAGCACTTTTGCAGAGCTACAGTCGCGTTCGTCGATTGGACGTGTCAGGTCAGCGCTCCTTCGTTGATCGTGACTTGCTCCTGTTGACGTCGTGCTTTTGGCCACACCTTGAGGAGATTGTTGCCGACGACTGTCAGGAGCTTACCAACTTTGGCGCTCTTGCCGTGCTCAATGCTCAGTCCTTTCGACTTGGTTCCGTGTCTTTCCGTCGGTGCAAGAAGGTTACGGGGACCCTGTTTGCTGGTCAAGCCTTGCCGCTCACTGGTTCCCACCCGTCACTAAGGAGGATCAACCTGGACGACACGAGTGTGACCCGTGCCTTCATCTTGCACCTCGAAGCCCACTTCCCAACTCTCGAGCACTTGAGTGCTCTGCACACTCCAGCCCATTACGCTTTTTTCCAGCAAACGTTGACGTTGAGACCCTTGCTACGTGAACTCCAGCTGCTGGTAAACCAGGAGCTCGTGGAGATGCCATTGCTGCCTGCACTTCTTGATGAGTTCAACCAGTGGTGCCATAGTCCCTGTCGACGTGGAGCTGGAGCTTTCGAGCAAACGATAGTGGCCACGGGATCCCGAGCTCTTTTAGATGTCCCGTTGTTTCAAACTAGACCTATCGATGGTCTCTATGCGACTGGCGAGACTGAAGACGATGGGCTGGTATCGCTGTCACCGCTACTTTATGCGTGTGCAACCGGACGCACTCGAGTTCTGTCAGCAATCCTAGCAACAGCAAAAGGTCAGGAGTTTACCAGCATGTTCGACTTGGAGAATACAGACGCTGATGGGTACTCGGCACTGAGTATTGCAGTTGCGAACGGCTTCACGGAAGCTACTCGGCTGTTGCTGCGAGCTGGGAGTGATCTGAACACGCGGTCATTGACGTTCGCGTCACCCCTTTACTTGGCAAGTGAGCACGGGTGGGACGTGTTGGTCGACATGTTGCTGGATGTTAATGCACGACGAGATTGTGCAGTCCAAGGAGGTGCAACGGCGATCTGTGCAGCTGCGAAGAATGGGCACCGGTCGATCGTATTGCGGCTACTTGCAGCGGAGCTGCAGGCGGAAGAGGAAGCACAAGATGGAGGCTGTATGAGCAGGAAGCAGTTGGTGCAGGCGCTGTTTCTGGCTTGCGAAGGAGGTCATTTCTTTGTGGTCTCGGACCTGCTGCTGCTCACGGAGCTCGACGCAAACGTTCTCATGGATGACAACGTGTCGCCGCTGTACTTGGCGTGTCAAATGGGGCACGTCGACATCGTGTCTTTGCTGCTATCCCGTGGTGCCAACCCGAGCTTCCGTCGGCCACAAAGCCGCGTGTCCTGTTTGTACATTGCTGCGCAAGAAGGTCATGACCACATTGTCCGTCTACTGGTACACGCCGGCGCAGACGTGCACGCAAGGATGGACGACATGTCCACTGCCTTGCACATTGCTGCTCGGATGGGCCGGACAGATGTCTCTCGGTCTCTTCTCACCTTTGGGGCTCGCCTGAATGATCAGACACGATCGGGACTAACGGCTTTGTACATTGCAAGTGAAGAGGGCCACGTCCAGCTCGTGCACTTCTTACTGGGAGCTGGTGCAAAACGCGATCGACGAACAAGTAGCGGAGCTACTGCTGTGTTTGCTGCAGTGCACCGAGGGCATGTGTCCGTGCTGGAAGCTCTGCTCTTTGGAGGCGCGAATCCCTCGATCTCAAAGCATAACGGCACCAGTCCTCTTGATGCCGCAGCTTTGCTGGGCGATGTCAAAGCAGCGAGACTGTTGCTGTACTTTGGTGCACGTGTGGATGGATGGACAGTAGACGCGATGAAAAGCACCGACGTGATGCTGCCGGTTGCGAGACCTTCTTCCTATGCCTACGTCCCTCGACCCAGCAGGTCTTCTTCCACGGTATCAGCACCGCCATTGTGACACATGCTTTACATAAACCATCATTAAACCGACACTTTACTTACCCACTACATGTTGCTAAATCAACACTTTAGGATCAGGTGGGTCACTGGCGACAAGTAGGTTGTATTCACCGAACGTGCAATCGAGACAAGACGCACACACACGATGAAGTGGGTCATAGTATATTTGTCGATACGTCTCGCTAGCTAGAACAAGATCCGCATCTTCATTGACGAGACCTTACGCGCTAGTGGCAGAATGCACTTGTCTGTCCTCGCCCTTCATCTTGTCCTCAATCTTGCTCACTGCATTGTGCACAGCCTCTTTCGCCAGTGCCGTGATCGAGGGTTTCTCAATCTCATGGGTAGCCAACTGAACCGCCACGATCTGCTTCTGTAACGGGGCAAAGCCCGTAAACTTTGCGTCTCGAGTAGTGCTCACGAGCCACTCTGCCGTTTCGGAAGTCGTCGTGTTCTTGCCAGCGGTTGCCCGGTGCTCGGTATCGTAAGCGTTTGCCACCTTGTGCAGATCCGCCAGCGTATTAAACGCCTGCTCCATGGCTCTGCGAACCGTGAGGGATTCATTTGCTCGAGCGTCTTTGTGAATGTGATCAGCCACGTGCTTAAGTGCTTTCACGGCATCTTTGGCGTGGTCAAGACCATCGCTGAAAAACACCGTCACTGATTTTGAATGGTGCAAGTGATGCAGACGATCGTACGCTACAAGGTCGTGCTTTAATGCGTCCAAGTAGGTCATGGCGTCATGGGCACTTTGGTACAATTGTGCGCGCAGTTTCGTGATTTCCTGCTCTACGACTGCGTTGTTAAAGGACTTGCCCATGGTTTGGCAGGGGAAGTTGGTTAATACTTTGGCTTTGAAAGGAGTTCTCCGAAATGATCACGGCGGGCACACTCTGGTAAGAGAATGATTCGGGCGAAAATCCAGTCTTTTTCCGACTGTCGCACGGCGACGGAGAACATGAATCAATTCCCAGGAAAGAATCCGGATGTGATGATGATGATCTGGACACGCTTTCGGTCCGAGAAATTGAGAAACGAAACAAGGCACGGGACGGCTGAAAGTATGGGAATCGCGACTGATTCGAGGCTGAAGATGTTCAGCTGGGGGTTGCGTTCATGGAGCCATGTGTTCTTGAAAGCTTTTCTTTCTTCTTCACTTTGTGAGTCCAATCGTAGACACTTGAGTTTACGTGATGATGGAAGTATGCACGAAGAAGTGCGAATGAAGTGCTGATAAACGAGTGGCGCACCTTGTCTTCGACCAAGCTGTGTCATCTGCAGAAACAGTTGGAAGCTTTGGGGTTATGCGAGAACAAAGCAGCAAAACAACAGGAAAAATAGCTCATCGTCTCTAGAACAACCTACGTGTAGACAGTGGATGCCTTGAACCGTTTCCGATGTAGTGTTCATGAGCCAATGACGCAAATGACGCGGTACTGGAGCTGAAGCACGTCTCTGACCATCCAGTGCAAACGAACATCGACGTAGACGTACGAATGCTGCATTCGTCACAAGGCGAATCCACTAGGGTGACCGACACACCGAGCGCATAGGATAAGTCGACGCTTCATCAGCGCGCAAAAGACCGATGACATTGAACGCAGCATCATGGGTCCTGCTTGTCCAGGAGAAGCAATTGGAATCTCGCTGTTGCAAGGACTCAACGAGGTTTACTCTTCGAAGCATCATCATGCGATAGCCGAGGTCGTACTGCTGTCGATCGAGGCATCGGCACTATTCCCCGCCTCAAGAATCCTGACAGAGACACTCTTTTTGTGCAAGGAGAGGCAATAAAGAGAGGAGAAGACCAAAGAGAAAATGCGTGGGTACAATGGCGTTGCAACAGGCGCTATAACGTCAAACTTCAAGGTCGTCCGCATTCTCTTTAGCAAATTATTATAGACCACAGTTGTATCAGAAGACAAGATGGGCTGTTGTCGTGGTCCACACATTAAGCAATGACAAGTTCTGATGCACCAAGGGACAACTCGATCGATCACCTTTCGAAAGCATCATGGCCAACTGCTGGTTCCAGAAGGAAATCGTGCTCAAAGCGCCTAGCCGCGGATTCCACTGTGCGTCTAGAACACTTGCAAAGGACTTTGTATTGCTATCTACTGACTTTTTTTCTGTCGACTCCACCTGCAAAGTGGTGACGCGCGAGGTCGAAAAGCAGGTTCGGGAAGATTCCAACAAACCTGAACGACTAAAACTTTTGCATAGCTGTTCATTGTTTTGACCATGATTCACTTCTTGGTGGCAGCTGCCAGAGCTAGCACAAGTGAAGGTCGGGATGGCCAATTTGTTTATCAAACATACGTCAGCGTCGCTCAGTATCAATGAAAACTGCGACCCCGACGTTCGGTGAGCGCAGATCCTTTATCTGCAAGCAGTTTGCGGGCATTTTGTATTCACTTTGGAATATCATCAACGCTTTTGGGTTGCAGGACGGACATGGAGGTTGCATTCAACCGCATCGTGCCGGAATCCTGGAACAAGTAAGATGTTGGAGTTCTCTGCTGACTGTGCGGACGCCTGGCGGCTGATATGAGCTGCTCACTGTGACGCTTTTTGCACATGTGTAAGAGAGTTTTTCCGCCACACGGATGAAGGCGACGGTGAGTTATTCATTCAATCTCACTTCGGTTGCTCAGAACTAGAAACTCAGTGTTGTCGAGTCGACTCTTGATGTGTAGACGACATGCCGGGCCATATCAAGTCGACGTTGATTGGGGCGTCGGTGAACATCCCGATCACTAATGGCAAACTCAACCTCGGGACGTGGCAAGGTATGTGTTTCGAATACTGCTTGCCGACAGAATGGGAACATCGTGAAACGAAATACTGTCCTTCAGGTATCTACTTGTGCGAGCACCGCAACGTCGGCGGCTGGGGTTCTGGCCACCAGCGCAAGGTCGTGGTCACTATCCAAGGATTTTCGGCATAAATGCTGCTGCATCCGGTCTGCTGTGCGCTTTTATAAGATGGCTCGACGATGTGGAGTCAATACATTGAACGAGCTAGCTTCCACTAGCTGTAACACGCACACGACCGAAGTCCACAGCACGACGACAGAGCCTCTACTTTTCTCAAATTGTCACGTATTGTAGTGTATAGTGGGAATCTGGGGTGCAGCTATGACCACACGGGGCAAGCAGAGGGTGAGCTGAGGCAGATGAATCGTAAAGGTCCTTGCTTTCATTGTTGTTTTGCACCAACTTTCATGCTGCATGTCACTAGACCATGTTGAACAGGGTATTGATCCCAGAGTCCTAGCACATCCAGTCAGTTCGTGCATGCGATTACAGCAAGCCTGTTTGTGCTGGAACTCTCCATGTACATCCTTTCTTTGACTATCATGGCTTCCATCATAGTGGTAGATGTTGTACGTGGCATATACGCTCCGCAAACGAGTAGCAGATGAAGCAGGAATGAGATGCAAGTAAAGTATCAAGCGATCTACTTCATTCTAATCCAGCACTCTACACGAGCAGCTCCCACTTTCAGTAGCTCACCTGTCTCCAAGACAGAGACAGACCTGACTATCAATCGCCTTCTTCCTCTTACTTGTCACTGTCGCCATTATCAATGCACCGATCAAAAGGTGCAGACACAAATACAGCAAACCCACATTCGAGAGATTGAAGCACCATCACCACCCCAATACTCTTGCAGTAACAGCAATACAAGTGGCTCAATCCCAGGTATGGGACCGACGAAGGCGCTGTGATTGGCTGTATGACCAGCTACCAGGACAGTTAGCTGGTTCGCTGGAATGTTCAGACAATCGTGCGACGAATCAATAGAAAACCAGAGACTTTGACGTTATGTGGGACGCGTATCTAGTCGTATGGACACTGCTGAGTCTCCTGCTCGGCGTTCCATTGGGAATGCTGAGCGAAAAACTTCGCAAATACTCACTCCAACGCTGGCTCGTGGCTCTAGCTCCGCTCGCACTTGTGCTAGTGGTGCGATAGTTGCTTCGAATCCATGAGATACCTTCCAAGTGGCTCTGTCTATTGAGCTCTTCCTACAACTGACATGTTCTCGCTGTCATTGTTCCCGCTTCTGTTCAATCAGGTCTCCATTCGTGACGGTGTTGGAGTCGCTGCAAGTTACTATCTCGGACGCCACGTGGGGGCCTCGTTCATCGGTGTGGGGCTCACGGGAGGCATCGCCACAGGCAAAAGCACGGTCTCCAAGGTCTTCCATCAGGCTGGTGCCGTTATCATCGACGCCGATGTCGTGGCCCGAGACGTCGTGAAGCCTGGACGTGGTGCGTATAAGGAGATTGTCCGTTCTTTCGGCCCGGAAGTGCTCAATGAAGTCGACGCGACCATCAACCGCGCCAAGTTGGGCGCCCTCGTCTTTGGGAACTCCGCGCAGCGGAGAAAGCTTGATGCTGCCACGCACAAGTACATCCTGTGGGAGATGTTCCAGCAGCTTGTCTACTACCGCCTGGTCTGTCGCAAACGACTGGTCGTGCTGGACGCGCCGCTGCTGTTCGAGACGAAGCTGCTCGAGTTTTTCTGTTACCCGATTATTGTGGTGGCTTGTTCCGAGACGACTGAGCTCAAGCGACTCATGGAGCGCGATAATATTCAGCAGGAAGATGCAGCCAGGCGTATCAAGTCGCAGATGCCGCTTCAGGTATGTACTGCATTAAACGTGACCAGAAGGATCAGGTAAACAACAAAACTGGCATGGCTCTCTAACTGTATGGTAATCATTCCAATGGAAATCTGAATCGACTGAGCAGGATAAAGTATCAAGGGCGGATTTCGTCATCCAGAACGACGGAACACTGGAGGATTTACTGGTTTGTACACAAAAGACGCTTAAACGAACGGCGGCTTTCGTTGGCGCGTCGCGTGAATTGTGCTTTTAAAATTGCTAAAACTCGCCTGCGATCGGTTAGAACGTCTTTATCTCGTGCCATGGGCCGCAAAGGAGTGTCGCTTCAAGAGAAGCGCGAGCGCATCCTGCACATTTACCACGAGTCGAAAGAAGTGTTGAACCTCAAGGAAGTCGAGAAGCTTGGTGCAAAAGCTGGCGTCGGTGCGTATGCGCTCGCACATGCGGTGCTTGTTTTAACAGCTAAAACATGGATGCATTAAACCACATTTACGCGTTTCAACCACAGTACTGCAAACAGTTAAGGACGTGAATCAAGCATTGGTCGACGATACCCTGGTCGACTGTGATAAGGTCTGGTCGGATTCTTCATTCAAGTGTATCCATCTGATACTCGAGCGATGAGGTTGTTTAGAGCTCTTGAGTTAACGGATACTTTGATGCAGATCGGGTCTGGAAACTACTTTTGGTCGTTCCCTTCCAAGTTCTCGCAGTCGAGGAAGCGCGTGCTCAGTGAACTGGAACAGCGTCGAGAGACCGTGCAAGGCAAACTTGTTGAAGTGGACAGACGCATCGAAGAGCAGAAGGCGCTCCGTCCGGAATCCGTACGAGCAGTTGTGATTTTGGATGTTACCATGTTGAAGTTATAGTACATGTTGAAGTTATAGTTGTTCTGAATGAGATAATGGTGGTGAACTGAAGCATCTGCATGTATACATGTGGTATTGATGATGTTTGCAGGAGGAGCGTGTGCGGAAGCTACGTCGACTCGAAGAGCTAAATGCCACATTGCAGACTTTACGCACCAAGGTGCAGCACTTGGAGGAGAACGATCCAGCGATCCTGGAAAAGCTCGAGCAAAGTGTGCGTGTGGCAAAAGAAGGCTCGGACCGATGGACAGGTACGTCTTTGGTGGTGCTACAGCTCGGTTTAGCGACGATTATAGTGTCACAAGTAGTTAGTTGGGTGACTGATTCAGTGCGGTGTTGATTGATTTCTTTGTAGACAATGTGTACACCCTGAAGGCTTGGGTCGTCAACAAGCGTGGAGTCGAGGGCCGAGAGGTTGCAGCTGCCGCATGTGTCGAGTTGATTCCTACTGTCGTGGCTGACGGTTGTGCTACTGCGTTTATGGGTGTTTTAGGTCGACAAATGGCTCGGCGTCAAGGACGATTTCGACTACGTCGAGTGAAGGTGCGCGACATGGATTCGATTCGATGCACACAGATGAGCAGCACTTCTCGTAAGACGAACAACAACAACAACAACAATGATACTGTATTGCTACGGCTTCGTTCCGCCTGACCACCAGTTACTCTTAAATTGCATGATACATCGACGATGCGATCGATTGCGATGGACCCCTCTCCTTCCTATGTACGTTGACGTACGTAGTTTGTTGCTACACTCACCAATTGAAGACCTCTTTATGAAAGTCAAAGCTGCAGTCACGCGCGAGTGCTTGAGCTTCCACAGTCATAGTGGGCGGTCCACATGCCACGACAGTCACTTTGCGGTCATTGAAGCGACTCGTGTTGATCAATTCATCGAGAATCGGCTTGCCAGCGCGATATGGCAGAGTCTCGCCGTTGGCACGTGCGATCGTACCGTCGACTCCAGCCTTTGACACGTGAATCATCCACTTGATGTTCATGGGTGCCGGTGCATGATTCGGGTCCTGGACACTCGCGTGAGCAGAGTAATCGAGCTGCGCATACGTTGGCAGGAACTGCTCCATCATCAAAATGTCCTCCGGATGGCGCACCGACCACAAGACGAACCAGTCTACCGTCTTTGGTGCCTTGTCCAGATCGCTGGTGCTCTTGGGAAACAAGCGCGTCTGATTGATCAAGCTCATCATCGGAGTGATCCCCACGCCGCCAGCCACGAGAACAACAGCTTCATAGCGCTCTACATTCACCGACATATTGCCAAACGGACCGCACAAGTTGAGACGAAGATCCTGCTGCGTCCGAGCTTTTTCCATCAGCTTGTGCGTGAACGAGCCGTGCCCCATCGCCTTCAAGCAAAAGCCCAGCGACTTGCCATCAGGCATCACAATGGACGAAAACGGGTGCCACTGGATCGCCGAGATCGCCGGCAAACGCACGAGGAAGTACGAGCCCGGGTTCACGTTCATAGCCATCTTGCCCGTCTTTGTTGTCGACTCCAAGACCAGCGTCGTCGAGCTCGAAGCAGCGTGCACCGACGCGACTGCCTTGTAAGAGCCCGTAAAAGCACTGGACCAGCGGTACAGCACGCCCAAAGCATACAATCCAAGCGGGACACACAGTGCAAGTCCAATGTGCTTGGGTGCGTGCAAGATCGCAAACACGAGGCCGACGATCGACAAGACTCGGTGCGTGAAGTAGAAGACTTCAAAGAACCAGCGACGGACGACCTCGATCGAGAAGACGAGCATCACAAGGAAGCTCACGAAGGCAATAAAGCCATAGAGGGGCGTCACTTCGCCGTACTTCTCATTCAGCGTCACGCTCACTACATCGCTCGCCTGGATGACGTGGATAATCAGCACAATGTTCAAAATGAGACCGAGCCAGCGGTGGAACTTGACCATGCGCTCGAACGAGCTGTTGAAGAGAGCCGACCACACGGGTAGACGGGCTACTGGTAAGAGGAGGAACATGAGAACCAGCAACGCCACTTGGCCCGAGATGATATAGTTGGCCTGGTCGTCCAACAGAGCGCTCAAGACAATCACCGCTGCAACGAATATGAGCATCACGAGCACTTCACCGACGTGGAGATCTGCTAAAGTCTGCCAGATCATGGTATGAGGCATTGCCACCCGTGCATTTGTCGTCTGCTTGACAGGAGGTGACAGCACTGTCCGGTGGAGCAGAAGTGTGCCCACAGGTGTGAACCGGAGCACCGAAGTGAGCAGCAGACCACATAGAGCCATGATCGCAAAAGCGATACCGCCGACAATCCCGGGACAGTTTTTATCCTCGCACCAATTGTCCGAAGCACCGGATCCGATGGTCGTGCTTGCAGCGGCATTCAACCCAGCAGAAGCTGCTGCCACGTCAAACGTAGCAGCACCGGACGTTCCACTGCGGTGGCCTGAAATAGGCCACGACGTTCCATACGCCCAGATAAACTCAGTTGGTCCCGAATTAGAGAGTGCGACGTCGGACGAGGTGACAGCTGCCAACGGGCGCTGGTAACTGAAGCTCATGGCGGACGTACTGGTGGACCCGATGACAACAGCAGACGATTCGACACTTGGCTCTTGAGTCACATCACTACTAGTGTAGCCGCCGAGGACGTAGGACACGGGGACGCCCGTGTCTTTGAAGAAGATCAGGACGTTGGCAGCTGGACTGCTCACCATACTGGACCCACGCGAAGGACCGACGCCAAACCACGCCGCATCAGCAGCGACCGAAGCTTCCAATTGGTACTCGATGCACACGTTATTCTCCTGTACGAGGGCCCGCATGAAGATGGGACTGTCGCCTAGGCGTACACCGGTCAGCGCTTGAAAGGCAGCACTGGAGCAAATGTCTGCATTAGCTGCAACTTGGGCATTTGCTGGGTTGAAAGCGAGCGCTGCTGCACCCAAAGAGAGCGGCAGGAGAACCGAGCGGACCATAGCGAAGTTTTCGACTTGACGAGTGAAGAGCAGCAACAGCAGCGACGGATGGATGGATGGGCGCAGACTGGAGCGTGTGCACAAGACTGCAAAACGCAAAGTGAGCTACTCGAAGCAGGACCGACACAGGACGTCTATGTACGCACTTGAACAGCTGGGAATGGATCATTGGATTGGTACAGGGGTATGACACAACTGGCTGGACGGGGCGGACGATCAAGACGGGAAGGCAACAACTTGTCGATGAAGTGAAGAAATGTGACACGGGGTGCAGAGTGATCTGGATGTACGACCCCCGAGTGGACAGATCGGAAGTTGATGGGTCGTCCTGGCCATTCGTTTTTGCTGATACCACTTCTATCGGTTAGGGCGTCCGACTCTACAAACGGACTTTAGTGTGTGTGTGTGTGGATTCACGATCTCGGAGAACAGATGACAGAGCGCCCTTTGATATATTACGGGGTTGGTGGACGGAGATTCTAAGCATCTAGTCGAGATTAGAACTTATGGGACTGTTGTGTGGTCGAGTCCGTAAGTTTGTCGAGTGATTCGTCAGCTGACTGATTAGCAGCAACCAAGAGGAACTTAACCACTCCAGCAAGCCAGAAACACTCGGAACAGGACGGGATCCAAAGATTAATGGTCTTCTGACTGGTTATGCACGTCAACTACTCTACACTATCAGGCCGAATCTTGAGGTGGTTGTAGTCATGCAGTAACGCGACGTGTCACCTTTAAAACCACTGATCCTTCTTCCGTCACATATGAGCTGTAGCTTACCGGTTGCAAGTGTCAGCCACTTTTCACAATAACGGCACCTAACACATAGCAGGTGGGTGCCGGCATCATCTTGGCATTTGAGTGGCGCTGCCGCTACTGCCATCCGCAAATGCGATCGATTGTGAAGGTGCGGGAAGTTCGGCAAGACCTGCAAAGTCAACCAAGTTGCTGGAACAAGCAACTCAGTAGCTGCCTGGACGAAAATCTTGGCTAGTACGTATCCACTTGCTCCAACCACACAAGACAGTTGTATCTCCAACTGCTGTGGAGATGGAGAGGATGAAGACGTTTCACAGGAGATTGAAGTGGAGCTCGAGCTGAGAGGTAACCTAAACAGCTACACGTTTAAATCCAATATCGATGATGGAGCTTCTTCGTCACATCAAAGAGGGTGAACATGACCAGCCAAAGCTGCCCATAGTCGAAATTCTGGCAGAGATTGAAAGCCACTGGAGAGCGAAAGCAGGGGACTCAATGAAAACCTGGCGCCCCTCGCTACAAGTTTTCACAGACTGAAAAGGCCGACGTCCTACGTGATATCTGCTTTGTGCTCGATGTATCGCAGAGAAAGTCACTAAGCCGTGCATCGAGCTCTCCGCGACTTTCAACTTGATACGCGCAACACACGCAGCACCCGATCTACCCTTGACTTGCGGTTTGAGATAATATCCTTCCCGATCAATACGTCGTCAATGACGAGAGGTTTGATGTGGTTCTCCTATTCTGCTAAAAACGAGCCAATTCTTGAAAATCCAGTGGCTCAGGTACATTGCCCATGCTATTGTAATTCAAACTTATTACCGAGAACAGGCCATGAAACGAGCTGAGTGGGGCGTCCAGTGTGACAACAGACTGGAAGCCATAAGTTAATGAAGAACGACTGGTCGGAGGGACCGCTGACTTTTCCCCCCTGTACGTGCTACTGCCCTCTCGATCATTGGGATTGTGATCATTGTGGACACGGTAGCATCCTAGTCAACGAGCCTCGACGGAGCGCGGCATAAACAAAGTGGCATACCGTCCAAATCGTTTTTATTGCCACGAATCAGCCGGAAGAGTCAGCTTTGCCGTAGTTCACATGCACGGGTACGTACGTACGTACCAGCGTACGTACATGCGATGGAGCAAGGTATCTACACTGGTACCGTTTGATGAGAAAAAAAGTCGATGCGAGCGATCGAAGGCACGAGATAAGCCTAGAACGTCAGCGGGTGTGACGTTGCTTCAACTATCATGATACCCTCTATCTTTTTTCGCGCTCTGGTAGTGGGTCGCGGCATGTCGTAAAGTCGTTTGAGTCACGTGGCAAGTCTTCGCTCTGGGCGAGCGTGGGACACTACGTGGCGGCATTCAATTATTTTATTCGTGACGATGACGGCAGCCCACTTCTGGCCGCGTGATGCAATCCATTCGAGTGCCACAAAGTCAAGTCATGATTACGAATCGTTACCGGCTCAGCTGCAGCACGAGAAAGTCCGATTGACAGACTCGCGTTCTCGTCGGGGAACATGTTCCGGAATGTTCCCGCTTGACAGACGGATCCCAAGTCGCACGTGACCAATTCCACTTCCTTCAGCTACAATGATGGTAACGCCACCAGGTATAAACAACTGATGGCAAAGCTGCCCATGTATCGTGAAATGGCAAGTCTGCTCTCGTGTGACCCGTGGGTAGCGACTCTTGATGGAGCTTTCCACATCTCTTTTTGTTTTTGTGTGTGTGTGTGTAGCTCATGAGCTGCGACCACCAGTTTACGAGTCCATCAGTCGCTTACATGTTCGACTCGAAAACAATAGACATCAACAGCACTGGACCCTTGACGCATCCAACAAACCTCCACCACTGTTCTTTTCTCGCATGTATGTGAACAAGAACACAACTTCGTATTGATTCTAAAGCGAGTCTGCACTCCTCCTACGCACACGCGAGAATAGCCTTTGAGTGTGAGTGTCGAGGGTGCTCCAGTGTCAATGTACACCACACGTCAGATATTGAGGCTCAACTGTTCGGGGCCTTGCGCATCCCAACAATGGCGATCGTGGCTATGGATGCGAGGACGCACAGGGTCGCAGCAGCAGCTGCTGGGGTCGTCATGTAGGAAGCCGCCACCGATAGGTATCTCGGCTTCTGTCGCCTCTCCGGAACTTCGTGCTCTTGGAACTGGTACACACCATCGTGCATCGCTTGGTCTGCAGCTGAATAGCGAATGGATGGATGATGTAACAAGCTCTTTTTCCTTCTTGCACTCTTCCCTCGGTGGATCGCAGAAGCGGTTGACGACTCGCTGATGGTGTCCACATCTTGTTCATGTTTCTCGCATCGCTCGCTCGTGCGACTATGAGGCAACGATGAACTGCGCTGTGAGAGCTTCTTCGACATGGACAGAGTCCCCGAGTCCGCTCGAATGGTTCTGTTTGGTACGGGAGCCTCTGGCATCCTTGACAAAGACTTGCGATACTCGGTTGGTATCCGCTTGGAGAGTCTCAATTGCCGCGGTAAAATGTACGGGGGCAGGATGCCATCAACACTGTTTGACAGCTTCACTGACACCAGTGGATCGGTTCCTCTTGACAAAGGAAGCGACGACATGCTTCGTGATCTCATTGTCTTTCGACCCAAACGACGACGGGAACTATAGCGACTCGGCATCGGGAGCGATCGTCTACTCTCATCGGTCTCGCCGCCTTGTGACTCCCGATCGTTGACCAGGAATGGTCCGGACGACAAGGTCCGGGATCGAAACGCAAGCTGGTGCTTTGAGACGGCACTTTGCCGCCACCATCGCTTCCTATCACACACTCTCCAGTTGTTGTCGTCGTCGCTGCTGCCACTGATATCGCCATCGCTCGAGAACGTGTCGTGGTCTTTTTCCAACAGGGATGTAGGCTTCGACTCGGTGTCGGACGCCCAAGCGTTGTTCCGACTGTTTTCAAGCAGCTTGGCATGACTTTGCAGCTCTTGTTTCGTCGGGATGTACTATAAAGCGCACCACGATGCAAAAGACACGCACAGAGAGAGAGAGAGATCAGCTGTCAACTCGATCAAGGGCGTCTAGCTTCCTTCCAGAACCATCAAGTAAGAACCTCAATGTCGCTGAACAAAACGTCCCGGTAGAGCACCATTGTCAGCAAGAGGTGCGTCGCAACAGGGTCCTGTCGTTCGCTTTTCCGTGCAGTCTTGCAGCCACGACAGCGCAGTTAGTTCAACCCCACCCCAAAAAGAGCGTCGTCCATCTCCGCAACCAGTGACTCGACTTACCATACTGCCACGTTCAAAAGACTTGCTAAAGACGTAATGCTGGTTGTCCGTGATCGTCTTCATCAATGGTTGCACCTCACTGCCCCTCACGCGTGCAGTGAGGTCCCATAAGGCAAACAACCGCAGCAAACAGTGTCGCACGTCGCGCTCGAGACAATTCAAGATCTCCCGAATCGCTAGCAATGTCGTGAATGCTGGCGGAACGGCCAGACTTGCACACAGCAGCACCTTCTTATGTTGAGCGTAGAGCTCCGGTGGTACAAACGGACCCATGAGACTACGGAGACTCACTTCGAGCAGTTTGTTGAGCACACTACACTGGTCAGCAGTGGCAGCGTCTGGACTTAAGCTCGACATGAGGTGCTCCCGAGGACTTGGGACGCTCAAGTGCTCCGGTGCTTTGGTGTTGAACGAGAACCCCTGCCACTCCCCCCGTTCTTTCTGTACACTCTCGAGCAGTGACACGTACAGGACTTTGGCTTGACGGGTGATCACGCTGTCTTGAGCTGTCGGGTCAGTACGGTAGCCACTGCGGTTGATAACTTCAAAGAACACCGAGATCACGATACTTGCTGCTTGGGTACAGGACCCGAACATGGCACTGCGCGGCGTTTGTTGCAAGGGTGTGTGCTGAAAAGCTTCATCGTGCTGCAGCTCCAATGGCGGCACTTTGCAAGCGCTGATCTCCTTTCGATGAACTCTGGATGCCACTGGAATCGAGTCGTGCGGATCGTAGTTGTGAGGGACTGCGGACGCTGGAGGCGGCAACTCGATCGACTTGGTGGTTGTCATCTTAATGAAGGAATGAAGGAAGGAACGAGTTGATGGATAGATGGATGAATGGATTGGTACTGCTGCAGCTGCTGGACAAACAAGCAGTGCACAGGACCCGAGCGGGTCACTTAAGCTCTTTCTGAAACGACGCGATCTGCGATATCTGGAAACAGACGTCTGACGGAGCACTTGGCCTCGCCCGCACAGCCGCTGTTTGAGTCGTGGGGTGCTCCATGCTCGTCGTCTTTTTCCAGCGATGATGAAGGACGTGTCGGACTATGTCTGCGCTTGCATATTCCCATGTGCGCACCAAGGTCGAAGGGTTGCATGACCTCCAGTTTGGAAGCTAATTGGGAGGTAGTCTCAGCTGTACAAGTGCTTCCAATGGACGAAAGATCGATCCCTATCCATATTGAAGACTGAAGACGGGAATGCTCGATGCTGTACTTGTGCCTGGTGGTCCTGACCGGGTAAGGAAGGACTCTAATGACGCGCGTTCAACGCTACATCTGCGGTCTCTTCATCGACAACCGCACCTGATGATCAAACGGTCCAACTAGTAGAAGATGTGCGCAGTGGTCGCGGAGTCAAGGTCTCACATACGACGCTCGTGCCCATTACCGCAAGAATCATGAGCTCCTCTTGGTGAACGTCAGCTACTTTCGCTGCTAAACCTGGACACAACATGAAAGTTTGCTCTGTTGATGTGACAGCACGACACAACCAATACTCGGCGGAAGGCGCACTCGTTGATCTAGATCGCTATGGCTCTCGAGACTGTCGGGATACGTTTTTGCTGAGTGTTTCCGAAGCGACCACATTGATAGCGACAGCTTACAAAAGTCTTCACGGACTTGTCGATCGTGACGGTCAGTCCCGCTGCTATCGATTCGTTCCAGCGGCAAAGTGTTTCCAGAGCGCAGTCGCACTCATGGATTAGGGACTACGAAGTCTCCACATCTTGTTGACCTCGACTTGCATTTGCGAACAGACCTTCACTTCACGTACCAGACTTAATACACTGATCGAATGCACAATCCACTTCACTCATGCATAGACCGTCGGCTTCCTCGTCGGTGTTTCACGTGTCCCTCTAGATGTGTGGAGAAATTTCATACCAGGGATCGCTCATGGTCATTGTTACCCTCTTGTATGCACACATCAATCAGTTGCGCTTCGCTGCACCAAGACCAACTAATTCCTCACAGACAGTCATTCATCGTTAACGTTTCGAGATAGTCACGCAGAAGTCGTAGCCAGCAGCTGTACTCCTTTGCCGTGCGACCATGTCATTCTCTTGGAGATTCGTGTGCGCGAAGAACAGTTGCGTACACGTTCGTGTTGAATTTGCCTTCCACTTCAAGCAGATGAATCACACCAAGGCTTCAAGTTCTTCTTCTCCAAGTTAGATGTCCAGAGCTTCATGATCCATCCAGGTTTGCCTGCAAGACCTCATGAATTCAGGAATGCGACGACTGCTACTGGATCTGGTATAAATTGAGATAACACTACTACAATCTCTCTCTGCACGAAGTCCCGACTAACTCATGATCAAGGGCAGCTACTTACTACATCGATTGCATGCCTTACACCAGCTATCGCTAGAAACAGCTCGAATTGCTGGACTTAACTTGATGAAAGAGCGTGACTACGTTGGCGACAAGCTCGTCTCATCTCCGCAACGGGTTGGTGCACGCAGCTGGTAGATTGTAAACCTTCCAGTCGACTTTGTCGATAGTTATTGTACAGCAACGAGTTAGCATATGGCAAGCATGTGCCCATTCGTTTACCAGGCTGCGTTAATGTGCATGCACCAAAGAGTTTGTAGCATGCAGCAGGTACTTGTATGCACTCAGCCAGCCCGCAGCATTAGCACCAAAAGAGACGTCGACTAAGAGCAAATGGCGCCAACATCATTGTTGCTGCGGTATGTCGTTCACCGCATCCACTTCTTTCCATCCACTCAAGAGTCGGCTGTCTTTCTCTGCTTTCTGCCCATTCTTACGCTCTCTGCAGACTGCGGTTTTGCTTCATGCTCTCTATTGCCACAGCCCATTCATTGATAGACACCTGTTGTAATGCGATACCTATTCAATCAGCCGCGATCCATCCTGTCGGTTGATTGTTCCTATACGCTGATTGACTGCTCTTCTTCGAACGGACTTGAGCTTACTTTTCTCAAGATTTGGCTCTGTTTGCAGCCCGACCAGAAGTTCTGCCCCGTTTCCAGTATCCCTGGCCATTATACCCAGCTTTTCGTTGGTGTCCATCACCTTTACACCGCTCATGATATTGCGTACCACCTTCGTGCAGACACCCAGCACGCAAATGTCAAGCTTCTTTCAACATGTAGCGACGGCGCGTACGAGATTCTCGACTGGCGTCCATTACATCAGGATTCTCAGCTTCCTCTCTTCCACTTGCTCTTTACGGAATCAACGCCAATCACCATCCCATTAACTTTTGTCAGTTGCACGGTGTACACGTCTTCAGAGGCATACTACACGATGCTGCTATGGAGCAACTACCGATTCATCTACCCAGTCGGCTCCAAAGTACATAATCGCTCATTGTGTCACTTCAGGATCCCTCTTCACTTCCGTGACTGGATCCTTCAATTGTGTAGGCAACGATACTTAGTTGCGAACCCGAAGGGTGATGCTATGAGCGGGTGTACGCAAGGTTGGCGTAATTAGGAACCAGGCACTTGTCCCGTTCGACCAAGGAACCGAACACATGTCTTCGTCCTGGTTGGGTGGAACATCGAATGCGCCCATGATAAACGATGAACAATAGCTAAGAAGATGTGAGGACCCGATATGGCAAATAAACGGTTGCTGGGCAAAGATGTTGGTCTGGGTTATCCACATGACACGATGCACGTGATACATCCGGCAATATTCATCTCAAGGTGAAACACATCGGTAAACTCGAGACGCCCTGCCTTATGCCTGGTATCATTCGACACGACGATGTCGTTCTGTACGTCGTCAATTGCGGGTCGTATCGGGCTTTGATGACGCACAGCTTGACGTCGCTATCAGCCAAGTCAACTATTCCAAAGAGTACTTGGCATATCACAAAGCCAGCAAATGTTGGACACTTTGACATCCTTTACATCAATATCGGACGCTCGATACTCAATGATCGCTGCTTCAGGGCAAAGGGGTCGGACACGCAGGTGTTACTACCAGTTTGTCCATCTGTTTCTTCTTCTGTGTGTGTTCCGAGATACGCTCCTTGAGCTCTCGAATCTCCATATCAGCACTCAGCACCAGTGTTTTTGCATCCTGAATCTCTTTCTGCACAAACGCCTCGGCATGAGCCAGCGTCTTTAGAACTTCCACGTCTGAGTACGTGGGCAACTGGTCCTGCATAGTCAGCGGCGGCGACTGACGGTCTGGTCCCGCCATCATTTTCTTGTAAAAGAACTCGGTAGGCTCATTGAACACGAGTTCGTCATAGAACTCGCTTACCACGGGCTACACATGCCATCACATCGCACAGAAGAGCGTTAGAAATGAGGAACAAGGACTAATAGAGACAAATGCAATAACCCCACAAATAAGCACCTTTTTCGTACTGGCAGGCTGGCTATTGGGTGGATAAAGCACCAGCAAGTGGATAATACTGATCGGTCGCTCGTTTGGATCGTGAAAGTAAATCTGGATCCGCGTTTCAAACTCGCCCCAACCGAGTTCCGTGACTTCATACGGTGGTTCTGTTAACACTGCGGGCCGAATAGAAATATTAAGTTTCAGAGTGTGTAACCGATTTTCGGGTAAATAGACTAGGGTACCTCGAACCGGGTTCGCAAAGCTCACGTGTAAACTAATCACGACCTTGCTGATAATATATGACAGGTCCTCATTGTCAACACCGCGCAAATAGATGGACCACCGATGGGTCTTGGTCTCTTCGGCCTTCCGCCCAAGATACGTGGCCACTGATCCATACAGAATGGGTTTGCTCACTATCACGTTTTTCTGTCGCGTGTCGGACATGACGATGACAAAGTTACAGTTAGGCGCGTTCGTAACGTAGTCACGCGCGCTGATTGGCTAAAATGAGCACGATAGAAACTACCCAATAGAAACGTCACAGCATTTTGTACCGGCATTTAGAAATCATGAAGCGAAAGCATGCGGCGATAGAAGCGGCCACTGCAAGCGAAGAGCAAGCGGCCTCTACGTCCACAGGTACATTCAGTATACTCAACACTACATTGGCTGACGATCTGCAGTGCTAGACGGCGACGGACAGCTGTGGTTTAATGCTGAATTCAGTATGTGAGTGCACGGACGATTATTGACCACTGATATGCCGTGTTTTATATTGTTGCTCACCAGCGCCAAGATCTGGAGCCAGTATAGGCGAAAGCGACAACATTATTATTGCCGACTTGGATAATCTGGACGTGCAGGATTTTTTGCTGCAAGACTGTCAGGCGTCCTCTCGAGTGTGTGAATTAGTGATGCTGTAGACGTTTCTTTCTTCTGTGGTACTTTTGTGGGTCTCTTTTGATGATGGATGGACTTGCAACTCTAGATACTTTTGGAACAAGCAAAAGCACGGGCAGATGAGCTACGACGAGAGTTCGAACGGGGCAAAAAGGTGCTGCTGGATGCACTGGAAGCCGAGAAGGAGGACGGTGGCAATCGTGCGATGGCTTCATTGGGCTCAAGCAGAAGCAATTTTTGTCGCTTCGTGCACTGACATGCTCTTTTTTTTCTGTTTACTGTTCGTGTGTGTGTGTGTTCTTGCTGGTGTCTAGATGGCGATGGAGTCCCACGTGCTTTTATAATTTTGGTCCAATGCCTTTCTGGACCGTATCGAGGGAAGAAGTTCCGTATGGATATCGACACGGTGACGTTGTGTTTACGCTTCTTGAACCTGCAAGTTCAACGGTTGTGCATGGAAAAAAAGCAGCTGGCTGATTCTGGTGTGCTTGGATCGTTCGGTGTGCAGACGCGGCATACATCGTGCTTCATCGGTCGGTCGACTGGTCGAAAGTTTCGCCCTCCGCGCGGTCTGAGCGTGCCAAAGGATTCGGAGCTTTCGACGTCGCATGGAGAGGTGAGTACGCAAGCTGAAGCAAAGCCGGATGACGAGGATGAAGTGCGCTGATTGTAAGCACGGAACCTGATGCCTTACAGATCAAAATGGAGGCGACAGGCAAGCTTTTCTTCATCGACCTGGACAGTACGAACGGCACTCGTGTCAACAATGTGCAGCTGGAGGCCCACGCGCCGTTTGAGCTCACGCTTAGCAAGCCGACGAAAGTGGAGGTTGGTGGTGGTGAATACGAGTTTGTCTTTGAGCAGAAGTCGTGAGTGGCACCCGAGAATTGCAGCAACTTCCGCCGCTTCATTCTCGTCCCGCTCCTCAAAGACGTAATGTTTGGACGGATTCTATCTGTCTGCACGACTCACAACACCCAGTACAAGCACACACAAAAACAGCACGACGGTGCTCCAATCACCACCTTCTTTAGCACTCCAGTTCGTGTTCGTCCGACCATTTACTTCCTCTTTGTGCCTCATCCAGACACAGCGCCTGACGCCCCAGTTTATAAGTGCACCCACACCATTTGACATGCACCTGTCCTGCTACCATCACGCTTGACAGCGGAGCTCAGGTCCAGTAGACCAACGACCCCATTAGCCGCTTTCAGCCCCCCGCACAGCCAACTTTCCTTCAGTTCGAGCCCGAGAGCTTGTCTTTCAAGTCCCCCACCGTCTTGTCCGCCTTGTTCAGAGCAGCCTTCGCCTCGTCGTGGCCAGCAAACGCCATCTGACACGTGGTCCAGCTCGAGCCAGCTCCTGCCCCCGCGCCCAGGCCCGTCACCAGTCCACGCCCAGCACCTGAACCTGCACATACAAAGCGGAAGACGATAGAGGCGTCAGCTTTCAACCTGCAGCTACTGCGAGAGCACGACTGAGTCTCTCAAGCCACGTACGGGCCAAGACGAGGGACGTGAGGCCGCCAGCGACGAGGCCAGTGCCGAAGTAGAGCGCAAAGTTCTCGAGACACTTGTCCCACTTCTCCGAGATGCGGTACTCGGACGGAATCTCCTTCTTGTCGCTCATGGAGAGAGAGAGAGAGAGACGTCGTGAGGGCGAGTAGGACGGGAGGAGCGCCGGTCGGGTGGCTTTTAGTGGCGGAGGTTTGATATTATCCAGGATATTTAGTGGACGGAGGCGATATGTGCTGCTCCAGTTCGGTTGGAATGGCGCTGTGTATAGGAATGATTGGGTCATAGCACGGCTTTTGCTCGTTCCTCGATAGTACTTTGTACTCGTAAGCAGAAAAGTAGTAGTAGTAGTAGTCGGAGCAGGAGTATGATAGTAGTACTATAGTAGTCGTAGTAGTCCACTGGGACCCAAGATGTCATTTCGACCAATCATTGTGCTGATACACGACCACACCGCTTCGGGATTGGACATCAATGGACGACGAGCGTGTCGTGCTGTTGGGGTTGATCCAGAAGCGCCAGGGCGTGGACAACTGCTCGCCCTACGTGTCGAAAGCAGGAGGCACTCCGGTAGACACAGTCTTCATCTACAGTCTGCATTCATTGGCCATTGTCTCGACCCTGACTCGTGTGATTCTAGGCTTTTTACTCGACTCAGGCGCCGGCCGAAGCTGCGAACTTAACGTGCGCGAACTGTAGCAAAGGATTGTTCCTCGTTGCCCAAGTTTATGCTCCGGTAGAAACCGACCGGACGTTGTACGTCTTTGGGTGCAACTCGGTATCGTGCACGGAAGTGTCGGGCAGCTGGCGAGTGTTGCGCGATCAGGTGGAGCCCGTGACGGAGACTCCTGCTTGCACTGAGGTTGAGACAGTGACCGAGGAGATGGATCAAGTGAAGCTTGCGTGGGGTGCAGAGAGTGATGATAGCGACTGGAGTGACGACAACAATGACGATGGCGGCAGTGGAGCAGCTGATCTCGTGGATCTCGAGGCGCTGCTGCTAGAGCGAGATGAAGCCATTCAGACGAATGCAGCGACGACTAGACCGACTATGATACCTGAGAAGACACAACAGCTAACTGAGAGCTCTCTAAGTGATGGCGGGAATGTCTTTCCAGCTCTGTTGATTGAGGTGGTCGAAGAACCGTTTGAAGCCGTTACGACCGGACGTGACTTTGCACACGAGAAGGAGCTGCTCGAGAAGTACATACAAGCAGAGGAAGAGGAACAGTCCAGTGAAGGTCGGGACTTGCGTCACGTGCTGACGCAGGCAAAGAAGAGAAGCAGCACAGTGCAGTCAACAGGAGCTACATCGTCAACAGGTGAATCGTATGAAAAAACACCAGCGGAACAGCGGCATTTGCTGCGTTTCCAAGAGCGCATCAGTCGCTGTCCACTGCAGTGTCTTCGCTATGATTACGGTGGCGACCCATTGTGGCCAGTAGTGAAGCCCCGCGGTGTGAAGGTCCCGCCATGTCCCGGCTGTGGACAAGAGCGGTTGTTCGAAATGCAGTTGACGCCGACGATGAATTATTTTCTACAGGTCGATAAGTACGCCGTCGAAAACGCCGACTCTGCGTCTCTGCAGCAGCAGCAGCAACAGACGCCCTCCCATGTGCACTGCACGATGGCAGGTGGCCCCAAGGCAGTCGTGCCTTCAAGTGCGATGGACTGGCTCAGTCTCGTCGTGTACAGCTGCTCTGCAAGTTGCTCGGCCAGTCACGAGGAATTCATCTACGTCGTGCCGCCCCCGACATGTTAAAACAAATCATCCCGCTAAAACTGTTTAAACAAAAAACCAAAAACCAAAAACCCGATAAACACACTTTTCGAACGAGAGACATCGTCCGCTCTCTCTTCGTGCAACATTCCCTCCCGCTGCGACATCCATCGAGTCCACCCACCCACCCACCCACTTGACCAGATCATGCACGTGCGGCTCGCACTGCGCCGCTCCAGCAGCTCAGGCATTCGCCGGCGCTCCAATGCATTGCAACCTCATTCTGTAGCCATGTTGGACACTGTGCGATCACCAGGTCGCTGTCGTTTCGCTTTCAGTGCGGCGTACCCTACGCCCATTGAGTCGGCTGCATTGGCCGCTAGCAGTGATAAAAAACCCATGCCCCGTCTGGTCTGTGGCAAATGCAACGCGACGTTAAGTGCGACAAAGGACCTGGTTTTTTTCCGATGGTACGAGATTGTTGTTCCACTGGGTTTTATCCAATGAGATCGACAAGAGATGCTTTTTTTGTTGTTGGATATTTGTAACAACAACCTCTCACACGGATTAATGGCTGTTTTTATGGTTGTTGACTGCTTATATGTACATACATGCATGTATACGTATATGTATACTGACACAGGCGCAACGGTATCCACGTCTCGAATGCAACGGATGAGTCGCTGAAGAATTTGTTCCCAGAAAACGCGGTCGAAGAAGACGATACAAGCTGGAAAAAGCACAAGATGCTCTGTATCAAGTGCAATCATCAAGTGGGGACCTTGGCTCGGGTCTTTTCCTCCGACCGAGTGCTATTCAGTGCCGCTCGCGTGGCCATCCAAATGTCCGAAGCTCAGTCGCCTCTGCTGTCATTGTCCGGATACCCGTCCTCGGTGTTGAGCTTTGCAATGTGGTCCGAGTTGATCTTGATCGCAGAGACGCAGCCACAACTCAAGGGCTTGCTGCAGATCCGCAGAGTGGACACGATCCAGCAGCACTCGACCGATACAGCAAAACTGAACCGCAAAATTCTCATGGCAAAGGATTTGCAAGAACTGCTACGCGTCGTGGACGAGAACGTACGTACGTCTCAAGCGGAGCAGTTTTATGACGGACGAAAAGTCGTAACACGTGCTGCTACTGGTTTTTGTAGGTGCTTGAGCTGAATCAGTACAATATTCGGACGGCAATCGATCGAGCAGGCCGATTCGTGGCAACGAGAACGTCTCGAGTAGACTTGCCGGTAGGAACACCTTTTCGTCGTGTTTGTGCTGTGTTTTACTTGACAGTTGACTCGTCATGTTATGTTTTGCCAAATTGTGGTAACAGGCAGTCAGCAGCAGCAACAGCTTGAACAAATCTGAAGCGCCAGAAGATGAGTTGCTAGTAGTTCCGTCGCCAAATCTGTCCCCGAGATTGTCGACTAAACCTACTGCCTTGGATACGAAACGGTTGGTAATGCGTGCAATGACTGGAAGCGCTGCAAAACTGGTACTAAGGAGTCTTTTTTGCCGCATTTTCGCATCAGGTTCTGGAATCTAATTGATGAGACTGAAAAGCTGGTAAACTTTGGCATTGCCGCCTTCAAAACTGGCCAAGCGCTTTCCAATCTTACGACTGCGCTGATGCGTCTCGGTGTGGGGCGCGCGACAATTCTGCAGTACGTCCAGGCACATCAAGATCTGGTCGTCGTAAAGTGTCACCTAAATTGATTGTCTTGTACACAGACCAGTGGCTGCGCAGGCTGTATTCCTGATGCAAGCTGACAAGCCAAGAATGAGCGCACACGAAGCCTGCATGGTTGCCACAGCAATCGTGCATTTGCTGCCAAGGGAGCGTCGGAGAAATGATTGGGTCTTGGACACTTTGCAGGCAACCAGCAAGATGGTGATGTCTGAGCTTGACGGGGAGAACGCAAGTGTCGAGGACAAACAGCGAGCCGCTGAAGTGCTCATCCCGCTGGCTCGATCCTTCCTATTTGCCGAAAGCTTCGACAATGCTTTGTTCCGACGAGCCTTTCGCGAGATGAACTCCCGGGCACTGACCAAGCTCAACTTGCCTCCGCACAAACTTCGGGTACTCATGTCGAAGGCGTACCAAGTTCATCTGGACTGTGAACTAAACGGCCGATCGAGCGATTTACGCTTGTCGCCGGCTTTCGAAGATGAGTGCAAGCAAGCGTTTGACGCTCATCAGAGGAAGAGCAAGAGCTCGTCGTATCGCTTGCACCATCTTGTCTGCACGGCACTAGACGAGCTCGGGATTGCCAATGAAACTTCATACGGTGTGGAGACGAGCTACCATTTTGATGTAGCGGCACCGAAGCAGAGAATCGCGATTGAGATCAACCAGTCCGATTGCTACGGGGTACTCGAGCCGGGCGACGAAGACGAGGAGCCGAAAACCTTTGGCTTTGTGGATCTCAAGACACGCCACCTGAAGCTCTTAGGCTGGACGGTTATCAACCTGCATGCCGACCGGTTTTTGCAGCGCAAGACCCTGGAGGACCGCGTGATGTACCTGAGCATGCTGCTGGAAATCGTCACATGTCGTGAGTGGAAGCCTACGCAATTGAACCGAAGTGGTAGTCGATCCAAACAACCAAGTATTAGATAGCGACTGATGCAGTTGAACCTCCGTTCTGAATATGCAGCAAACGGGTCGCGACTTGCGCAGCACACCGTCCGTCTACGAGCCACCCACCCGCCCCTCCGACTTCTAGTGCTTCTTCGTCTTCTTCTTCTTCTTCAGCTTCTTCTCCTTCTTCGCCTCCGCAACAAACGTATCAGCTGCAGTCTCCTCCTCACGCTTCTTCATCTTCTTCCTCTTCTTCCGCTTAAGCTCCTCCACCACATCGTTCTCCTCTCCTTCTCCTGCAACCACTTGCTCCTCACCCGTCTCCAGTTTCCGCTTCTTCTTCTTCTTGTTCCTCTTCATCGCCACCTCATCTCCCACCTCAACAGCCACCCGTTGAACCTCCTCCTCCCTCTTCTTCTTCTTCTTCTTCTTCTTCACCTCCGTGGCCTCTTCCTCCCAGTGTTTGTGTCGACGGCCGCCCTCCCCTTGACGCACAAACATGGCGTACAGTCCATTGTTCGGCAGTCCGTCCGAGCGCTTCCCTCCCTTCCGGCCACTCCCCGATGCAAAGCCCAGACCGCCCTACAGGAAACACACACACACCAAGTTACCCTTGCTGAGGTTCGTCCGTTTTCGTGTCTCTTTGTACCTTTTTGCCTCCTGGTCGCAGCTGCGAGAGCACGTCATGGAGGCGGATGAGCTTCTCGTCCTCCATGGTCCAGCGCTTGTCGGCTTTCGAGAGACTGGACGTTAGGGACGAGGTGGGGATGGCCAGTGCTTTTGGAGCGAGGGATTTGGATGAGCGATAGTGACGTGAGAGCGATTTGTAGGTGGACATGCTGGAGGTGAAGCGTAGGAGGTCGGTAACGCCAGGGAGGGAGCAGGGGAATAAGTCGTGGGTCGATCGATTAGCGCTTGGACTCGCTTGTTTGTACTGATTAGAGTTAATGGTTTTAAGGTTGGGGTTTATTTGGATCAGCTCGTGTGGTGCTCGTCGCGTGACAGTTAGCGAGCATCGGTTTTTCGCAGCAGGCCACAAAGCTCGGACAAAAAGAACTCCTTTTTCGATGTCGCGCCAGTCGCGTTTCTAAGCGACGTTACGACTGACTCACTCACTGTGTCCAGAGAGTATCTACATCATCGACTCGAGTGGGATCTCACTAGACCCGGTACCACCTGTTGGCATTGGGAACGAGCAGCTCACGTAACCGTGACATCGTTCCCAGCCGCGTCTTGACCTCCAAAGAGATAGTACCAGCAAGCAACTCACTCACTTTCACTTTTCCTCAAATGGCACGTGACCCGCATGCAGCGTCTTGTGCTCATTGGCAGCGTCGTGCTCACCTTCCTGGTCGTTGTCCTACTGCTCGTGTACCTGGTCCTCATCCCAGCTGGGATCCAGCACCATCTCAACTTGGCTGAGCTCTCGGTCAATTATCTGGACGTCAAGAGCATCTCTAGTGCCTCTTCGCTCCATGTCGAGCTCAGTCTAAACGTGCAACACGACATCAATATCGCTGCCTCAACCGACGACATCACAGCTTCACTGCTGTACGGTGACGTCGCCTTCGGGTCCGTAGTGATCCCTGGTCTTGACATCAAGCCGGGTGAACAGAACTACAATATCACTGTAGCTAGTTCGCTCATCCTACTTGACGTGAACATGTTCAATATCATGGCTGAAGACCTGATGAAGGAGATTGAGATCTCGCTCGAGGCTACGGCTACCGCCAAGGCACACGCTTTTGGCTTGAGCTACAATGGTCTAGCTCTGAAGGGCCCGCTAGCACTGAAAGGCTTCAACCACTTTAGTCATCCTACCCCGAATTTCAAAATCATCTACTGGTTCGGCTGCATTGAAGACGCGTACCAACTGGACATCAACGTGACGTTAATCAACCCGTCTTCTATAGGTCTGGACGGCATCGGAGCTTTAAATTTGAGCCGGTAGTACGCCGACAGCTACTTGGGCCAGCTCTTTCGTGCTACTGTGTCACAAGATGTAACGGCACTTGGTAGCTTGGCTCTGGATATCCTGGGCGGCAGAGCTCAGCTCTTCATCACGGGTGACAATCCACACTCGACCAAGTACACACAGTTCCAAGAGGCTGTTAGCCAGATCAACATGAGCGTTGTGTACACGGACGGTCTCTCCAGTCTCGGCTTCAACACATCGTGCAGCATTTTGTCGCTACTGTAGTCACCAATGACGCCGTACCGAGAGATAGGAAGTGGGACGAGACTGTCAGAGTGTGAGTTTGCCTGCACTCACTGAGATTGGCTTCAACAACTACTGTTTCGAGAGGGCATGACACGAAATTCATGTTTGAGCTCGGTCTGCGCCTTCCAACACACGATACTGGATCATTTGTTATACTTCGGAGGCATCGACATAAAGCTACTGTATGGTGATCAGCGACTTGCAAAATTCTCAGATTTTGGATGACAGGATCAACTTGCCGGTAGCTGAAAAAAGCTGCAGAAATGCGAGAATCATCTTCACTCCATTATAGGAAGTGCACAATGATTGCTATGACAAATCGATACTCAGACGGAAAACGATTGCAGTCGATGGGCAAGTATCTGTTGTAAAGTCGGACACATCGATGCGTCGAGCGAACTCGTATCTCCAGTAGTAACTTCATCTGCTAACGACGTTTAGTTTCGTCAGCTTCTGACATCGATACAGCCTTCCAGCTCTGACTTGGTATCAAATATGGCTCAAAGGCGCGAGTTCAATCACTACACTAAACCTCATGCCACAGCCTCTCGCACTGTATGCTTTTAGCTTCTGGTGTAGACGTTTGGTTGTAAGCGTTCACTCACGAGCTGGATCAGCAAGCTTTTGCCTGAAGTCAAAGCCAGAAGCAGAACACAGACGCAATTACAAATAGTTTTGTAAACAAATCTGCAGCATACTATCACTGAAGGTCGCCGAAAACTTACAGCACAATAGTTTTCCGAAAGCTCACTCATTCCGTTTAAATATATGGAGTGCATTACAATTAGCTCCAATTTTACACTACCACGTCACCACTGCAATCAGACGCATCGTCGTCAATCGGTAATCTTTCGGCTTTACAAGCTGTTTGATGGTGCCACGCATTGACCAGCTCCATCTTGCGAGCAATCTCTGCTGACGTCTCTTCGTCATCCATACATCGAATCGAAATCGTCACTTCCTGCTCATCAGATTCCGAGTCGACCGTATCGTCACTGTAGCTCTCAAGTAGACTCTCTTTCGAAAGCATGTCCACTTCAAAAGTCTCCGACGCGGCGGTACGTGCCAGCGCGGGCTTGGCAAAGCAGTTCTTGATGTTCACCCAGTTGAGTCCAATACCAACAAAGGATAGTCCGAGACCCACCATTTGACCCAGTGCCAATACATGTCCAAACAGAAAGACAGAAAGCACGATACTCAGCACCTTACGGCACGTGCCAATGATAGCTGTCGTCAGGGCGCCAAACATGCTGATGGTATAGAAAATGAAGGCCTGGCCGAAAGCACCGGTCAAACTGAGCAGCAGGAGACTAGGCAGCGATGGCACAATGTACTGGAGAAACACAGGCACTTCGCCATTGATCACCATTCCAGCAGCTGAAAAAAGAGCCTTGTACATGCTGACGTAGTACATGAGGTCAAAGGCGCCAATATCGAACTCGGTCATGAACTTGTCTTCTAAAGCACCCGTCGCACCGTCAAAGATGAGAGAAAGCACCAACAATGAAACCCCAAGGACCATATCAGGCGTCCGTTCGTGCTCGGGTAGACTCTTATTGTGGCGCTCTTCGTGCTCAATCACATCGTTGTGCTTCCCGTTTATTGTGCCCAGCAAAAAGACAGCAACACCGATCGACAGCACCAAAACCGACACGTACTTTTGCACAGCGTATTTCTTGCCGAGCAGCACGCCAATGACCAGAACTGGAATGGATTTGCACGACTTGCCCACGATCCGAGTGACGTACGACACATACCGGAGCGCCACCATCGACGCAATTGTCGAGCCAAAAGCCAGAGCACCCACAAGCACCAAGAAACGCTGCGGCACGGTCGACAGCTTTTCGTTCCGAATCCGACGTAATCCAACTGCAACGAGGGAGTTGAAGACACACAAGACAAACGTCATGGACAGTTCGCCCAGGACGCGGTGCGTCGTGATCTTTTCGAGGACGACTCCATGAAGGGTGAATGACGCTAGAATGCCACTGCAACAATAGACCAGCAACCAGAAGCTCGTCGGTTTGCTACCAGCACCTGATACTGTTGGACCGGTACAATGAACGCTTTCGACCGTTTCGCGACTGCTGCTGATACTCTCACTCGTGTCTACGACAGCCACAGAAGGCAGTTGTATAGACTCTTGCAGTAAGCCCTTGTCGTTCAGTACCACCTCATTGAAGTGCACGTGGTCCCCATTTGACGATATAGTATGGATACTGCACACCATAGGCGCTTGCTTGGTACGTCAGCACTTCGGTTCAACCGACCAACCGACCGACCGACCGTCACAGTCCCTTGACGTCTTGGCGGCGGGTTGCGATTGGCTTGGACGGGTTCAGCGAATGACTGGCTTGGGATGATGGAGAAAGCAGCTGTTGTGTTTGACGACGAGGTCCCTGTCAAACTTAATAGGTTTTGTCCTGAGAAGGCGACTGAGACGAGACTGTATCGTGTGGGCGTATTTATTGCGGGACGAACTGCAGTGCATTGTACTAGTTCAGTCGGGGACCTTGATGTGAGTATCTGAGCGATTGCACATGGCAATGCTCAGTTTGACTTGAATAACGATATGTGCGTACGTACGTGTGACTGTTTTCATGGATTAGGCTCCATTAGGCAAACAAGTTGATGCGAGAATCAACTTGTGTAGTTGAGTGGAACAAGGGCAGCAGGCTTCAGCCAGAAGATCATGATAGGTGCTACTATACATCACAATAGATGCTACCGTGTGCCATAATAGACGCTACCGTACAGTTACTGTCGCTTATACATCACATGACAAGGTCATGTGGTCAGTAGAAACAATCAATAGCGTACTAAGATCTACGATCTGTCACATGACGTTCATTCGCGAGTACGTTCGTCAAAGGCACATACAACTATGTAGCTTCGTACATGTATCAACAACACGCGCACGACAGTAGCCACTTAGTGTATCCTGCACACGCAACGCAGGTAGAGAAAGGTGTCAAGAGTTCTTACACGCACTGGTCATTGCAGACAACCCGAATTGCGAAATTAATGTGTCGACCGCAGTCTGTAAAATAAACAACAATCTCCCTCGCACTGTAGTTGTGGTACGTATTAACTGATATGCTGTATCCGGACAAGTCTCATTAGCTTACCCATCGTCGACCCACATGCAGCTCCACATTCGTTCCGGGGCAAAAAAGTCGCACAAACTTCGCGACGTACCCTTGTACAGTCTATTTTGCTGGTACTTAGTAGTAGGTTGTCAATCATCATTCTTCGCAGCGATTGGTTGAGCCATTTGAGCTCAACAAACAGCACAGTGCGTTCTGTCGTTGTGAGATGAAGTTGTACGTGGCACACACCATCGATTGAGCCGGCCCACCCTCACGCTGTGATTGGCCAATACTCGTCCACTGCTTTGTGGCTGTGACAACCACCAGGAGCTCATCGCCATGATGCCACGCTGGACGCCAACGTTCGTCTCGGTGCTGCAGCGACCGCAACGCGTCAAGCCGCTGCTCGTGCGGTGTTTTGCGTACGTACAAAACGTTTCCATTCTATAGGACTGTTTTGATCCCGTTCTGCGTATTATCTCGCTCGTTTGGCAACGTTTTTGTGTACCCATTTCCTCGATCTAACCGAAATATGTGACTTTTTATCGTAGTCACAATGTGAATATGATCTTGAAGGAAGACGTGCCAAAGCTCGGATCTCGGGGGGAAGAGGTGTCTGTAAAAGCGGGTTACGCACGTAACTTTTTGTACCCCGAGAAGTTAGCGGTGTACGCCACGGCAGCTAATCTTGAGAAGTACAAAGTTGACAAGGAATCGGTGGACGAGACGCTGCTGGAGAAAGAGTACGAGCTCGAGGCTATCATTTACCAGTTGAGCAATATTGAGGTGTTTTTCAAGCGCCACACGGCCAGCAAGGCCGATGTCAAGCTGCACAGTGAGGTGAATGCTCAGAACATCTCGGACATGCTGGAGAAACAGCATGGTCTCATTGTGGGTGTCGCCCGTATCGATCTACCGACACCTCTTAAGACGCTGGGTGAGCACACGGTAAAGGTCCGTGTCGATGATGCGATCGAGGAGGAGTACGCTGCTGGCGCGGTGGTGTCGGCGGCAGAAGGCGAGGCAGAGAGCAGTCTTGAGGATGACGACAAGAAGCAGAAGAAGGGCCCTTCCAAGAAGAAATGGGTGAGTCTTGCTATTCAGATCGAGCGACGGTAACTTGATTTAGTTTCCGTCCTCTTTACTCAGCCGACAATAGAAAAGGGAAGACACACAGGCTAGAAAAGTGGATGCTTCTTCGACGTTGGTAGACCCGAGGGAATAATGCACAACGTCTGATCGCTGAGTCTTTCTGAGACTTAAATGAGACTCCGCCAACTCTATTCTATGGCTCCCGTAGCTGTACTGAATCTGACGCCCTATGTGTGGTGACTGGCCACGGTTTACACCGTGATACCATGGACATCAACTTGAATAGAGCGAAGGACAGTTTTTGGCGTCATACAATCGAATTAGTACGAGCGAGATGGCTGTTTGCAATCGAAAGCCAACGAAAACCCCACCGGTGGCAACACAAATGGATAAAGCTGGCAGTAAATTGAGAGGCAAGACAAAATCTACTCATCGCACAACGTGGCGGGGCAAGCAGATCACAGAGTTTGGTAAGAAAAGATAGGTGTTTTCACTGAGGTGTTGAGGTTGGTCCACTTGCTGTGCTTACAACGAGCTTTATTTGAATCAGAGTCGAGGGTGTACGAGATCATTTCAACGGTGCGAAGGGAGATTCAACTTTCAGAAACCGTTGAGCTCAAAACTAAAGCTGCATGATGCGATAGATCCCAGCGGGCAAAGTGAGCACTTACGGTGGCGTAGCTCGCATGCTTCACTCTGGACCACGATGCGTCGGTCAAGCTTTGCGCGTGCGTACAGCAGACCAACGGGTTGATCATCACCTCGATGTGTAACGGTGAGCTGATGCTTGCGCGTGTCACTACAGAAGAATCCGTTTGCGCCTGAGGTGCCGTGTCACCGCGTTGTCACGACTTCACTTGACATTGGCGGCTTCCAGGGTACGCTACGAATGCATTGGAACCTGCAGTAGATGTGCCAATAATGCGTTCCGTGGATACTACTGCATAGGCACAACTGGCGAGGATTCGTCATGTGTCCAAAAGAAGCGGACGCTGTTGGCAAAAGAAGGTGTCGTGTTCACGACAGAGCACAAGGTGGCTGGCCTGCATTATGATGCACAACTTCTGCAGTAACGGCATCGGTGTTGACAGTGTTCTTGATCTGTGATTTCGTGGGCAGATCGATGCTGCTTGCCTGCACGAGTTCGACTGATCTACTTCTTTGACGCGACTAGCGGATTCAGTTCAAGACCATGTAAGTTGATGCGACTGCAAGCTCGATTCTAGATCCGATCAGTCGGTTGCATATACCTCCATTGTCCAACAGGCAGTGACCCGAGCTTCACGCCTCCGATACGTACGCGCTTCAGAGCCATCACACGCAACCCGACATGCTCACACATGTGGCGAATATGCCTGTTCTTTCCTTCCGTAAGAACCATCCGCAGTTGGTTCGCGTTCAATATCTCCGCCGACTTAGCTCGGTACGTGATGCCTTCCTCGGACGTCACACCAGCACGCAGCACCTCCAGCTTGGCCTGCATCTCGTCACTTGTCGGATCTAAATTGACGTCCACACGCACGAGATATTCCTTCTCAATCCCGCTCTTGGGATCCAGCAACGTCTTAGCCACTGTTCCATCTTGTGTGAAAAGCAGCAGTCCCGTCGAGTTGACATCAAGACGGCCACAGACTGCCATTTTCCACAAGTTCACTGGTTCAATACTCTGTCGAGGCTTGACGTGACTCAGTTCTTGACACTCGTTCTCAAAGGTGAGCAGTCGAACGGCGGGCGTCTTGTTCAGCTCGGGCTGAGACGACACATAGCCCAATGGTTTGTTCAGCACTAGCGTCACCTTTTTGTTCTGATGTCGCTGAGCTCGAAAGTCCAGACGGACGTCGCTGTCTAGAGGCACTTTGAGCCATTTTGCCTGCACTTGTTCGCCATTGACTAGTACATCTCCAGCTTGAATGTACGCTTCCGCTTCACGACGAGAGCAGATGCCTTTTTGAGCCATGAGCTTCGCGAGTCGCACGAGGCCTTGATCAGCGTCTTGAGAGGAGCTGGCATTACTGCTGAATCGATTCGAGGTCGGAAAGAGCGCTGTCGAATGATGCACGTAGCGAGCACCACGACCAGCGAAACGACGCAGCATGACCAGCCGAATCCGTGAAGGGATCCGATACCTGATAGGCTAAAAACGGACTCGTGAATTGATTACTGCTCGTCAAACAGGGTGTCAGAAACAAGGTCAGAAACGGGGCGCACAGCCTCCTGTGACCGTCCAGCATTTCGTTGCTGGGTTCATGCTCAAGACGTTGACAATCGTAAACCACATCAGCGCTATAATGAGAATCACCATCATCCACATCCCGTTAAATCTGCTCACTTGACCTTGGCGACGAAGCGTTTGCGTCGACTCTCGTTGATTCGGAAGTAACGGCAGAAAGAGCAACGAGATCAGCTTCATGCCGTAGCATAGCCAGATCATAAACGTCACATTGCGACGCGTCTCGTACGTGTCCGCGATAATGTCGTCCTTCCACACATGGAACCGAGCATTGATAAGCTTGGCAACTGTGCGACCAAAAGGCGCGGCCACGTGGTTCGTGGTCGTCAGCAATCCGTACAACGCGCCTTCCGTGCCCGGTTCAATGAGCTCGACAACGATGTAGTTGCTCACAATAAAGCGCACTGCATGGGGCACTTCGCCAATGACGGGCACCCCGAGCCAGAACCATTGGCTGCGAATGACGTCCCACGTAACGAGCATTGTCATCGAGCAGTCGGTGACGACACCAAAGATGACGCTGGCAGCAATGGCAATGCGCCAGTTCCACTGCAGTCCACGCTGAGCCATGACAGCCAGGGTCCCAGCGTACGTAAACGTGCCAGCAATCGCCATGATGCTCGCATTGAATGGCGTGGCGTGGACCCAATATAGCTTGATGTTGCTCGATGACACGATGTTGAAGTTATTGAAGACGCCCGAGAAGAACTTGTAAGCTGTGACTTGGTACACCGCTCGCTTGTGCAGGACTTGCCAAAATTGAGCCATGTACACGCCAAACTTGGGTGGAGCCACTCTGCGGTCATGGACGAGGAACCAAGCGGCCGGTCCGAGAGGAAGACACACGCAGCCCATGACGAACATTAGCTGTGGAAAAGTGAGCGAGAAGTCAAACGAGCCACCGTACTCGGCACCATTGAACGCGACGGCAACTGCAAGCGCTCCGATAGCACTGGATCCCATGCGGAGACTGTGGATCCATGATTGCAACCGGCCACGAGAACCAATCGGTTCGCGCTGTGCGTACGCAATCGTGACTGCGTCAGCAGGAACCTCGACTAGTAGATACCCGAACGCAGCCATCATCATGGGAAGCACGTACTTGTTGGCAGCATCAGGTGCGTCCACATTGATACTCTGGTGCTGAGAATCCGTCCAATCGTCAGGACTAGTGAAATGCATGCTCGGGTCACCGTAGTATGGAGCTGGTTCGGGGAAACTCGCCATCAGAAACAGCATCGAACAGCAGAGTGCCCAGCCGATCAGCATATACGGTCGTCGACGAAAGCCCTGAATTGGGAAGCAGTCGCTGAGGACCCCTAAGAACACCTTGTAGGACCACGGGAGCTGAACCAGCAGCGTTGCAGACACAATGATGGTTCCCTCTGCATTCAGGTACCCTTGCAGCACAGGATAAATGACGGCAGGCAGAACTCCATTGACAAACCCAATTCCTGCGTATTGCATCAGTAATGCCAAGACCTCAGGAGACAGAAGTCTCGGTGGAGGTCCATCTTGAAGCAACTCGAGTTCTACGTTCTTGTCATCTCGAGAATGGACGATAGGTGGCGTAGAGTTTCTAGAGTGGGAGCCATAGTCTATCGCGACAGCCGCTACGTTTGTGTCACGCAGTAAAAGAGCATCAAGTTCTTGACGTTTAACCATACGAGGGCGTTCTGAAAGACGCAAGTGTTAAAGTGGGCTCTTCTCTGACCACTTCGTGAATGGCTCTAGTTGCTGTACCACTATAGAGCTAGTCTCGCTCACGAAAGAGCAGGACCAGAGCATTTGGTAGTCATAATAGACAGACGATTACTCAACGAGCAGGACCAGAGCATTTGGTAGTCATAATAGACAGACGATTACTCAACTACTATGTAACTGGGTAGCCCGTTACATGAAATTGACACCAAACGGTGTCAATTGGAATATTGTCTAGTATGACATATTCTACCGATATTATCCGGGATGGGTAATATTGAAGGAATATTGTCCCCTTTTGGATAATATTTATTCGCTGCTCCAAGATTGGTTGATATAAGACATATCAACCATGGATTACCACCAATCGCTGCTAGACGCGCGCAATGAGTGGTGAGCAGGTTGCACGACGGCGTAGTTTATTATAGTTAGATAAAGATTAAGTTATATTGATAGCTTAACTATATTAAATACAGTTCTTCTTATAACTTTTTACTCAAACTAGCTGTTTGAGTGGACTAGCTTCCTCTGCACGTACTCGTGTACGTGAATTTTCGCGGCACACCAAACAAAGGGTGCCCCGTTACACCTGGTAGAACTTTGTAGTCCGTCCAATGACTGCTTAGTGTCCGTCCAACATGAAGATGGTGGACGTAGAAGACGACAGCTTTCACGTCACACGTGAAGGCTACTCCCACCTGAGTGATTCAGAATGGGAGGTAGTCGGCCCATGAGTGTGCTCATGGGCGAACCCGCCATCAGTGGTATGTTGGAGTCTCTAAGCAGAGACCAGCAACATGCTACAATCAACAAGTTCCTACAAGGGGAACTTGCCGTGGAAAGACAGAAGATATCCTTGCTATAGTAGCAAGGCTATCATCAGTCGATGGGCGGACCGACGCACGTACGTCAACCCGAAACCTTGAAGATTGATATCTAAAGGTACAAGGGAACCGATGAAGATTTGCTTTTGAGATGATTTGTCGAGTTAGACGACGCCATCAGGGACCGTCATGTCGGGGATGACGAGATGCAAGTCACCTTCGCCCTGTCAAATTTGACGGGACGAGCAAAGACTTGGGCCTTAGGGCTCAAGCTTCACGACCCAAACGTGTTTGAGTCGTTGGAGATCTTGAAGTCTCGGCTTAAAAAAACGTTTCAGCCGCCACGAGCCGAGTTCAGAGCACGCTCTGCACTATTGAGGCTCAAGCAAGGTAAGAATGATGTGCATGCTAACGCACAAATCTGCGCTACCTAGAAAGTAGCGTCACGGAAACCCCTGTTGATGAGCACGCGCTCATCAACGTGTTCATTTACGGTCTTGTAGATGGACCGGTGAAGACCTGCATGTTCCGAGAGGACTTCCATGCGCTGGAAACGACGATAGCGTACACAGCACAAGAGGACTTCAACCTGAGACAGTCTCAGGATAACTCGTCCAACTATCGTCCGACAGGGCGACAGGAAACAGGAGGTCCTGAACCAATGGACCTCTGTTACATCGAGAGCGAGAACTCTCGCTCTTTGAGTCACAAGCGAACGGCAAGATGCCACCGCTGTCAGAAGACTGGACACTACGCTCATGAGTGTAGTGTGCCGAGCACTGCGACACGTCCGAAAACAGGACATGATGACCGCCGTTGGCTAAGGAAGGGTCCGAGGCGTGTGTCCGACCATGTCGCCAAGCCGCGAAAGCAAGTCGGACCGATAAAAGGTCAGGGTCAGTAGGGGCGAAGCACCCTGCTGATCCAGCAACGTCAAGAGAATTTGACGGACTCTTGACGAAGATTTCTCCCAACACGCAGTCTCTGTGTGTTACTGCCCTTAGTGATGAGGCGTCCCTCATCACTTTGAAGATCGAAGTGACAATTGGAATGTCACGTCGCGCCCTAGCTGAATGTGGTGCGTCGAACAGTTTCATTCGACGCCAGTCGCTAAGGGATAGTAGTCTCAACTATGCTGAACGAGAGTTCCCTCCAACGAGGATGACGGTGTGCCTTGCTACAGGCGCATCCGTAACGGTGGACAAACGTGTAATGGGAATCCACTACACGCTAGAAGGAAAGCATTACGATGATGACTCCATCGTACTGGATTTGGATGACAAATTTGATGTCATCCTTGGTCTGCCATGGCTTAGAAATTACTAGCCATGGGTTAGCTGGCAGCATCGATCCGTGAAGATGCCTGCCGTTTGTTCATCGGATGGCCACCCGATGAACATCTTGGAGCGTCCACAAGCGCGTGGATGTACCAAGAGTGAATGCGATGGCCTCACTTGTGGTACGGTCATTAGTACAACTGCACAAGATCACAGTGTAGAAGGCCACTGCACTGTGGAACCAGCTTCCGTCACCTGTGTAGAGACACAGGCTGCGCCGAAGTTTCACCACTCGAAGAGATCGAGTGGACTGGAACACGGATTCACACCAAGAAGGGTGCATTCGAGAAGAGAAACTAATGTTGTTCAGGATGGACTACGCGTTGAAGCAAGATCTACTATCAGAGAGTCGATCGCAGAGCAAGCCCGCTCGACTAAAAGAAAGTCGATGGATGAGGACGTGACCGTGATATTACCCGTAACGGAAGAAATTTCGGCGTTTCTGAGAGCAACAACTCCCGAGAGAGTTATGTGGAGGGTGTATATCCCCAACCACCTGCGGATTTGTCTTCTTAGGAAATCACCGAGTCAGTTGATGTCTTGGTGAATGACAGATCAAGTGTAGGCTCTTATACACTTGATCTGGTTAGGCTCCCGAAGACAGCTTCGGAGGTAGTCAAGTTGCTAGCGCTAAAATCTGAAAGATTCGTGCGAGATCTGCGTAGTGACAAGATCAAGCAGATCTGCGTACTCGTCACAGAGGACGAGTACGTCGCCGATATTCGGTCGACACAAGTGTTTACAGAGAACGAACGGGTTTTCGGTAGATCATCAATGGACGAGAGTGTCCTCGATGAGAAGACCCGAATCGAGAGATACACGTCTCAATCTTGGGAGTCTTTGAAGACAAATCCTTTGTATAAGGATTTGGTTGAATTCAGGGATGCTTTCCCGGAATTCGTGCCATGCGAGCTGCCCAAAGACAAAGGCACTCGGCATGAGATCGAACTGAAATCTGGTTCAAAATACTGTGTCATGAAGCAGTAGCCACTGCCTTGTGAACAGGTAACAACGATCGACAAATTCTTTGCCGATCGTTTAGCGGCTGGTCACCAACATCCCCACACAGCTCTCCGACCTTCTGTGTGCGAAAGGCCACAGGAGGGTGGTGGATAGTGCACGCATTTAACAAATTGAATGCTGCATCGGTACCGGCTCAAACGCCGATCTCAAGAAAGGATGTCATCATAGATGACATGGCAAAAAGTACCATCTTTTCATCCATGGATTTGATGGATGGATTCTATCAGATCCTCATGCTTGAACGGGACATCCCTTACACAGCAGTGAGAACCTCTAGTGGTATGCTCTGGGAGTGGCTAGTAATGACACAGGGGCTAAGTAAAGCCCCCGCAACGTTTAACAGATGTGTCACAAATCTGTTGCGATCGGTGCGCGACTTTGCACCGAGTTCCTTCGACGATGTCTTCGTCCATAGTCGGGCTATAGATGGAAAGACGGACGTTGAGGTTCATAGGATCCACGTCCGGAAGGTTCTTACGCTAATGCGAGAGCATAAGTTGTTCTCGAACCTCAAGAAGCGTATATTCGCAGTGAGTGAAACACCACTTTTGGACTGAATCGTGCATAAAAACGGCGTCAGACCTGATCCAGAAAAGATCAAAGCGTTCAGCGACTGGCCCGTGCCATTCGATGTTAAGGAACTTCGAAATCTCCTTGGCTTGACGGCGTACTTGCACAAGGACTCGCGCAACTACGCCGAGATGACCTTTCATCTCTCTCGTCTGCTAAAGAAAAACGAGAGTTGGTCATGGAGTACTGAGTGTCAGCATTTCTTCAAAAGCATCAAGAAAAGCTTGATACAATCGCCTGTGTTGACGATTGTAGACGAGGACAGACCATTCCATGTGGTCTGTGACGCCAGCGATTTTTCAATCGGCTGCGCGTACTCAGACAGTGTTGAGCGCGTCGTCTGCTATCAATCGCGTCAGCTGAAAGCAGCTAAGTATAATTACCCGGTTCATGACAAGGAACTCCTTGCCATGAAATTTGTACTGGCTTAGTTGTGGGTACATCTCTTAGGAGATAGGCCCTTCATCGTTTATACCGACCATGCGTCGTTACGCACGGCCGTGAACAGTCCACACCTCTCGCAACGAATGGCGAGGTGGCTGTCTTTCTTCGCGGAGTACAACTTCTCCGTCGAGTGTAAACCAGAACGACTTATTGTCGTCGCTGATGATCTTTCGCGTCGGCCCGATTCCGAGCCGACTGCTCAACACCACAGTAGGGGTAATCCCACTGTAGCAACACTATCAGTGAGTGTTCCGTCGTTGAATCTTCTCGACGACGTGGGGAAGGCATACGCGGAAGATGAGTCGTTTCTGCGATTGATGGATTACGTATCTAATCCATGCAGTCAAGCCTTAAATAGTTTGACGTCTCAATACCGCTCTTCAACCGAACGGTATTCGGTTCGTGATGGACTGCTGTACTGTACAGCAGTCAACGGTGACACACCTCGTTTCGTCGTTCCGTCTCATCATGATTTGCGATTGCGCATCATGTATGACTTTCATGATGCCCCGACCAGTGGGCATCGCGGTAGAGAATAGACTTACCTCATGGTGAATCGTGACTTCTACAGGCCCCGCCAGTATGAGTTTGTGCACAAATGCATTCGCGCTTGCGAAGTTTGTCAACAATTAAAGCCTAGTCCTTCATCCCGCGCACCCTTACAGCCTCTTCCGATTCCGGCAGAGTGTTAGCAGTCCGTATCAATGGACTTCGTCTTTGGTTGGTCAAAGACGCTCACAAGAATACGGGTACTCTTTTGTTGTTAATCGTTTCAGCAAGATGGTACATCCCGTTGCTCTTCCGGAGTCAACCACAGCTCAAGGCTGTGTGCTTGTCTTCATCGATACTATCTTCTGACTTCACGGGTTACCCCGTGAACTCTTGTCGGATAGGGACCCCCGCTTCACAGCGGAGTTCTGTCAATCCGTGTTCTGTTCACTTGGAACACGTTTGAAGATGTCGGGTCCTGGCCATTCTGAAACAGATGTTCAGACGGAACGCGTCAACAGCTTCCTCGAAGCGATACTTCGAGGGTACGTCCACTCGTTTACGAGTTGAAGTGAATTCTAGCCGATAACTGAATTCGCCATCAACAACTCGGTGCATGCGTCGACAACGCATACACAGTTCTTCGTGCGTGGCCCACACCATCCACGTTTGCCCGCCTTCTTAGAGTGTGACTCTAGTTTAAGGGGGGGTTGACTTGCTCGACAAAAACCGATCCGGTTCTTGCTCATCACCCGTCGACAATGGTGTCGACAAGGTGGATGCCGATGTCGATGCGATCGACATCGATGATGGTGATGACGACGATGCTGGTATATTCAGCATCGCCGATTGCTGCCACAGTGAGGACGATGACGGCCTCACTGGTAAAGACAACGTTCTTTCAGCAGTGCACACGAAGCGCACTACTGCTGACAAGGATGAATCAGCAGAAGAATATCTGCAGACGCTCGAAGCAGTTGTCCGCTTCGTTCAAGAATCTATTGCAGATGCAATCGACACGCAGAAAAGAAACGCAGACGAACATGGAAGAGCGAATGTTCTTTCATTTAATAAAGGATGTTTTTTTTTACTGTCTACAGTAAATCTACCAAATCACGCAGTGACAAACGTCGGCAGTAGTAAATTACTGCCCAGGTACATCGGTTCATTTCGTGTAAATTACTGCCCAAGTACATCGGTCCATTACGTGTATTGCGCCTCATGGAAACGCATACACGATTGAACTGCCTCGTAGGATGCGTACGCATCCTATGTTGGACTTTGGACGTTGGACGTCTCCGCCCGTACTATCAGTACGAGCCCGTTTCGAGATGCGAGAAACACCTCCGCGGTCAAGGGACGAGACCACCTTCGATTGGTCCTATTTTAACGAGCCAGTTTAGTTGACTAGCAAAGCGACCTGCTTACGCAGCTGAGAGATGTCCTGAAGAGCTGCAGTCAGATCGTCACGGAGAGAACGAGTCGAGCGTTCGTTCTCAAGTTACGCGAACGCAAACGCGGCACGATCGTTCGAGTGATCGTCCGCTAAAGAATTGCAATCATCCTTTTTAAGGTCGTGGAGCTTTTAATGCCGAGTCCGTTCGTGAGCCAAGTCATCGTGTAACTTATCCGTTCAGTTAATGAACATTAAGCTGATCCGACCCTCGAGCCGGATCAGGTTTTCCCGCCACCACCACATCCTTTGGTGGACTCAGGCGGTGGTCAACGCTATCTGGTGGAACGTATTTTGAACCACCGCGACATGAATGGCATCTGGAAGAGTTACCTCGTCCGCTGGCTGGACATTTACCGGCGTGGGACAGCTGGAAGCCTCGTGTCCAGCTGATGGTTGATGTCCTTGGTCTCGTCGAGCAGTGTCGCCCTGCTGACGGTTGATCCCTTTGTCTCGTTAAGCAGTACGACGAGACCCTCCCGCTGCGTTCGAAGAAGGGCCGTCGGAAAACGACCTCCACGAACGCGAGTACAGGGAATGCACAGTGTCAATCCTTTCGTCAATATTAGAATAGATGCGCGCCCTCCAGTAGGGAACATTAGGGAGGGAGGCCTCCCTAGGGGAACGGTTCGAGTTGTACAGGCAACTTGGAGACAAATCACCCCGCTAGAGACTGGGTAATACTGCCTCTCTTGACAGCCAATTCAACTTGTATCGCACACCAGCTGGGTTGCCTTTTTTCAAACATGATGCGAGCCGCATCAAGTTTATCAAGCCAGGCCTCACGGCCAATACGTTCGATGTTGTGGATGAAGGAATTTCATCCCTGCACCAAGGCCCTACCATCGCGGCCACGGTTTCTATGGCAACACAGATGTTTAAAGAACACATCGGTGTAGAATTCTTCCTCAGCACGAACAGTCTCCGTGCTGAAATTAGGAGGACAGATCATTCTATAGTCGAACACCGGGATTCAATCCCGTTCGGTGGTCATACCGGCCACTCGATCTAACTCCTTGGATGCCATCATCCAGGGAGACTCCACTTGAGGAGCATGGCGCAGGACATTTCGGTCCCTGGCCTCTTGTGTGGTGTCAAGATGAGCACTGACACCAGTAGCAGCTCGATCTCTCGCGTTGCTTCTTTCGTGGTGACGTATAAGTGCGTCACCACCATCATCACGCGTCATGGTGGCAGATGGACTTGCGTGAGACGAGGATTTTTCAGACGAATCGTTTGGCCGAAGATTTCGGATATGATGCCGCCACGTTTCCCAGAGCAAGTCAACCTGGCTCTGGCAGTGCCCGCCCCTGGAGATCCGGAGGCAGTAGGCACCGCCCTCGAGTCAAATGGTTCATCCGACTCGCCAGAATTAATGAGATCTCTTTCAGGCTCATTCACATTGCGAGTCGCAACACCCACTACCGACGCAGAGGATGTATCTGGCGCACGTGGTGACTCACCACGTGGACTAGTCACAACAGACACTGCATGTTGCTCACTTGCAATAGCAAGCTAAGGACCACCTGCTGCTACGGCTTGAGAAGTACTCTCTACGGCTGCACGCATGCGTGCAGCCGCCTTTCTTGCTGCTTCGGTACCGCACCGCATGGAATTTAACACCATGCGATGAATTGGCAAATGAGTTGAAATTTGACAAACATGTGCTCCTCTTTTCAGAGTGATCCAACGGTGGTCACGCGGATCCAATCAATTCAATTTAAGTAACGGGTGATTGATTTTTATGGGGGGTGATGTAACGGGGTAGCCGTTACATGATATTGACATCAAACGGTGTCGATAGGGAGATTGTCTAGCGTAACAATTCCCTGTCAATATCACCCAAGATAGGTAACATCAAAGGAAAATAATCCCTTAGGACGATATTCATGTGCTGCTTAAAGATAGGTTGATAAAAGACAAATCTACCAAGATTACCACCAATTGCCGCTAGACGCGCGTAATGGCGGGTGAGCAGGTTGTCGTCATACGACGATGTATATTGTAATAGTTAGATAAAGACTGAAGTTATAATGATAGCTTAACTACACTGAATAAAGCTCTCTTTTTACCTTTCTCAAATTAGCTGTTTGAGTAGACTAGCTTCCACTGCACGTACTAGTAGTGTACGTGAAGTTTCGTGGCATCCCAAACAAAGGGTGCCCCGTTATATGCGTCATATGTACATCTAAAGACACGCGTAGCTTACCACCAAATGCTTGCAGCTCCACAAGTGTTTCCAGACAGTCCACTGGACGCTATACTTTTCATTTCGCTCATGCGCTGGCAGCCTATGTCACGCACACACGGAAAAACACACATTCGTTTGGACATCTCAATCGGCACCGAACCCGCAAGAACTGAATGGAGTGTGCGCAACCATTCGTGTGACCACTTACACTTAATGGAAAGACTCGATAGCAATCACGCAGATTCTCATCCCTTGTTGCAGTGGGTATAGTGTAGTTAGCACTATCTATCTATCAATTTTACACCTGATCGAAGTAGAGCACTGGTCTTGGGACTTTTGGACATTTGCAGCACTGGTAGTGACATTTACTCCCAAAAGAACACGACGTTTACACGCGTTTACCACTGTCGGAATCTGCTCGTGACCATCAATTCTGAGCAAACCGTGCATCTGTCTGACTGCTGCATCCTTCTGTAACTTCCCACAAAGCAGCTGCTGCTTCGCATCTAATCGTTTGAAGTCGCACCAAACATCCTTGACATGTGCAGTGCGCCGCACATCCCTAAGTTTCAGCTGTAGCGTCTTACGACCAAAATGCGGTTTGACACGACCGCCGTCGGAACTTTGCCTACCAGTCAGCAGCACCACCACTCGATTGATTGACCCCAGTCTCCAATCTCCTAGCTCCGGGATAGCACTTTCTCTACTTTTTAGTCGACCACGAAAAGGATGGCTGGCATCGAGAAACAACCCATCGGCATGGAGCGTCTGAGCGCTGTTTCCAGTATGCACCACAACGAAGAGAAGTCATCCTATGCCAACCACAACACCCCTGCAAAACGGGTATTGTCCAACGTGGAAAATGGAGCATTGCGAGAGGGTACACCGCTTACGCTGCTGTCCGTTGAGTGCATCGGACTGCTGGCCCAATACGCAGGGGTTGGATTCCTCACGGGTATCATTCCCGGTGTCATCTATCCTGTGCTCCAGGGGTACCTCAATGCTGAAGGAACCACTGTCGTGTCCGCGACTGTGCTCGTGCAGATTCCATGGTGTTACAAAATGTTCTTTGGCGTGATCAGTGACTGTTTCCCGGTCATGGGCTACCGCCGTCGTCCGTACATGGTCATTGGCTGGGTGTTTTGTGTCGCGGTTCTTTTGGTCATGGCAGCGATGGACATCCCTGATCCATACTACGGCGACGCTGCAATGCACTTCATCAACGAGGACAAGTGGACTCTGGACCAAATCGCAAGCATTAATGCGCATGCCCCGAATTCTGCGGCCAAGTACGTGGTGCCTATGATGCTCGCTTCGTTTGGCTACCTCTTGTGTGAAGTGGCGGCTGATGCCATGGTTGTCGAGTACGCGCAGCGCGAGCCCATCGAGCAGCGTGGACGAGTTCAGACAGCCGTGTACACTGTCAAGACGTTGTTTACTGCAGTAGGCGCGGCCGTGATCGCTTTCTTAATGAACGGAGAAGAGTATGCCGGCTCATTCAGTTTTGCACTCTCGTTCCAGCAGCTGATGATGATCACAGGCATCGTTTGTGCGCCCTTGGTTCCGGTTTCGTGGTTTTTGCTGGATGAAGAGCGCGTTACCGATAAACCGTCGGTTGGCAAGTACATATCGTCTTTTTGGACGTTGCTCCAGAAGCGCGCTATTTATCAGATCGTGGCGTACAAGTTCTTCTCCGGCGTTTTGAACAGCTTCAACATCGTGTCCTCAAGTAACATTAAGCTGTACTGGGTTCATGCAACTCCTTTCAACAACAGTTTCATGACCATTGTGGGCACAGTCTTCTATGCCATCACCCTGACATTAACGGGCAAGTATGGACTTGACTGGAACTGGCGGACGATTATTATCGTCACCATGTGCGGTGCTCTGTCCATTGATGCGTTCATGACAATGTTCACTGTGTGGGATGTGGTGCGAAACCAATGGTTCTGGCTTGGTGTGCCCATGATTGAGTATCTGCCCGACGGTGTCCGCTTCATGATTGCCACCTATGTCGTGGTAGAGTTGGCTGAACCCGGGTATGAAGGTGCATTGTATGGCTTACTGACTGCAACGACTAACCTCACGGCACCTTTCGGTCGCTCCATGGCCAAGCTGGTGAATGCTCAATTCCATGTTTGGCTGAAAGACATTCAGGCCGACACGACGTTGGTGCGTCGTGACGTGACAATCACCATCTGGATCTGCTATTGCATGAAGTTGCTGTCGCTGGCACTTTTGCCGCTGCTGCCTCGCCAAAAGGCTGAGACGCAGGAACTGAAGCGTACAGGTGGTTCCAGTCGCGTTATGGGGATCATCACTGTAGGGTACTTGTCATTTGCCATTGTCTGGGCGACATTGGTAAACCTCCTGTCGATGTACACGACTACGATGTGCTGGAAAATAACGGGTGGGTGTGCACCAAAGTCGTGAGTCGATACATGCAATCGGCAGTGTCGATCTTGGCTGTCTCATCCTGAATCTACACATCCTCAATGTAGCGCTTTCTACCTTCCCAGCGAATGCTGATCGTTTGTCGAGAAGGAAATTACAATACCTTGTACACGATGACACGTCTTGAGACTATGTAGGCGTCTTGCTTACAGTAGCTTTGCATAATGCAGCTTCAGGTGGAGTTCCTGCTGCAAACCTCATCGAGTTCATACTTGGCACGTTCATAGTTGTCATCTACAGAGCGAGCGCGACCGTTGAGGTCGATGCCATGTCCATGCTCTCATTCACTTCACGCCACCTTCACGACAAAGAGGTAGGTTGGCAGGCTTCTGAGTCAGCAGCAGCGGCGAGGCGTAAGTGACGCTATCGTTATATCGGAGACGATTCAAGTCGAGTTGGCGACATCACGGCGCAATTACGTACTTGCCAAATAGTCAGGATGTCATCCCTATCGACACGAGTATGAACAATGATGAACTTGACAAGAGCGAAAATGAATGGTGGGAGTATGTTGTTGGCCGTCGTCAGCAGATGAAATAATGTGCCTTTCCCAGACCCTTTCGGTAAACTTCATAGCACTGCAGCTGGGCACAACTGGAGCGCACACCGTGAAAGGGACCGCCTCCTCATAAATGGATGTGAAGCCGGATCTTTTGGCTTCGAATGGATCAGTGTCGCAAATACTCGGTCTGTGACAGCACAAAAAGAGACGGCAGCGGTAATAGCGACGTGCGAGTTCCAGTACCGTCCATTCTGTGCTATAATATGTAGTGAGCTAGTATGCACGAACGAATCAGGGTAGCCATAGCACAAGCTCGAGTGCGGTGTGCCCCAGGTACAGTGCGATCTGCCTGATGACATGATGTTGAAGCTGTCGGACAGACCAAAGAGCTCGTACCACTATCTGATGTACAGGCGCAGCTGCAGCATAGCCAGAAACGGGCGTACAGGCCCTGAATCTGAGCGACAGCATCGGGTCTCGACAAGCGGGGGACACGGCTGGGTCAAGCGGGAGACAAACTGTTGAAAAGCACAACTCCTTCACACAAACTAATCGGTCGGAATCAAAATGCAATGCGACTTTAGCTCCTAACACGTTGACCGTCATGCAGACGTTCTGGATTCAGTATTGGATTCGTCCGAGCATTGTTGGCGAATTCGCGCTGTGTGCACTCTCTCGTCACCGTAGGATCACAAACTGTACTTGCTCGTAACACTAGGTGATACACCGTACAGCCTTTATGTGTATTGTAGCTGATCTTTCGAATATTGACCAGGTCGATCCAGTGAAGAGTTTCGTAGAATCCCCATAGTAAAGAGCAGCCTCAGAGGACGACATGCATGGTTCCTAAACAACGTGTGGCGACTGATGTCTCTGAACGGGAGGCAGCACTGCTCGTAACGATCATAACAGTTGCCCTGACACCATACCCAATGGGACAGTGATACTTGGGCTATCTCGCGGGATTACCGGATCAAACAAACGGGCAGCGGGAAAAACTCGTCGATGGGGCGAATGCCGTTTAATTGCATGACTAAAGCCAGGGAACCGTAAAAAACATTGGCGTTCACCAAAAAAAATGGGGTAGGTTAGGCTATCCATTAAGCTTGTTTAATATCTGCCAAATAAGGTTGAGAATAGGCCACTTTGAATTAACTTTTATAAAAGGGTTTCTAAAATTAGTAAGACTCTCCGCGATTCAAACGGGCTGCAGTCTTCAGTTGCGAGACGACGGCTCCTGCAACGGCGCGGGTGGGAGCCAACGATGCGACGGCGAAATCTGCAGCAGTGGAGCTTGCAGTGGAGCTTCTGCTCGCTTAATTGTAGTCATATGAGCCGCTGCAACCCACTTCTTTTACTCATTAATGAGCGGTGGTGGACGTTTCTACATCACAACAGAAGAGAGAGGCACGCCCGTCGATTGATCAGCGATTCAATATATGTGATGCGACGCGGCGACTTCTTTAATCGATATAGAACGACGAATCACCGGATGAGCCGCAAACTCAGTCAGTCACCACATCACAGGTCGCAAAATTAGTCCTTTACCCATGTCATAGGTCGCAAACAATGTTCATAATCCACACGACCGCCCGCGCGATCCTTGTCCAGTCTTAAGTATATGACGACGAGAGGATTGTTGATCAACAAGCCGGCCGTAACAAACGAAAGGAACATCACTGAGCCACCATGCCGAAAACCCGAAACGAGTACTGATACCAACCAAGTGGTTGCTGATCTACAAAGTACTGGTCATGTCCCACCTCCACCTCGTTTGTGGGTTTAACACTTGCTTAAAGGCGAGGGACACGTTCCATGGGGTTTGTATGCGATTAAAGGTGTAGTAATGCGGTGGATCTACGCTTTGTCGTTCTAGATGGCTATGCTCCGTCACATATCTAGGATGTGATGAAGCTTGCCACGTCAAAGCTCATCCAGCCTCTTCAAACACCAACAGATTGTTTGGATCAGGCGATGGATACCGGCATCACCCGACATGCAAGCGGCGCTTTCACCACCGCTACCATTCTGCAGCGTGCAACCAAAGTACTGCCATGCGCTGGTCAGTAGCTGTCTGGGCCATGCCTCGACCACCATCAATCGAAGTGCCTTCAATTACCAAGATACATTGCTAGGAATAGTAACTATCTGTCTAGAATGACGATGTTAAGGAACCAAGATGGCTTGAAGGAGATCGAGGAGGCGTAGAGTGAGTTGGACTATGGGCTTGGTGCTACACTTGAATAGCTGCATGGGCCCATTTTGATTTTGAAATATCCGCATCAAGGGTGGAGTGCGCAGCCGGAGATGACAGAAGACGGATTCTGTGAAAGGCTTGTAGTCAAAGGAAGACGAAAGAAGAGGTGGGATTTCTAGAAATTGACACCCGCCAGAGTCAGCAGGACGAAAAGATCGACGTCTTACAGGATGTCTGCTCCCTGCTCGATGTGTCGAAGCTAGGTCACGGGCTGCTCGTAGAAATCTCCGCAATCTGAAGCTTTCCGTACGCAGCGTACACTGCACCCAAATTACTATTGACTGGTGGTTTGAAAGCTTTCCTTCCCGGCAAAGTATGTCAATGACGACAATGTAATATGCGATATCCTTACAAGCTAAAACAAGCCACATTTGACAAAATTGTCCATCTGTAAAGTTACGTTTTGCTCATTCTAGCGTATGAATACTTTAGCAGCCATAGAGCGGGCTTCGTGAACACCACATTGAAATGTACAGCTTACTGTATTTTAAACCTCATTGGAAGACCAGCTTATCGAAGGTAGCACTGAAGGTTAGAATGGCCTGATTCATTCGTGAGAACAGTCCAAAGAAGTAGGCTCTTTCCCAGACTAGAGCACGGTGTCATAAGTCACGAATCCGAGTGAGCTCGTCGCAAAACACTGTGCGTGCATCTGGGAAGCTTGTCTCGAGATTTCATTTGTAGCACACAGCCGCATGTTGTCGTGAAATATGTAGGACAAGCAATCAGTCGTCACGCGTGGTCTCGGAAGACGGGACACGATGCAGCACCGATGGACCCAGCAGAGGACCTGCGTGTTTTTTGCACACCACACACTGTTGAAACAGGGATGTTAGGTGAAAAGTCATTGCTAATTACATTTACTTTTTACCAGCTTTAATAACACTAAAAACAAGGCCACATTTTTGAACAGACTTTTTACCAAAAACCAATTATCATCAGTCAAGGTAATGAATGGAAGGTAGCGCTACAACCACATTCACTATCCGTCTCCCACGTGTTACCACCTAGCCCCAAAAAAGAAGCAGAATAAGCAAGGGTGAGATTTATGGCCTGCCATGTACGCAATCATTCTTAAAGACCCACTTTTCCCGTGAAAGACTTTGTACATACCTTCTCTGTACTGCTATTATTCTGACACACTCTTTGCAATTCATCTTTATAGTGCCCACCATCGGACGTCTTCATCTTCTGGTGTGGACGCTCTATGAGAAGGTAAAAATGGCTGGGGGACGTCAAAGCCAAGTGCAAATACTGCACACTTGGTTTGCAACCACAAACTTTTCGCATGGAAGTCCTCGTTGCAAAGGTATTTCGCGTTGCACTGCTAATTATTTGCGGTCTATATGCTAACAGCGTGACAAAGTCGTGCACATATGCTCCTGTTAAAACGGACTTTGAGGCTGGGAACCTCCAGCAACCGGTCGAGCAATAAAGCGTTGGTGTGAGCATTGTGAATACAGATATTTTTTCTTCTACAAGTGACTGGAAATTCCTTCCGGCACGGTGTTTTCATCGCATTTTGATATTTTCACTCGGTCCGGCCACTCTACATAGTCACAACCTGGTTTATGAAGCTCTAATAGTACCTGTAAGACTTTTAAAAGCAGGGTGAAGCGATAATAGCTGGTAAAACCATTCAAAGCTGGTACAAAGTGGTAGTAACGGTAAAAACTCGGTAAAAAGCGCTAATAACATCTAAAGAGTCATGGGCCTTTTTATATAACATTCCTAGTTGAAACCAACCGTTGATCGATTATCCCAGGAAAGTAGATCAATAGATCCGGGGGGTCGATCCTGCAAGAACAGCTGGACCATCACCATCTAGACAGATGTGGCATTAGTAATGTCGGTCTCATCTTCGCAGTACGGAGGGATGTTCAACTGCTTGGTTGTTACCCTGCCTGAGTCTTCTTGAGGCTCAGCACGCAGACTGAAGAGACGAACGAATTGTATTTCACATTTGTACGGCCATGGCGATTAGATGATTGCTTGAACTTGGTCTGCCGATGGCTCGACGTCGGGACCATGAAGATTCACGACACATCCGCTTTCTGGATTGTGCCAATATTCTCAGAGGATGTAAGGCCGATCAGCTTGCTCAAACCATTGTGCAATCAGTCTCGTTCGAGATTGAAGTCAACCGAATTAGTATTTTGCTGCATCAGTTGTCAAAACGTAGCAAAGATGCTGGACATGGACATGAAGGCGGTCGAAGAAGGTCGGCCAAGTCGGCTTTCCAGTGCAAAACACCAACAACGAAGGTCTTTGTATTCAAATTGGGCGTCTCCAGGGAAGCCAACTACTACTTCAGAGCTCGAGAACGGTGCGCTGCGAGAGGGCGGGCCGCTTAATTTATTGACCAGAAAAAGCATCGGTCTACTTGCACAATACGCAGGTGTTGGATTCCTCACGGGTGTCATTCCCGGTGTCATCTATCCCGTGCTCCAGGGGTACCTCAATGCCGAAGGAACCACCATCGTATCTGCAAATGTGCTTGTGAAGCTTCCGTGGTGCTTCAAGATGTTTTTTGGCGTGATCAGTGACTGCTTCCCGGTCATGGGCTACCGCCGTCGTCCGTACATGGTCATTGGCTGGGTGTTTTGTGTCGCGGTTCTTTTGGTCATGGCAGCGACGGACGTCCCTGATCCATACTACGGCGACGCTGCAATGCACTTCATCAACGAGGACAAGTGGACTCTGGACCAAATCGCGAGCATAAATGCGCATGCCCCGAATTCTGCGGCCAAGTACGTGGTGCCTATGATGCTTGCTTCGTTTGGCTACCTCTTGTGTGAAGTGGCGGCTGATGCCATGGTTGTCGAGCACGCACAGCGCGAGCCTATCGAGCAGCGTGGACGAGTTCAGACAGCCGTGTACACTGTCAAGACGTTGTTTACTGCAGTGGGCACCGCCGTCATCGCTTTCTGCATGAACGGAGAAGAGTATGCTGGCTCATTCAGTTTTGCACTCTCGTTCCAGCAGTCGATGATGATCACAGGCATCGTCTGTGCGCCCTTGGTTCTTGTGTCGTGGTTTTTGATTGAAGAAGAACGCGTGGTGGAGAACGTGCCCTTCCGCAAGTACATGTTGTCGTTCTGGACTTCGCTACAACAACGAGCCATTTACCAGATCGTGGCGTACAAGTTTTTGTCGGGCGTCTTCAACTGCATCAACATCGTGTCTGCCAGCAACATCAAACTGTACTGGGTCCATGTTACTCCTTTTAACAACAGTTTGATGTTAATTGCTGGTACCATGTTATACGCAATGACGCTCGCTATCACGGGCAAGTACGGACTTAACTGGAACTGGCGCACAATCATCATTATCACAATGTGTAGTGCCGTATTCTTGGATGCCGTCATGACGATGCTCACGATTTGGGACGTGGTGCGCAACCAGTGGTTCTGGCTCGGCATTCCAGTCATTGAGGATTTACCGGATGGCATCCGTTTCATGATTGCCTCCTATGTTGTCGTAGAGTTGGCTGAAGTTGGCCACGAAGGTGCTCTATACGGTTTGTTCACGGCTACTACAAACTTGACGACGCCATTTGGTCGATCTCTGGCTAAGGTGGTGAACGCGCAGTTTCATGTCTGGCTGAAGGATATCCGGGCGGATACGTACATCGTGCGTCGCGATGTGACCATCACAGTTTGGATTCGCTACAGCATGAAGCTGTTGTCACTGGCGTTCTTACCATTACTTCCTCGCCAGAAGGCAGAGACGCAAGAATTGAAGCGTACAGGCGGATCTAGCCGGCTCATGGGCATCATCACGGTGGGGTACCTGTCGTTTGCACTTGTATGGGCGACTTCGGTCAACTTGTTGTCCATGTACGAGAGCACGATGTGCTCGAAAGTTACTGGAGGCTGCGGACCAGCGTCTTGAGTCCGAGGGGGGACGTGTGGGTATCAATCTTGTCATTGCATGAATCAGAACCCCTGAAGCGACGTTAATAGCTAGACGTATCATACGCAGATCAGTCACTAATGTATTTTCTAATCATGTTATGCTACACTTGAGTACGAGAACGCCTTCCTCGAAGTGTTGAATAAGTGTGAGCATTTCATGTGGACAACGTTTTTAGCAGCTTGACGCTTTGTAAAAAAAGCAGAACGCGATTGGAACTAGTGTTTCTACGTGTAATTTGAGCGAGCGGAATTGGAGCTTGTTTCGTGAGGATGCTTTAGAATGATTTCTAATTGATGTCGATCGTGGGTTGTCAAGAGCGCCCATGAAAAGCATGATTTCTAAGGGTGAGGCTGCTATAATTGTCGGAATTTGGGTAAATTCAAACGACATGTCCGTAAAAAAAATACTTCTGGCTCTGCTGCATCCTTCGCTAGTCCTTATAAAATAAAACGAATCAAAAGTGAGAGATATCAAAGCCATGGTTTTATTTGCGCCAAAGCTCTACACTGCAGACTAAACAATCCGAATCAGCAACTTCAGAGCGTCTTTTGACAATAACGGTGACTTCACCACCGCCAATTGTCGTCTCCAGCCAAAGAGCGAAGGAGAAAAGCGACCAGAGCCAAGCTGGACTCGACGCCACCCCAAGTACACACGAACAACAATGTCGCACACCACGACCCTCTCCTTCTTCGTTCCAGTCACCTTCCTTCACCTCCCGTCGGGTTCTCTCTCTGAAATCCACGTGACGTCCTCAATCAGGCACAAGATCTCACTTGACTTTTCGCCCCACCTCAAGCACGAAGCATGCTGCTCGTCCGTGCGTGTCGCTCCCGTCGCTTGCCACTGAGCGCTCGCTCGCTCTCGACCGTCGCCAAGCGCGTCGTAGTCGTCGACGGCATTCGCCTCCCGTTCGCCAAGTCCGGGACCGTCTACAAGGACGTGATTGCGTACGACATGATGCGCGAGGCTTTCAAAGGCCTTTTGACCAAGACAGCAATGGACCCTACCGCGATTGATTACGTCATCGCTGGCACCGTCATCCAAGAGGTTGGCACGTCCAACATCGCACGGGAAGCAGCGCTAGGGGCCGGTGTTCCCAAGCACGTGCCGGCCCACACAGTCACGCAGGCGTGTATCTCGTCGAGTCAAGCGATTTGTTCCGGGGCAGAGAAGATTCTGGCAGGCCACGCAGACGTGGTGCTGGCCGGCGGCGTCGAGACGTTTTCTGACGTGCCGATTCGCTGTTCCAAGCCGATTCGAGAGCGGCTGATTAACGCGCCCAAGGCCCTGAAAAAGGGACCCCTGGCCGTCTTGAAGCTCTTGCAGGGCCTGACACTCGCGGACTTTGCACCGGTGGCGCCTGCGATCCAGAACTTTCACACGCGCGAGATCATGGGATCGTCCAGTGATCGTCTTGCGACGCGCTTTGGCGTGACGAGGCAAGAGATGGACGAGTATACGATGGAAGCACATGGAAAAGCGTATCGAGCGCATGTCGAGGGCAAGTACAAGGGCGAGATTTGGCCGTACAAGGGAAGCACGGAGGAAAATGGCGTGAACCCGAACTCGACGCTGGACAAGATTGCGGCGTTGAAGCCGGCGTTTATCAAGCCGCACGGGACTCATACAGCTGCCAATTCATCGTTTTTGACGGACGGAGCGGCGGCGACGTTGATTATGTCGGAGAACAAGGCGCTTGAGCTGGGCTATCGTCCAAAAGCAGTGCTGAAAGACTGGCTGTTTGTGGGAGTGGACCCGTTTGACAGCTTGTTGCTGGGTCCCGCGTACGGGATCCGGCAAGTCCTGGCTCAGAATCAGCTGAAGCTGAGTGACGTGGACTTTTTTGAGATCCATGAAGCGTTTGCAGGCCAGGTGTTGGCGAATTTGAATGCGTTGGCGGAACCCAAGTACTGCAAGGAGCTCTTTGGAATCGATGAGGCGGTCGGACGCGTGCCGATGGAGAAGCTCAACACTTGGGGTGGCTCGCTGTCGCTTGGTCACCCGTTTGGGGCTACTGGCAGTCGATTAGTGAACACGGCGTCGAACAAGTTGCAGAAGGAGGGCGGCAAGTATGCACTGCTTGCGGCGTGTGCCGACAGCGGTTTAGCTTACGTCGGTCTGATTGAGAACTACGAGAGCTAAACCATGCGAAATAAACTGCTTCACCTTTGGCAGCATTTGTAGCTTAACGTTGACCAATGTTGGTTCATCCACCTGTAAGCTGAGCTACCACCGACATCATGTGACTAGTGAAAGCGAAGAAAGCAAGGAGCCGAACGAATGGAAGGGACCAGTCGAGAGTAATATAAGATATCCATAGAAATACACGACTACTAGACAAGCAGCACGGCATTGATGCAGCCGTCGTTTTCCGGCACGTTCGTGACCTGGGCATACTTGCCCCACACGACCTTTCCTGACGTCGTTACAAGACCGAGCTCGCTCACATTCACCTCGATGATGGTACCCTTCGTCATGACACCCAGCTGCGTGTACAACGGACTCTGTGGATTCTTCTTGACACCGAGAATATCCAGCTGAAACGTGGTCTTTAGCTCAGGGTGCGTGACGTGAGCCTTCTTGAAGCGCATGGCGCTAGGACGGATAAACCGCTCGTACTTTGGCGGCTTGCGCGTAAAGTTCTCGCCCACAAACGTGGCCTTAGTGATCATGCGCTTCCACGCCTTGTTGCGGCGCTTGCCCGAGCGCAGCACCTTAAACATCTCGTCGTCAGCAATAGGCTTGACCTTCGGAATTGGTACGTCCCATTTGCCAGCCTTCTCCTTTCGTTTCTGCTTGACAGTGTTGCTCAGCACCTTGGCACGCGAGACGCCTTCGCGGTCCAATAGGTACGACGGTACTGCACCGTCCGGGATCTCGTCGTCATTTGCGTGTTTGTTCGTGCGCTCATTGTGGAGTGCCACCGTCTTCTTCATTGCAGCCTTCTCCTTGAAACGCTTCTGGTTGTACAGCTTAGCACGCAAGCCATGCACCTTCTGAGCAAACTGCGAGCGACGGTGCACTTCACGCGCCTCTTTCTTGCGCTTCTTCTCAGCGGCGTCCATTCGAACGCCATGGCGCTTCCGATGCATCTCCATGTGCTCATGCTGCGGCATCTTGGCTAGAAGTTACGTTCGCAACGCGCAACAGACAAGCTTGGAAGTGGGCACGGAGTTGGCGCTCCTCGTCGGAATGGGCAAGACCGAGAGACCAACCGTGGCCAGTCAACTCAATCGTACTTATCGAGTCCCACGTGGTCGATCGGAAATTCGAACGACATTGGCGCAACATGCATCCACCTTGCCATGCCCAGTGTGGCCGAGTCTCAAAATGCTGCGGACGGTCGCACAGCTGTCCCGAAGGCTCTCGACGCGCGCATTTGCGTACAGGCAGCAGTCCATCTTTGCCCCGAATTTGACTTCTCATGAAAGAGAGCCGTTTAGTCCGTTTGAAGTCCAGTCCGGCTGTCTCCAACCTGGTTTGTGACGATATTTTGCTGGAAAATGACTGAACCCTCGACAGAGAGGGAGTAAATAGTGAAAAGCTTATAATGGACGGTACGGACAGGTTTGCCGGTCATGGAATTCCAGAAACGTCGGGAAAAACTTTTCGCTGTGATACCGGACAACTCGGCGCTCATTACGAACGCGGCCAACGTCAAGTACATGACCCACGACATTCCTTATGAATTCCATCAGAATAGCAACTTTATGTACCTTACAGGGCTCGAGGAACCCGATGCCCATGCAGTGCTGGTCAAAAACCAGGGCAAGTGCTCATTCGTGCTTTTTGTACGCCCTCGGGATCCACGCAGGTACCTGTGCTGATGGAGAGAGTTCTCTCTCTCGCAGCTTGATCGGAGCTGAAGCTGACCCGACTGGTATTTTGTGTATTGTATGCAGTGAGCAATGGGACGGTGCTCGCATTGGTCTGGACGGGGCGAAGGATCGGTATTTGGCGGACGAAGCTTTTCAGTTGACGGATCTTGCACCAGGCATGCAAAAGTTATTGTCTGGGGTGGAGAAGGTCTTTGTGCTCAAGCCCGACGGAGGAAACTACTCAGCAAGCTTTATCGAGGCTACGCGGGACTTTCACAGCAAGTTCCTCGCTGGTGACTTTTTGGTTGAACAGCTTCGTGTGGTGAAGTCAGAGAATGAGCTTGATCGTATGCGATTTGCAGCAGACATAGGTGCCCAGGGATTTATTGACATGATGAGATGTACCCGACCCGGCATGTCCGAGCTTGCGCTCGGGTCGATGTTTGAAGGGTCTATCAAAAAGAATGGTGCGCTTTGGAATGCATTTCCGAACGTCGTGGGCTCTGGATCAAATGCTGCTGCAATCCACTATCTAGAGAAGCGTGACCTGCTTCGCGAAAACGAGTTGGTGCTAGTTGACTCAGGGTGTGAAGTTGCTGGTGGCTATGTGTGCGATATCACGCGCACGTGGGGGGTGGGTGGAAAATTGCCAGCCGAACATGTCACGATGTACGAATTTGTTCTGGATGTCCAGAAGAAGTGCATAGATCATTTGAAAAGAATGATTGAGGCCAAGGAGACGATCAGCTTGAACGATCTGCACAACTACTCTGTTGATATCATGATAAAGCAGATGCTTGAGGTAGGAGTCATGAAAATCAGAGGCGGACCCCACTCGCGCGCTGCGATGCGCGAGTTCCAGAAGTACAACCCGACACATATTGGTCACTATCTGGGCATGGATACACACGACACCCCGCACGTCACGCGCGATGCACCATTAGTACCGGGTATGGTGATAACCGTCGAGCCAGGTATTTATTTGCCGAAAAACGACCTTGATCTGCCTAAAGAGCTTCGTGGGATTGGTATTCGGATCGAGGACGATATTGTGGTACGTCCTTGTTGAGTGCAGCCTTTTGCTATGGTCTATGCTCACCGTCGGTATCTGTTCATGCACTTTTTCGTAGATCACGGAGACTGGAATTGAGATCATGACGTCTAAGGCGCCTAAAGAGCTGAACGAGATGGACGCCTTGCGTTTGGGGTAACACGTAATCTCATTTCACGTTGGGCCTAAAGCTGCGGTAGCAGTGTCGTTGCTACTTGTCGTGCACCTTACAAGATTTGCCAAGCTGGCAACGATGTGGTACCTTGCGTTCATCTATCAGGATTCGACTTGCTCCATTGCTGCAGGACATCGTAATGGAGCGTGTGGAAAGCGTCGTACTCTCGTCTAGAGAATGGAAAGTGTAAGTACAACAGCAAAACCCGATGAGTAACGAACAGCGCACCGAAATTGGGCAATCTGTGTAGCTCGCTCAAGCCGTGGTAAGTCGTAAAGCATAGCTGATCCTTCATCAGGTGTGCGTGTTGGCGCTCGAACTCCGGCCTATCACACGATGCATACCAGTTACATCGACGATCCGACCGCAAGATTCTAACAATAACATCGTACCTGGCTAGATTGGTTCTGCTCCCTACATGGCTCATGTTGCCTCATATCCGATTTCTTCTCTTGCTGTGCACTGATGCGGTTGCGAGAGCCAACGCGATCTTGCCGATGCCCCGCAGACTTTAAACAAGGCGGTGGAAGTGGCAAAGCATCGATAGCTTGATTTCGGGTCTCTGTATGCGAGTGCTGAACACGTGCTGCGTCGTTGACACGAGTCGTTCTTGCAGGAGACAGTGAGGCAGTACCAGAAGCATCCGCCAAAGGCTTCGCATTTGCAACCACGCAGCGTAGCTGCAAGTCTTCCTTTTCCAGCGGCGAGAGGATCAGAAGCCGTCCGTCTGCCAGCAACGCCACTCCAGCCTGTGGTAGCAGTATCACCCATGTACGAACTGAGGTCTCTCTTCTTCTTCCTGCTGCTCAGCAAAGGTTACGTCTACTGTACCCGCTGTCGAGCTTTCAGGTACTTGGTAAACTCCCGGAAAGGTCCACTGTCGCCGTGTGTTGCTGGCACAACGACCGTCTGTGGAGGCTACACCCAGCAGCAGTACAACAGCAAGAACAGCAACATCAGTCGTTGCAGCTATCAGCACTTCCGCACCTCACGATCGACAAGTAACCGCCAACAGGATCGTACATGCTGTCGACAGGTCGCAATCATCTTGTCCACTTCCGCGTAGTCCATGCGCTTGACCACGTCCACTGCATTCAGTCTATCGAGTAACCATAACCCATTGGCTCAGAGACTTGACAAGTCTCTCTTCTTCCAGCGTCTTGCTGAATAGCAGCGCTCTTTTCCACTCACCGAAGCGCTTCCAGTGTCGGTGCATCTACTGTCCGGTACAGCTGCTGTGACTGATCGACATCCGTTGTGCCTATACAGTCAAAAAGGTACTTGGACGACTTGTATACAGTGAACGACACGACCATGCTGGTCTTGTCAAGAAACGTATAGTAAGTCAACACGTCCTTTGCTCTCTCGCTCTCGAGACGAGGGTTACATGAATGTACCCCCATCAACCTCGATTGTCGAGGCGATTCTTTTCAACCAATGGCATCGTCTCCCGCAATAAAAAAGGACGTCAATCTTGAAAAAGGAACAATGGCAACAGTGCCGCGAATCGAGCGGCTGCATCCGGACGTCGTGAACCGCATTGCGGCAGGAGAAGTGGTCCATCGACCCTCTAACGCACTGAAGGAGCTGCTGGAAAATGCACTGGATGCAGGAGCGACCCATGTGGCTGTAACTGTGAGTCATGGCGGTCTGAAACTGCTTCAGATTCAAGACAATGGACGAGGCATCCAGCGCCAGGACTTGGCGATTGTATGCGAGCGCTTTACGACCAGTAAGCTCCAGAATTTTGAAGACCTGAGAGAGATCAGGAGTTTTGGATTCAGAGGTGAAGCGCTCGCTAGTATTTCGCACGTAGCTCATGTCACGATCACGTCTCGGACGGCCGACCAGCCGTGCGCCTACAAGTATGTGGAAATGCAGTCGATGTTGACATTGTATGAATGATACTATCGTTTCCATGCGCTAATTGCTGTTGTTGTTGTTGCAGAGCTTCGTACCGGGATGGAAAGTTGGTAGCAAAGCAGCCTGGAGAGTCAAAGGATCCCAAGCCTTGTGCAGGAAGGACTGGCACGCAGATTGTGGTGGGTGTGTAAATGTTTGCAATACTCTGTTCGATGACGAATAATGCTAAAATCATAGATGCATGTGTCGTGTAGGTCGAAGACTTGTTTTATAATTTGACTACGAGGAAACAAGCGCTCAAAAACGCGTCGGAGCAGTATTCTCGGATCTTGGATGTGGTGCAGAAGTATGCGATTCACTTCGGAGCAAAAGGGGTGGGATTCGTGTGCAAAAAGGTGCGATTAGTCGATTGCATGCTGCTACCGCTGGCTGGAATCGATTATGATTGTTACGGTATATGGTTGTGGGTGTTTAGCACCGAGAATCGTCGTGCGGTGTAAATACGACGCAATCATCTTCCCAACTAGACGTGATTCGCTCAATCTACGGTAGTAAAATCGCGTGTGAGCTCACATCGTTCGAGCACGCCAGAAGTGCAACTGCTGGAGGCTCGATGGAATTACAACGCGAAGTCCGTGGATACATCAGTAATGTCAACTACCAGTACGTTTCGAGTCACGTACTACCTTTACTGTTGGCTGTTCAACTCCAACCTTTACCACTGGATGTGAGAGTCTGACCGGCCCGTTTACCCGTCCGTGTCGCAGCCTCAGGAAGAGCAGCTTCATTCTCTTTATCAACGATCGTTTGGTTGAGTGCCCGGCATTGAAACGGGCTTGCGAGTACGTCTACTCGCTGTATTTACCGAAGAACACGCACCCGTTTATTTATTTAAGCATGGAACTTCCACCCCGCAACGTCGATGTGAACGTTCATCCAACAAAGCGCGAGGTATGCATACTACATCTGTGCCTGCCAAAACGGAAATAGCAACGATACTTGTCGCTCATGCATCTTACTGATCGCTCTGACGTCTCGTGCGTGCTAGGTGCATTTCCTACACGAGGAAGACATCGTTGACTCAATCAGCCAGGCAATCGAAAAGCGGCTGAAAGGAAGCAATGAAAGTCGGAGCTTTTCCGTTCAGCCGATTACGGCCATGTTGGGAATCTCTTCAGCAAACAGCAGCGGTTCTTCGACCAAGCAATACAGACGAGAAAGTGTCATGGATGAAGAAGAGAAGGCTGATGATGCAAATTCGCGTGCGAAAGCAAGCAAAAAGAACGAGGATGATTGCGAAAATGAAGCCGACTGCTCTGTCGACTCGATCGAGCTTGATCTCAGTCAAAAGCTGACCCCACCTTCTAAAAAGTACCAGCCGGCGCTCGTACGACATGTCGACATGATCTCTATTTGTAGCTTTGGTCACTCACTATCGGGCGGTCATTTGGATGTTGGCGTAGCAGGCACCGCAGCGTTTAGTGCGAACTGATCATCGCTCGAACACGATCGACAAGTACTGTTTTCTCGAATCGCAGAGGTCTCAGTCGTCGCAAGCCTTCCAGTCTGGCTCGCAGTGTGACGCCCGCGATTCGGGAAATGGCAGGGGCGATGATGACCAAGAAGAAAGCAACTCCGCTGCAGCATGGCCATTCAATGTCAGGAAGAGGAAGCTGTCCGAGACCCCATCCAGTCAAGGTGCAGTGTGGCTGGCTTTTTTTTTCGCTTTGCTTGGACGTTTGACTTAGCTCGAACCGTCTGTGAATAGAACCTGAGCACGAAGATGCGCATGATCGCCGCGAGAGCTTGGAGGCCACCCAGACCCCACAAATGCTCTCAAGCATTCAAAATTTGTTGAGCTTGGTGCGCCAAAAGAAGAACAAGGCGCTCGAAAGGGTAAATGTTTTAGCTTGTCGGCGCTGTTTCATCACAAAGGTCTGACCACTGCTCCCGTGCACTAGCTCTTTCGCGAACATAGTTTCGTGGGTGTCGTCGACAAGCAGTATTCGCTCGTGCAGTTCCGCACGAAGCTGTACATCACGCGACATGACGAAATCGCCTTCCACGTGTTCTACCAGCAGGCTTTGCTTCAATTTGGAGCAACGAGACCAATCACTTTGCAGACACCATTTCCAACCTACGACTTGGTGCTCGAGGCACTGAAGAACCCCCGAAACGGGTACGATGAAGAAGATGGTCCAAGAGAACAGCTGGCAGACGAGATCAAGACGTTGCTGATCGCCAATGGGCCCATGCTGTTTGAGTATTTCTCCCTCAATATCGACTCACAGGGCCTATTGAAAACGCTACCACGACTACTTCCCGATCACGAACCGTCACTCCATTCCCTTCCCGAGTTTGTGCTTCACTTGGCTACAGAAGTCAACTGGGAAGAAGAAGAGCTGTGTTTCGAAAGCGTCGCGCAAGTTCTGGCGCGCTGGTACGGCGAGATGCGGTACCCTGGTAACTCGGAGCGAGAGGCTCTCGTGCTGGAGCACGTGCTTTTTCCAGCGACCAAGACGGCTGCATTCTGTCCGCCCAAAGCGCTCAACAACGCGCACTCGATCACTCCCGTGGCCTGCCTCACAAACCTCTACAAGATTTTCGAGCGCTGTTAGTGCTACTTCATGGCTGTCGGTTTCGCACAGAGCCTGCATGTAAACCAAGCCCGAGGTAATTTATGACGCTGCTGATTGGGCCAGCGCAGCCGCTTGCGATTGGCCATAAACAGCGCAGCTGCTTCGTTTCGTGTTCGCAGCGCCATCAAGTGCGATCCAATCGCATCGCGCCGTCATAGTGTGCAATCATTTCCAGACGTGCCCCGCTGTCAGCAGCTTGAAATACACTACGACGCTTCTCCGTCCGTCGTTGCTCCTCACGTAAACGCCCGTACGCTCCCTCCTTCTCCTTCTCCTCCTCCTCCTTCTTCACCCCCTGCTCGCCCCTGTCACTGAAGCATCAAATGAACGGCAGCAACAAGACGCACTCAGTGCATTTTGATCCGTCCGTCCCGTCCTCGGATCCAGACAGCGGCCGGTCGAGCGTCTTTACCGCGTCTGCCCCCTTCCCCAATGCGCCCCCCGCCACAACGTCCGCTGCTTGTGGAGCTCCTTCCCCCGCACGCAATATTGTCGTGCACAAGATCCTGCTGCAGACACTTGGCGAGCACTACGAAGACACGACGCTGGCAGCTGTGCAGAGCTTTGTGACGGGCGTGGACAAATACTGCGCGAGCACTGAGAGCTTGGCGAGTCTGGGGAAATCGCTCTACACGTCGTCAGCGCTGGTCTTTGCAGTGGACGACGTCATGCGCGTGATCTTGTGGAACGATTGCGCTATCAAGCTCAGTGGCTATTCGAGAGAAGAGATGGCAGGACGCAATCTGTTGACGGAAGTACCGGACATTGTGTCCCCTTCTACAGCCAAGATACTCGCTGATGCTCTTGCCCATTGTGTAGCAGGATCACGGAGAGATAGCGTGGTGCTCGAGCTTACTGGTCGAAAACAGTCAAGGATCACGTTGTTAGGGTCGTGCACGCCATTGGTGGGCAATCCTGTTGGAGCAGGAATGCTCGTTTTCGCCCAGGAGTTGACCCATTTACCATTCACATTGATGAAAAAGGAGACTGTTGCAGAGACATCTGTACTATTAGACGAGAAGCAAGGAACATGTACGTTGCATTGATGACGTGGTGGTGAATGATGAAGGACTAAGTGACTCCTGCTTGTATGTTGTGGTGTTTATATAGCTATCGAGACGCAATCAGTTACTCTACCGGGTGCTACAGTGCCTTCTGAGCCGGCTGCCTTGCCGGATGCTGCTACTGTTCCTGCCCTGTCTACATCAGCTGGATCAAATGCGTCGTCGATTCTGGGATGGAGTGAAATTGCACCAAACTATTCGATCGAGTGTGTGCTTGGTCAGGGAAGCTACGGACAAGTAGTGCGATGCAAACACCTTCCGACGGGAGAGATTGTGGCCATCAAGAAGATTCAGAATGTGTTTTCGGACCCGATTGATGCCAAGCGTATTTTGCGCGAGTTGTGCATTGTGCGTCAACTGCGACACCCAAACATTGTGCAGATTCGAGAGATTATCGTGCCGCTTGACCTAGACCGTTTTCAGGACCTCTTTGTTGTGTTCGAGTACTTGCCGTCCGATCTGGAAAAGTTGCTGCATTCGCCGCAATTTCTTACAGCTGAGCACTTGCGGTGGTTGCTGTTGGATTTGCTGAAGGCACTGAAGTACATGCACTCCGCGGAGATTGTGCACCGTGACCTGAAGCCGGCCAACGTGCTGTTGAACCTCTCGCCCGTAGCCATTAAGATTTGTGACTTTGGCCTGGCACGCGGCCTTTCTTCGTCAACGTCTACTGCAGGGCGTAAGCGAAAGCGACTTGGTGATGGTGCAACCCCGGACGAGAGTACGCTACAAGGCGTTGGCGTGCATCCGCGCACGCCTGCTCGACGCATCCAGCGTCAACTTACAGAGCACGTGGTCACACGCTGGTACCGTGCACCTGAGATTATTTTCCGCGACCACGATTACTCAGCCGCTATCGATGTTTGGTCGGTACGTACTCATTATTTGTTTCACAAAATAGAAGTGGCTGGTTCAACAGGAGAGCTTACGTGTGAGTGGTGCTTGTATGGTGTTGTATGTCTAGATCGGATGCATATTTGCGGAGCTATTGAGTATGCAGAAAAGCAGTGTCCCATCACACTACCAGCGCGAACCGCTTTTTCCTGGCGTATCGTGCTTTCCTCTAAGTCCTGGTGCGGGTCAGGTCGCGCTGCCGCAAGATAGTCGTGACCAGTTGAACACGATCTTAGACGTGCTTGGGACGATGGGGGAAGACGACATAGCAGAAATTGCAGATCCTGACGTGCAGTTCTATTTGCGCAGTCTTCCACCTCGACCGAAACGCAACTTGCAGGAGATGTATTCTGGCGCCGAACCAGAGGCAATTGAGTTGCTTACGTGGATGCTCAAAATGAATCCACGCAAGCGTGCAACTTTGGATGAAGCGCTATCGCACAAGTACCTGGCCAGTATTCGCTCGCTTGAGGAGGAGATTGTGGCTCCTGGCACAATTCAGCTTGAGTTTGATGAGAAGAAGATGAATGTTACGGAGATCCGACGACGGATGGTGAATGAGATTCGGTTTTACCACCCCACGGCTGGTACAAATGCAGTGTCGAGCTCTGTTGCACGAGGAGCACAGCCGGATGGCGATGTAGGCAAGATGAAGAAGAAGGCTAAACAAGGTTGATGCAGACTGAGGACGTTTCATTAGAGAAGCGGACACACATTTTGGCAGATTTGTGTACTTCGCTACATGTTCTCGTCGTCCTGCAGCAGTAATATTTACATGTCAGCTCTTCACTTTTTTCCGGGCGCTCTTGCACGAACCACAGCTTCTTGTGAGAAGATGAGCACGCTGTACAGCGCGCACTCGTGAGCTGGTCCCATGCAAAATGATTGATCACCGCTTATGATCGTTCGTGTCTAAACTCAAAACAATCACTTCGCGGTCGAGTCTTTCCGGTTTCGCTAACATCGCAGCCGCTCTGGGTCCGCTATACTCTCGGAAGAGATTGTTGTGCCTGCGATCGGTGTAAGTTTCCACGGTCTCAGCCGTACGTGCTGAATGCTGAATAAGCATTTCATTGTCAAGACCGCTCTTATATCTTGGCATCACTGAATACCGGAACTTGAAGTTTTGCTGAAATCGACTCAACAGTTCTCCCCCCAGCTGGGTAACCCAACCTTCTGCTGTTCCCGCATTTTGTTCGTACTAACTTTGCATGCACTGAAGCAGCGTCCTGTGGCTTAACTATCTCCAGGTATTCACTTGACCCACCCACCGGTTCGTCCAAAGAGGCAGGTGTATTGTTTCCGGAAGGCAGACACTGCAGATACTATAAAGACAAAGCCTAGACGCCTTGTTGCTCGAAGGTGAAAGTGTAAGATGAAATGGCGCTCATAGGTCTACTACTTTTTCTGGAAACAAAAGCAATGGTCGTGAAACAAGGTTTTCCAAGGCAACGAATCGTTTATTCGGATATGGCATGCAACGTCCAATCCACCTTTCGATGTCCACTTCCACGACCTTTGTCTCTACAATTCTGTAAAAAATCTTTCTAGATTATCAGCAAGTGACTAGCATCTGTTTGCCACCGTTTCAAGATGGTACTTACGGGACAGACAGTATGTTATTTGAAACAAAACGCAAAGAGAATGCCGACACAACAACCCAACGAATGCAAATTCTTCACAATGCATCGTGGGGTTCCGTTTCGATGGCAACATGATTCCAAGAAATTTGCCTTTATTTCACGATCGTATCGAATCCGAACATCAGATACATAGCATGTGCGTATGCAGGAAGCGGTAAAACATAACTTGTTACTATTTATCGCCTTGCAGTGGTGCTTGGCTTTCTTACTAACAAGACGCCACACCTCAACTATCGCATCGTATTTTGCATCACAAACCTCATTATCGTCGTATTTGATCCTCGTAAAGATTGCAAAGTAAATCAAATGATTCAGCCCGTTGTGGTAATCCACCGTAGAAAGAGCGTCGCAAGTTACACACCAATATGTTTCACTCTTATTTGATTTGGGATGTTCAAATGCACATGTACGTCAACACTGCCATAAGTGTTGTCACAAATGCGCCTCGGCATGCGTATTCGCACAAGAACCTGTAGCTCAAGTGGTTTGGTGTGGCAGCACCATGCGAGAGGTCACTGGTTCGATATCCAGTGACTGCAACAAAAAGTTAAAACCTTCGGGTACTGGTGTGCCGGGGTTCACCAGCACTGTCCTGCCAGACAGTGACGTCCCCCATCTTAGTAAGTTACGGTGTTTGTTAGAAACACACTATCTGAGTTAGAAACGTACGACGAGACGATTAGTAATGTACGACTAGACGATTACTAACGTAGAGTCAGAAAGAATTCAGTAGGCTTAGAGTAGCAACAGGAGGTTGTGAACTAAGGACCTAAATATATTCACTGTGCATTTTGCAAAACTTCGATCACTTCCTTTAGGTTATGAGCCCAAGCTTCGCAGACTCTGACAAAGACCTCGATCACGCCTTCGCCATGGACTCGTCTCTGTTTACCGCCGCTCGCATTAACAAGTTCTCCGGAACAAACTTCCATGTGTGGAAGTTCAAGATGCAAATGGTGCTGGAGGAGCGAGACCTGTGGGACGTCGTGAGCGGCGAGGTCAAGATCGAGCACTGTACAAGTACTTTGGACCAAGCGACGTTCAAGCGAAAGTCGCGAAAGGCGCTAGCGATAATCTGTCTTGCGATGGAGGATTCGCAGTTGCCACTGGTTCACTCGGCGAAGGACGCGTATGATGCATGGTCAAGTCTGGAAGGACACTACGAGAAGAAAAGCTTGGCTAATAAGCTCTTCCTTCGTCGCCGGTTCTTCACGACAATGATGGGAGAAGGTGATGACGTGCTGGAGCACATCAACAGACTCAAGACTCTGGCGGAGCAATTGGACGCAGTCGGTGCTCCGGTCAGTGAGGACGATTTGGTCATCACGCTTCTGGCCAGCCTTAGCGAGTCGTACCAGTTCCTGATAACAGCATTGGAGTCGAGAGCCGACTCTCTGTCGTGGGAACTAGTGACGTCTCGGCTATTGCATGAAGACATGAAGCGCAAGGAGCAAGGTGATGAAATCGAAGGAGCCGCGCACGGTCAAGCTCAAGCATTCATGTCAAGAGACAACAAGCGCAAGGCTCGACCGGCTAAGAAGACCGGTGCGTGCCACAATTGTGGAAAGCAAGGACATTGGATTGCCGAATGCCCCTCGCGCATCCATGAAGACGCTGATCGACACAGGTACCAGCGTGCAAACATCGCGCAAGAACCGGAGCTTGGCGATTACCTGTTCTCGGTTGGTGGTGGCAAGACCAAGTCGAGTTACATGTGGCTGGTCGATTCAGGGGCGACGCAGCACATGACAAGTTCGAAAGAGTTCATGAGGAACTACAAGGACTTTGGACCAGTAGATGTGCATCTTGCTGATGATGGAGTTGTGCAAGCGATTGGAAAGGGTGACATTGTCATGTCAATGATGACTCGTCAGGGCGTCAAGAAGGGTGTGCTCACAAATGTGTGGCATATCCCAAAGTTATCTCGAAACTTATTTTCCGTTGGAAGATTCATCAAGGACGTGGTGCCTGTCACCTTTGAAGTCGATGGTTGCTTCGCAGAAACGAAGGGTTTCAAGTGGAAACTAGGCGCTCTAGAAGGAAAGGGATTGTTCAAGCTTTTTATGACACCGGTGCTTCCTGACGAGGTCAATGTGGCGAGTCCAATAAACTTCAAAGGAGACAACACTTCCTACCTTTGGCATCTTCGACTTGGCCACATTGGTCATGGTGGTCTAGATGCCATTGTCAAGAAATATTACGGCAGTGGAATCGGCATGAAGTCTGTGCAGAAGTGGGAGTTTTGTAAAGGATGCGCACTTGGCAAACAAACACGTGTGAGCTATATGCCCAAGTCACCCGACCGAGCACGTATGTTGCTGGAGGTCATTCACAGCGATGTGTGTGGCCCCATGAAAACTCCTACCTTCAGTGGAAAACGATACTTTGTGACTTTCATTGACGAATACTCGCACTACTGTGTGGTGTATCTGCTTCAAAACAAGTCTGAAGTAGCGACCAAGTTCGCTCAATTTGTTGCGTTGGCGGAAACCCAAACTGGCAAACGTGTGAAGACTCTTCGAAGCGATAATGGTGGTGAGTACACTTCCAGAACGATGTCCAAGTTCTGTGTGGACCATGGTATCATGCAGAAATTCACGCCGCCTTACACTCCTCAATTGAACGGTGTCGCCGAGCGAATGAATCGGACATTAGTGGAAAGCGCCCGTTGCATGATGGAACATGCTGAGTTATCCAAGTCGTATTGGGGTGAGGCAGTCATGACTGCGAACTTCCTACGTCTTCGCTGTCCAAGTCGTTCAACAAGTCACGACAAGTCACCCTACGAAGTATGGAGTGGTAAGAAACCTATACTTGCAAACCTGAAGGTGTTCGGTTGTCATGCATACGTGCATGTGCCCAAGCCAAAGCGGTCCAAGCTCGATGCAAGATCGATTCAGTGTCGGTTCATTGGATACTCCGACCATGAAAAAGCGTACCGTTTCGAGGAGATCAAGAGTCGTCGTGTACTGGTCAGTCGCGACGCACAGTTCATGGAGAATGTTTTCGACAGTGGGAGACGCGACTATGTGCAAGATGGAGCCGTCGTCGAAGAAGAAGCTTTTATGGAAGATGAGGATGTACCTATGGAGGACTACTCCTCTCATGACACCAGCAACATGAATTTTGAAGAGGCTACAATGGATGGCGTTGATGAACCCGGCGTTAAGAGACACCAACGCACACAGTCACTCGAGGCCTTGGCCAACGCTCCTGATGCGAAACGTCGAGCTCGATACCTTACCATGGCCGAGATGTCTGCGACTGCTGATACCAGTCACTCTGTTGAGACTGCCTACGTCGTGGATTCAGTGGGAGATTTACCAAGGACATTCAAGTCAGCAGTGGAATCCAGCGACGCAGTCAAGTGGAAAGAGGCTTGTGACTCCGAAATAAATTCCCTTCGTCAAAATGAGACCTGGAATCTCGTGCCGCTTCCACAGGGACGCAAGGCAATTGGTAATCGATGGGTATTTCGGGTAAAGGAGACCAAGGATGGAAGAATCGAGCGGTTCAAAGCGCGTTTGGTAGCCAAAGGTTTCTTACAGAAACATGGCATTGACTATGACGAGACCTTCGCTCCTGTGGCCAAGTTCACATCCATCCGAGTTTTACTCAGCTTAGCGGCGAAGTACTCGTTCATGATTCACCATATGGATGTCAAGACAGCATTTCTAAATGGATATCTTGAGGAAGATATTTACATGGCGCAGCCGGATGGATACGTTGATGAAGATCATCCGGACTTTGTTTGCCAGCTAAAGCGCTCTCTATATGGTCTGAAGCAGTCCCCACGGATGTGGAACCAGACCATTGACAAGTTTATGCTGGACTTGGATTTTAAGAAGTGCAAGACCGACCATTGCATTTATTTCAAGCGAGATCAAGAAGACTTGATTTTTGTAGCGCTGTACGTTGACGATTTGGTCCTCGTAAGCAACAACGCCGAACTGATTAGAGCTACAAAGGATGCGCTAAGTGAGCGGTTTGACATGACGGATCTTGGCGACCTCAAGTACTTCCTAGGAGTGGAAGTTAACCAAGATCGTTCAGCTGGTACGATTTCGATTTGTCAGTCCAAATTTGCAAAGGACATCCTTGAGAAATTTGGCATGGATAACAGCAATCCTGTCAGAACTCCACAAGAACCAGGACTCAAGCTGACAAAGTCAATGTGCGTGGATGGGTGCAAGCATGACGAAACGATGGCAAATGTGCCATTTCGCAACGCAGTCGGCTGCTTGATGTACCTTATGGTGGGTACACGCCCAGACCTTGCAGCTGCAGTGGGAGTGCTTAGCCAGTTCTCGGCAGACCCTTGTCCGACCCATTGGCAAGCTCTTAAGCGGGTGTTACGTTACATCCAAGGCACAAGGGAATATGGAATCGAGTATCAAGCAACAAACAATGACAAACTGCACGGCTACTCGGATGCAGACTGGGCCGGAGACGTGGAAGCTCGACGAAGCACAAGCGGGTACACGTTCATATTGAACAACGGGTGTGTAAGCTGGAGAAGTAAGAAACAGAGCACTGTGGCTCTTTCATCTACGGAAGCGGAGTACATGGCTTTGACGGAAGCGGAGTACATGGCTTTGACGGAAGCTGCATAAGAAGCAATTTGGCTGAAGGCACTATTATGTGAGCTCGACGAGATGAGGAGCGATGAAGCTGTCAAGATTTACGAAGACAATCAAGGTTCCATCGCTTTGGCCAAAAATCCCGAATTTCACAAGCGCACAAAACACATTGACATTCGGTATCACTTTGTAAGCGAAAAAGTGGCTGAAGGAACATTGGTGTTGGAATACTGCTCGACCAAGGACATGAAGGCCGACCTGATGACGAAGCCAATTCCTGCAGTACAGTTTCAACATCTACGGAACATGCTGGGTGTCAAGGTGCTAACTTCTGCCGAGGCGAGTGGGAGTGTTGTCACAAATGCGCCTCGGCATGCGTATTCGCACAAGAACCTGTAGCTCAAGTGGTTTGGTGTGGCAGCACCATGCGAGAGGTCACTGGTTCGATATCCAGTGACTGCAACAAAAGTTAAAACCTTCGGGTACTGGTGTGCCGGGGTTCACCAGCACTGTCCTGCCAGACAGTGACGTCCCCCATCTTAGTAAGTTACGGTGTTTGTTAGAAACACACTATCTGAGTTAGAAACGTACGACGAGACGATTAGTAATGTACGACTAGACGATTACTAACGTAGAGTCAGAAAGAATTCAGTAGGCTTAGAGTAGCAACAGGAGGTTGTGAACTAAGGACCTAAATATATTCACTGTGCATTTAGCAAAACTTCGATCACTTCCTTTAGGTTATGAGCCCAAGCTTCGCAGACTCTGACAAAGACCTCGATCACGCCTTCGCCATGGACTCGTCTCTGTTTACCGCCGCTCGCATTAACAAGTTCTCCGGAACAAACTTCCATGTGTGGAAGTTCAAGATGCAAATGGTGCTGGAGGAGCGAGACCTGTGGGACGTCGTGAGCGGCGAGGTCAAGATCGAGCACTGTACAAGTACTTTGGACCAAGCGACTTTCAAGCGAAAGTCGCGAAAGGCGCTAGCGATAATCTGTCTTGCGATGGAGGATTCGCAGTTGCCACTGGTTCGCTCGGCGAAGGACGCGTATGATGCATGGTCAAGTCTGGAAGGACACTACGAGAAGAAAAGCTTGGCTAATAAGCTCTTCCTTCGTCGCCGGTTCTTCACGACAATGATGGGAGAAGGTGATGACGTGCTGGAGCACATCAACAGACTCAAGACTCTGGCGGAGCAATTGGACGCAGTCGGTGCTCCGGTCAGTGAAGATGATTTGATCATCACGCTTTTGGGGAGTCTGAACGAGTCGTACCAGTTCCTGATAACAGCATTGGAGTCGAGAGCCGACTATCTGTCGTGGGAACTAGTGACGTCTCGGCTATTGCATGAAGACATGAAGCGCAAGGAGCAAGGTGGCGGAATCGAAGGAGCCGCGCACGGTCAAGCTCAAGCATTCATGTCAAGAGACAACAAGCGCAAGGCTCGACCGGCTAAGAAGACCGGTGCGTGCCACAATTGTGGAAAGCAAGGACATTGGATTGCCGAATGCCCCTCGCGCATCCATGAAGACGCTGATCGACACAGGTACCAGCGTGCAAACATCGCGCAAGAACCGGAGCTTGGCGATTACCTGTTCTCGGTTGGTGGTGGCAAGACCAAGTCGAGTTACATGTGGCTGGTCGATTCAGGGGCGACGCAGCACATGACAAGTTCGAAAGAGTTCATGAGGAACTACAAGGACTTTGGACCAGTAGATGTGCATCTTGCTGATGATGGAGTTGTGCAAGCGATTGGAAAGGGTGACATTGTCATGTCAATGATGACTCGTCAGGGCGTCAAGAAGGGTGTGCTCACAAATGTGTGGCATATCCCAAAGTTATCTCGAAACTTATTTTCCGTTGGAAGATTCATCAAGGACGTGGAGCCTGTCACCTTTGAAGTCGATGGTTGCTTCGCGGAAACGAAGGGTTTCAAGTGGAAACTAGGCGCTCTAGAAGGAAAGGGATTGTTCAAGCTTTGTATGACACCGGTGCTTCCTGACGAGGTCAATGTGGCGAGTCCAATAAACTTCAAAGGAGACAACACTTCCTACCTCTGGCACCTTCGACTTGGCCACATTGGTCATGGTGGTCTAGACGCCATCGTCAAGAAAGATTACGGCAGTGGAATCGGCATGAAGTCTGTGCAGAAGTGGGAGTTTTGTAAAGGATGCGCACTTGGCAAACAAACACGTGTGAGCTATATGCCCAAGTCACCCGACCGAGCACGTATGTTGCTGGAGGTCATTCACAGCGATGTGTGTGGCCCCATGAAAACTCCTACCTTCAGTGGAAAACGATACTTTGTGACTTTCATTGACGAATACTCGCACTACTGTGTGGTGTATCTGCTTCAAAACAAGTCTGAAGTAGCGACCAAGTTCGCTCAATTTGTTGCGTTGGCGGAAACCCAAACTGGCAAACGTGTGAAGACTCTTCGAAGCGATAATGGTGGTGAGTACACTTCCAGAACGATGTCCAAGTTCTGTGCGGACCATGGTATCATGCAGAAATTCACGCCGCCTTACACTCCTCAATTGAACGGTGTCGCCGAGCGAATGAATCGGACATTAGTGGAAAGCGCTCGTTGCATGATGGAACATGCTGAGTTATCCAAGTCGTATTGGTGTGAGGCAGTCATGACTGCGAACTTCCTACGTCTTCGCTGTCCAAGTCGTTCAACAAGTCACGACAAGTCACCCTACGAAGTATGGAGTGGTAAGAAACCTATACTTGCAAACCTGAAGGTGTTCGGTTGTCATGCATACGTGCATGTGCCCAAGCCAAAGCGGTCCAAGCTCGATGCAAGATCGATTCAGTGTCGGTTCATTGGATACTCCGACCATGAAAAAGCGTACCGTTTCGAGGAGATCAAGAGTCGTCGTGTACTGGTCAGTCGCGACGCACAGTTCATGGAGAATGTTTTCGACAGTGGGAGACGCGACTATGTGCAAGATGGAGCCGTCGTCGAAGAAGAAGCTTTTATGGAAGATGAGGATGTACCTATGGAGGACTACTCCTCTCATGACACCAGCAACATGAATTTTGAAGAGGCTACAATGGATGGCGTTGATGAACCCGGCGTTAAGAGACACCAACGCACACAGTCACTCGAGGCCTTGGCCAACGCTCCTGATGCGAAACGTCGAGCTCGATACCTTACCATGGCCGAGATGTCTGCGACTGCTGATACCAGTCACTCTGTTGAGACTGCCTACGTCGTGGATTCAGTGGGAGATTTACCAAGGACATTCAAGTCAGCAGTGGAATCCAGCGACGCAGTCAAGTGGAAAGAGGCTTGTGACTCCGAAATAAATTCCCTTCGTCAAAATGAGACCTGGAATCTTGTGCCGCTTCCACAGGGACGCAAGGCAATTGGTAATCGATGGGTATTTCGGGTAAAGGAGACCAAGGATGGAAGAATCGAGCGGTTCAAAGCGCGTTTGGTAGCCAAAGGTTTCTTACAGAAACATGGCATTGACTATGACGAGACCTTCGCTCCTGTGGCCAAGTTCACATCCATCCGAGTTTTACTCAGCTTAGCGGCGAAGTACTCGTTCATGATTCACCATATGGATGTCAAGACAGCATTTCTAAATGGACATCTTGAGGAAGATATTTACATGGCGCAGCCGGATGGATACGTTGATGAAGATCATCCGGACTTTGTTTGCCAGCTAAAGCGCTCTCTATATGGTCTGAAGCAGTCCCCACGGATGTGGAACCAGACCATTGACAAGTTTATGCTGGACTTGGATTTTAAGAAGTGCAAGACCGACCATTGCATTTATTTCAAGCGAGATCAAGAAGACTTGATTTTTGTAGCGCTGTACGTTGACGATTTGGTCCTCGTAAGCAACAACGCCGAACTGATTAGAGCTACAAAGGATGCGCTAAGTGAGCGGTTTGACATGACGGATCTTGGCGACCTCAAGTACTTCCTAGGAGTGGAAGTTAACCAAGATCGTTCAGCTGGTACGATTTCGATTTGTCAGTCCAAATTTGCAAAGGACATCCTTGAGAAATTTGGCATGGATAACAGCAATCCTGTCAGAACTCCACAAGAACCAGGACTCAAGCTGACAAAGTCAATGTGCGTGGATGGGTGCAAGCATGACGAAACGATGGCAAATGTGCCATTTCGCAACGCAGTCGGCTGCTTGATGTACCTTATGGTGGGTACACGCCCAGACCTTGCAGCTGCAGTGGGAGTGCTTAGCCAGTTCTCGGCAGACCCTTGTCCGACCCATTGGCAAGCTCTTAAGCGGGTGTTACGTTACATCCAAGGCACAAGGGAATATGGAATCGAGTATCAAGCAACAAACAATGACAAACTGCACGGCTACTCGGATGCAGACTGGGCCGGAGACGTGGAAGCTCGACGAAGCACAAGCGGGTACACGTTCATATTGAACAACGGGTGTGTAAGCTGGAGAAGTAAGAAACAGAGCACTGTGGCTCTTTCATCTACGGAAGCGGAGTACATGGCTTTGACGGAAGCTGCACAAGAAGCAATTTGGCTGAAGGCACTATTATGTGAGCTCGACGAGATGAGGAGCGATGAAGCTGTCAAGATTTACGAAGACAATCAAGGTTCCATCGCTTTGGCCAAAAATCCCGAATTTCACAAGCGCACAAAACACATTGACATTCGGTATCACTTTGTAAGCGAAAAAGTGGCTGAAGGAACATTGGTGTTGGAATACTGCTCGACCAAGGACATGAAGGCCGACCTGATGACGAAGCCAATTCCTGCAGTACAGTTTCAACATCTACGGAACATGCTGGGTGTCAAGGTGCTAACTTCTGCCGAGGCGAGTGGGAGTGTTGTCACAAATGCGCCTCGGCATGCGTATTCGCACAAGAACCTGTAGCTCAAGTGGTTTGGTGTGGCAGCACCATGCGAGAGGTCACTGGTTCGATATCCAGTGACTGCAACAAAAAGTTAAAACCTTCGGGTACTGGTGTGCCGGGGTTCACCAGCACTGTCCTGCCAGACAGTGACGTCCCCCATCTTAGTAAGTTACGGTGTTTGTTAGAAACACACTATCTGAGTTAGAAACGTACGACGAGACGATTAGTAATGTACGACTAGACGATTACTAACGTAGAGTCAGAAAGAATTCAGTAGGCTTAGAGTAGCAACAGGAGGTTGTGAACTAAGGACCTAAATATATTCACTGTGCATTTAGCAAAACTTCGATCACTTCCTTTAGGTTATGAGCCCAAGCTTCGCAGACTCTGACAAAGACCTCGATCACGCCTTCGCCATGGACTCGTCTCTGTTTACCGCCGCTCGCATTAACAAGTTCTCCGGAACAAACTTCCATGTGTGGAAGTTCAAGATGCAAATGGTGCTGGAGGAGCGAGACCTGTGGGACGTCGTGAGCGGCGAGGTCAAGATCGAGCACTGTACAAGTACTTTGGACCAAGCGACTTTCAAGCGAAAGTCGCGAAAGGCGCTAGCGATAATCTGTCTTGCGATGGAGGATTCGCAGTTGCCACTGGTTCGCTCGGCGAAGGACGCGTATGATGCATGGTCAAGTCTGGAAGGACACTACGAGAAGAAAAGCTTGGCTAATAAGCTCTTCCTTCGTCGCCGGTTCTTCACGACAATGATGGGAGAAGGTGATGACGTGCTGGAGCACATCAACAGACTCAAGACTCTGGCGGAGCAATTGGACGCAGTCGGTGCTCCGGTCAGTGAAGATGATTTGATCATCACGCTTCTGGCCAGTCTGAACGAGTCGTACCAGTTCCTGATAACAGCATTGGAGTCGAGAGCCGACTCTCTGTCGTGGGAACTAGTGACATCTCGGCTAATGCATGAAGACATGAAGCGCAAGGAGCAAGGTGGTGGAATCGAAGGAGCCGCGCACGGTCAAGCTCAAGCATTCATGTCAAGAGACAACAAGCGCAAGGCTCGACCGGCTAAGAAGACCGGTGCGTGCCACAATTGTGGAAAGCAAGGACATTGGATTGCCGAATGCCCCTCGCGCATCCATGAAGACGCTGATCGACACAGGTACCAGCGTGCAAACATCGCGCAAGAACCAGAGCTTGGCGATTACCTGTTCTCGGTTGGTGGCGGCAAGACCAAGTCGAGTTACATGTGGCTGGTCGATTCAGGGGCGACGCAGCACATGACAAGTTCGAAAGAGTTCATGAGGAACTACAAGGACTTTGGACCAGTAGATGTGCATCTTGCTGATGATGGAGTTGTGCAAGCGATTGGAAAGGGTGACATTGTCATGCCAATGAGGACTCGTCAAGGGGTCAAGAAGGGTGTGCTCACAAATGTGTGGCATACCCAGAGTTATCTCGAAACTTATTTTCCGTTGGAAGATTCATCAAGGACGTGGAGCCTGTCACCTTTGAAGTCGATGGTTGCTTCGCGGAAACGAAGGGTTTCAAGTGGAAACTAGGCGCTCTAGAAGGAAAGGGATTGTTCAAGCTTTGTATGACACCGGTGTTTCCTGACGAGGTCAATGTGGCGAGTCCAATAAACTTCAAAGGAGACAACACTTCCTACCTCTGGCACCTTCGACTTGGCCACATTGGTCATGGTGGTCTAGACGCCATCGTCAAGAAAGATTACGGCAGTGGAATCGGCATGAAGTCTGTGCAGAAGTGGGAGTTTTGTAAAGGATGCGCACTTGGCAAACAAACACGTGTGAGCTATATGCCCAAGTCACCCGACCGAGCACGTATGTTGCTGGAGGTCATTCACAGCGATGTGTGTGGCCCCATGAAAACTCCTACCTTCAGTGGAAAACGATACTTTGTGACTTTCATTGACGAATACTCGCACTACTGTGTGGTGTATCTGCTTCAAAACAAGTCTGAAGTAGCGACCAAGTTCGCTCAATTTGTTGCGTTGGCGGAAACCCAAACTGGCAAACGTGTGAAGACTCTTCGAAGCGATAATGGTGGTGAGTACACTTCCAGAACGATGTCCAAGTTCTGTGCGGACCATGGTATCATGCAGAAATTCACGCCGCCTTACACTCCTCAATTGAACGGTGTCGCCGAGCGAATGAATCGGACATTAGTGGAAAGCGCTCGTTGCATGATGGAACATGCTGAGTTATCCAAGTCGTATTGGTGTGAGGCAGTCATGACTGCGAACTTCCTACGTCTTCGCTGTCCAAGTCGTTCAACAAGTCACGACAAGTCACCCTACGAAGTATGGAGTGGTAAGAAACCTATACTTGCAAACCTGAAGGTGTTCGGTTGTCATGCATACGTGCATGTGCCCAAGCCAAAGCGGTCCAAGCTCGATGCAAGATCGATTCAGTGTCGGTTCATTGGATACTCCGACCATGAAAAAGCGTACCGTTTCGAGGAGATCAAGAGTCGTCGTGTACTGGTCAGTCGCGACGCACAGTTCATGGAGAATGTTTTCGACAGTGGGAGACGCGACTATGTGCAAGATGGAGCCGTCGTCGAAGAAGAAGCTTTTATGGAAGATGAGGATGTACCTATGGAGGACTACTCCTCTCATGACACCAGCAACATGAATTTTGAAGAGGCTACAATGGATGGCGTTGATGAACCCGGCGTTAAGAGACACCAACGCACACAGTCACTCGAGGCCTTGGCCAACGCTCCTGATGCGAAACGTCGAGCTCGATACCTTACCATGGCCGAGATGTCTGCGACTGCTGATACCAGTCACTCTGTTGAGACTGCCTACGTCGTGGATTCAGTGGGAGATTTACCAGGGACATTCAAGTCAGCAGTGGAATCCAGCGACGCAGTCAAGTGGAAAGAGGCTTGTGACTCCGAAATAAATTCCCTTCGTCAAAATGAGACCTGGAATCTTGTGCCGCTTCCACAGGGACGCAAGGCAATTGGTAATCGATGGGTATTTCGGGTAAAGGAGACCAAGGATGGAAGAATCGAGCGGTTCAAAGCGCGTTTGGTAGCCAAAGGTTTCTTACAGAAACATGGCATTGACTATGACGAGACCTTCGCTCCTGTGGCCAAGTTCACATCCATCCGAGTTTTACTCAGCTTAGCGGCGAAGTACTCGTTCATGATTCACCATATGGATGTCAAGACAGCATTTCTAAATGGACATCTTGAGGAAGATATTTACATGGCGCAGCCGGATGGATACGTTGATGAAGATCATCCGGACTTTGTTTGCCAGCTAAAGCGCTCTCTATATGATCTGAAGCAGTCCCCACGGATGTGGAACCAGACCATTGACAAGTTTATGCTGGACTTGGATTTTAAGAAGTGCAAGACCGACCATTGCATTTATTTCAAGCGAGATCAAGAAGACTTGATTTTTGTAGCGCTGTACGTTGACGATTTGGTCCTCGTAAGCAACAACGCCGAACTGATTAGAGCTACAAAGGATGCGCTAAGTGAGCGGTTTGACATGACGGATCTTGGCGACCTCAAGTACTTCCTAGGAGTGGAAGTTAACCAAGATCGTTCAGCTGGTACGATTTCGATTTGTCAGTCCAAATTTGCAAAGGACATCCTTGAGAAATTTGGCATGGATAACAGCAATCCTGTCAGAACTCCACAAGAACCAGGACTCAAGCTGACAAAGTCAATGTGCGTGGATGGGTGCAAGCATGACGAAACGATGGCAAATGTGCCATTTCGCAACGCAGTCGGCTGCTTGATGTACCTTATGGTGGGTACACGCCCAGACCTTGCAGCTGCAGTGGGAGTGCTTAGCCAGTTCTCGGCAGACCCTTGTCCGACCCATTGGCAAGCTCTTAAGCGGGTGTTACGTTACATCCAAGGCACAAGGGAATATGGAATCGAGTATCAAGCAACAAACAATGACAAACTGCACGGCTACTCGGATGCAGACTGGGCCGGAGACGTGGAAGCTCGACGAAGCACAAGCGGGTACACGTTCATATTGAACAACGGGTGTGTAAGCTGGAGAAGTAAGAAACAGAGCACTGTGGCTCTTTCATCTACGGAAGCGGAGTACATGGCTTTGACGGAAGCGGAGTACATGGCTTTGACGGAAGCTGCACAAGAAGCAATTTGGCTGAAGGCACTATTATGTGAGCTCGACGAGATGAGGAGCGATGAAGCTGTCAAGATTTACGAAGACAATCAAGGTTCCATCGCTTTGGCCAAAAATCCCGAATTTCACAAGCGCACAAAACACATTGACATTCGGTATCACTTTGTAAGCGAAAAAGTGGCTGAAGGAACATTGGTGTTGGAATACTGCTCGACCAAGGACATGAAGGCCGACCTGATGACGAAGCCAATTCCTGCAGTACAGTTTCAACATCTACGGAACATGCTGGGTGTCAAGGTGCTAACTTCTGCCGAGGCGAGTGGGAGTGTTGTCACAAATGCGCCTCGGCATGCGTATTCGCACAAGAACCTGTAGCTCAAGTGGTTTGGTGTGGCAGCACCATGCGAGAGGTCACTGGTTCGATATCCAGTGACTGCAACAAAAAGTTAAAACCTTCGGGTACTGGTGTGCCGGGGTTCACCAGCACTGTCCTGCCAGACAGTGACGTCCCCCATCTTAGTAAGTTACGGTGTTTGTTAGAAACACACTATCTGAGTTAGAAACGTACGACGAGACGATTAGTAATGTACGACTAGACGATTACTAACGTAGAGTCAGAAAGAATTCAGTAGGCTTAGAGTAGCAACAGGAGGTTGTGAACTAAGGACCCAAATATATTCACTGTGCATTTAGCAAAACTTCGATCACTTCCTTTAGGTTATGAGCCCAAGCTTCGCAGACTCTGACAAAGACCTCGATCACGCCTTCGCCATGGACTCGTCTCTGTTTACCGCCGCTCGCATTAACAAGTTCTCCGGAACAAACTTCCATGTGTGGAAGTTCAAGATGCAAATGGTGCTGGAGGAGCGAGACCTGTGGGACGTCGTGAGCGGCGAGGTCAAGATCGAGCACTGTACAAGTACTTTGGACCAAGCGACTTTCAAGCGAAAGTCGCGAAAGGCGCTAGCGATAATCTGTCTTGCGATGGAGGATTCGCAGTTGCCACTGGTTCGCTCGGCGAAGGACGCGTATGATGCATGGTCAAGTCTGGAAGGACACTACGAGAAGAAAAGCTTGGCTAATAAGCTCTTCCTTCGTCGCCGGTTCTTCACGACAATGATGGGAGAAGGTGATGACGTGCTGGAGCACATCAACAGACTCAAGACTCTGGCGGAGCAATTGGACGCAGTCGGTGCTCCGGTCAGTGAGGACGATTTGGTCATCACGCTTCTGGCCAGCCTTAGCGAGTCGTACCAGTTCCTGATAACAGCATTGGAGTCGAGAGCCGACTCTCTGTCGTGGGAACTAGTGACATCTCGGCTAATGCATGAAGACATGAAGCGCAACGAGCAATGTGGTGGAATCAAAGGAGCCGCGCACGGGTAAGCTATATATCGTTCATATCAAGAGACAGCAACCGCAAGGCTCGACCGGCTAAGAAGACCGGTGCGTGCCACAATTGTGGAAAGCAAGGACATTGGATTGCCGAATGCCCCTCGCGCATCCATGAAGACGCTGATCGACACAGGTACCAGCGTGCAAACATCGCGCAAGAACCAGAGCTTGGCGATTACCTGTTCTCGGTTGGTGGCGGCAAGACCAAGTCGAGTTACATGTGGCTGGTCGATTCAGGGGCGACGCAGCACATGACAAGTTCGAAAGAGTTCATGAGGAACTACAAGGACTTTGGACCAGTAGATGTGCATCTTGCTGATGATGGAGTTGTGCAAGCGATTGGAAAGGGTGACATTGTCATGCCAATGAGGACTCGTCAAGGGGTCAAGAAGGGTGTGCTCACAAATGTGTGGCATACCCAGAGTTATCTCGAAACTTATTTTCCGTTGGAAGATTCATCAAGGACGTGGAGCCTGTCACCTTTGAAGTCGATGGTTGCTTCGCGGAAACGAAGGGTTTCAAGTGGAAACTAGGCGCTCTAGAAGGAAAGGGATTGTTCAAGCTTTGTATGACACCGGAGTTTCCTGACGAGGTCAATGTGGCGAGTCCAATAAACTTCAAAGGAGACAACACTTCCTACCTCTGGCACCTTCGACTTGGCCACATTGGTCATGGTGGTCTAGACGCCATCGTCAAGAAAGATTACGGCAGTGGAATCGGCATGAAGTCTGTGCAGAAGTGGGAGTTTTGTAAAGGATGCGCACTTGGCAAACAAACACGTGTGAGCTATATGCCCAAGTCACCCGACCGAGCACGTATGTTGCTGGAGGTCATTCACAGCGATGTGTGTGGCCCCATGAAAACTCCTACCTTCAGTGGAAAACGATACTTTGTGACTTTCATTGACGAATACTCGCACTACTGTGTGGTGTATCTGCTTCAAAACAAGTCTGAAGTAGCGACCAAGTTCGCTCAATTTGTTGCGTTGGCGGAAACCCAAACTGGCAAACGTGTGAAGACTCTTCGAAGCGATAATGGTGGTGAGTACACTTCCAGAACGATGTCCAAGTTCTGTGCGGACCATGGTATCATGCAGAAATTCACGCCGCCTTACACTCCTCAATTGAACGGTGTCGCCGAGCGAATGAATCGGACATTAGTGGAAAGCGCTCGTTGCATGATGGAACATGCTGAGTTATCCAAGTCGTATTGGTGTGAGGCAGTCATGACTGCGAACTTCCTACGTCTTCGCTGTCCAAGTCGTTCAACAAGTCACGACAAGTCACCCTACGAAGTATGGAGTGGTAAGAAACCTATACTTGCAAACCTGAAGGTGTTCGGTTGTCATGCATACGTGCATGTGCCCAAGCCAAAGCGGTCCAAGCTCGATGCAAGATCGATTCAGTGTCGGTTCATTGGATACTCCGACCATGAAAAAGCGTACCGTTTCGAGGAGATCAAGAGTCGTCGTGTACTGGTCAGTCGCGACGCACAGTTCATGGAGAATGTTTTCGACAGTGGGAGACGCGACTATGTGCAAGATGGAGCCGTCGTCGAAGAAGAAGCTTTTATGGAAGATGAGGATGTACCTATGGAGGACTACTCCTCTCATGACACCAGCAACATGAATTTTGAAGAGGCTACAATGGATGGCGTTGATGAACCCGGCGTTAAGAGACACCAACGCACACAGTCACTCGAGGCCTTGGCCAACGCTCCTGATGCGAAACGTCGAGCTCGATACCTTACCATGGCCGAGATGTCTGCGACTGCTGATACCAGTCACTCTGTTGAGACTGCCTACGTCGTGGATTCAGTGGGAGATTTACCAGGGACATTCAAGTCAGCAGTGGAATCCAGCGACGCAGTCAAGTGGAAAGAGGCTTGTGACTCCGAAATAAATTCCCTTCGTCAAAATGAGACCTGGAATCTTGTGCCGCTTCCACAGGGGCGCAAGGCAATTGGTAATCGATGGGTATTTCGGGTAAAGGAGACCAAGGATGGAAGAATCGAGCGGTTCAAAGCGCGTTTGGTAGCCAAAGGTTTCTTACAGAAACATGGCATTGACTATGACGAGACCTTCGCTCCTGTGGCCAAGTTCACATCCATCCGAGTTTTACTCAGCTTAGCGGCGAAGTACTCGTTCATGATTCACCATATGGATGTCAAGACAGCATTTCTAAATGGACATCTTGAGGAAGATATTTACATGGCGCAGCCGGATGGATACGTTGATGAAGATCATCCGGACTTTGTTTGCCAGCTAAAGCGCTCTCTATATGATCTGAAGCAGTCCCCACGGATGTGGAACCAGACCATTGACAAGTTTATGCTGGACTTGGATTTTAAGAAGTGCAAGACCGACCATTGCATTTATTTCAAGCGAGATCAAGAAGACTTGATTTTTGTAGCGCTGTACTGTAACGGGGTGAATCGTTACATAACAATTTATAAGAAATTGTTAATAGAATATAACTATAAGAGTTATATTCTCAGAATATTGTCATAAGGACAATATTCGGTAGCACTTCCAAGTAGTTCCTAATTGGTTGATATAGGCCATTATATCAACCAACGAAGACGCGCCACGACAGACGCACGCAATGAGTGGTGAGCAGATAACTGATTTACACATTTGTATTTAGACATAGTTAGATGAAGATAAATAGTGATTTATTGCAGACATTAACTATTATAAATACAGTTCTACTTTTTACTCTAACCAAGTACTCGCTTCTCCTTACCGTCTTCCTCTGCACGTACGAGTGTACGTGAAGTTACGAGGCACCGCCTTATTCTGTCATCAGAATAAGTAGCTTGTACTGTCACCAGTACAAGCTTCAGGGTGCCCCGTTACACCTGGTAGCACTTCGTAGTCCGTCCAAGGACCGCGTTCACATCCAACATGAATATGTTGGATGATGAAGATGACCAAAGCTTTCACGCTACGCGTGACGGCTACTCCCATTTGAGCGATGTCGAATGGGATGCGGTTGAACGAATGGGTTCGACCATGGGCATCCATGCTGTTAGCGTCATGCTAGAGGCTCTCAATAGAGATGCCCAACATGCTACTATCGCCAAGTTCATTCAAAATGAACTTGACGCAGAACGCGAGAAAGTAGCCTTGCTTCACCAACAAGGTTCTCAACAAGCAGAGTTGTTGAGAGAACAGGGTGCTCAGCAGTTTGAACTGTTGAGACAGCAGCAGGCTGCTGCTGGCGGGTCGATGCACTCGCGTCGGCCCGAAATCTTGAAGATTGACATCTCAAAGTATAGGGGGGTCGAAGAAGACTCCCTCTTGAGATGGTTCGTCGAATTGGACGACGCTATAAGGGCGCGTCGCATCGACGACGGGGATATGCAAGTTGCATTTGCCCAGTCAAATCTGGCAGGACGTGCCAAGACTTGGGCACTGGGGCTCAAGCTGCACGACCCATATGCGTTTGGGTCGTTGGAAGTCTTCAAGTCGCGGCTCAGACAAACGTTTGAACCGCCTAGAGCTGAGTTCAGAGCTCGAACCGAACTCTTGAAGCTCAAGCAGGGTAAGCGTGATGTGCACGCTTACGCTCAACATATACGACATCTCACGAGTTGTATAAGTTCCAATCCGGTGGATGAACACACGTTGGTTTCGGTGTTCATGCAGGGTCTTGCGGATGGTCCCGTCAAGACTCACCTGTTCCGGCTTGAACTAGATTCACTAGAACAAGCCATTTCAATTGCGGAGCAGGAAGACTTCAGTCTGAGACAGGCTCGCGCCAGTTCGACATCATATCGTCAACCGAGACGATATGACAACGGAGGTCCAGAGCCGATGGAACTCTGTTATGTAGAGAGCGAGAAGGTTCGCTCTACAGGCTACAAGAAGTTGCAGAGATGCAACAGATGTCAAAAGACAGGACACTACGCTTACGAGTGTAGTGCCCCTCGTCCAGTGTCTCGCGACACTGGGCGTAGTGACCGTCCACCCATGAGAAAGGGGCAGGGACGAGGGTCCGCAGTTGGTGCAAAGACGCAACAACGGGATGGACCGTCAAAAAACGGACAGGATCAGTAGGTGCGGAGCACCCTACTGATCCAGCAACGTCAAGAGAATTTGTAGGCCTCTTGATGAAGGTTGCTCCCAACACACAGACATTGTGCGTTGCTGCTCTAGGTAATGAGATCTCACTCATTACCTTGAAACTCGAAGTGACGAATAAGTTGTCCCTTCGAGCTCTAGTCGATTGTGGGGCGTCCAACAATTTTGTGCGACGCCAATCGCTAGAAGATGGTCACTTTAAATTCAGTGAATGTGACACACCTCCTACGAGGATGACGGTACGTCTTGCGACAGGCGCATCCGTAACCGTCATGAAGCGTATAGTGAAGATTCACTATACGCTAGAAGATACCCAATACGACGATGACTTTATCGTATTGGATTTGGATGACAAATTTGATGTCATCCTTGGAATACCGTGGCTCAGAAGGTACGAACCACGGGTAAACTGGCAACATCGGACAGTAACGATGCCTGCCGCTTGTTCATCAGATGGCCATCTGATGAACGTTTTGGAGCGTCCACAAGCGTGTGGATGTACTACGAGTGAGTGCGATGGCCTCACTTGTGGTACGGTCGTTAGTACGACTGCACAAAACCTTAGTGTACCAAACGGTTACACTTCGGAGCAAAGTTCCGGCGGCTGTGAGGAAACACAGGCTGCGCCGAAGGTCCACCACTCGAATAAGTCGGGTGGACTGGGACAAAGATGTATCCCTAGAGGGGAACATCTAGAAGAGAAACAATCGATCGCTCAGGTTAAGCGAAACGATAATCCTAGATCGACTGGAGAGTCTTTCGTAGAGGATCTCGCTGTGGTTGCGCAACCCCAGCTAGAGGAAGTAAAGGGAATAAGTCCCAAGATTACAAATACGGCGGAAATAAGTTCCCCGAAACCCGCGGGAATAAGTCCCCGGGAAGACGAAGGAATAAGTCCTTCGAAGCCTGAGGGAATAAGTCCCCAGGAAATGACAGAGACATTGAATGTCATAGTCAATAACGGATCATGTGTAGGCGCTTATACACTTGATCTGATTGCGCCTCCGAAGTTAACTTCGGAGATCACTCAGTTGCCAACGCTCGAACATAAAAGGTTCTTGCGTGATCTGCGTAGTGGCAAAGTCAAGCAGATCTGCATACTCGTCGCTGACGACGAGTATGTAACCGACATAAGGTCAGCAACAGTGTTTACTGAGAACGAGAGAGTTCTCAGTAGTTCATCTATGGACGAGAGTGTCCTAGATGAAAAGACACGAATTGAGCGATATGAGTCCCAATCATGGGAATCGCTCAAGGAAAATCCTCTCTATGAAGATTTGGTTGAATTCAAGGATGTATTCCCTGAAACTGTTCCGTGCGAATTACCGAAGGATAAAGGTATTCGACACGAAGTCGAGCTTAAACCAGGCTCGAAGTACTGTGTCATGAAGCAGTGGCCACTGCCTCGTGAACAAGTACTTGCGATCGACAAGTTCTTTGCCGATCGTTTAGCAGCGGGCCATGTGAGGGAATCAACTTCCCCACATAGCTCTCCGACCTTCTGTGTGCGAAAAGCAACAGGAGGGTGGCGGATAGTGCACGCGTTTAACAAATTGAACGCTGCAACGGTACCGGCTCAGACGCCGATACCGAGGAAGGACGTAATCATTGATGGTATGTCAAAGAGTACCATCTTTTCGTCCATGGATTTGATGGATGGCTTCTATCAAATCCTAATGCGGGAACGGGATATACCCTATACCGCAGTTAGCACGCCTAGCGGCATGCTCTGGGAATGGCTAGCAATGCCACAAGGGCTCAGTAATGCCCCTGCCACGTTCAACAGATGTGTATCACATCTGTTGAGACCAGTACGAGAGTTCGCGCCGAGTTATTTCGATGACGTATTCATCCATAGTCGAGCTATGGATGGAAAGTCGGACGTTGAGGTTCACAAGTACCACGTCCGACAAGTTCTTACAATCATGCGAAAGCATCAATTGTATGCAAACCTCAAGAAGTGTATATTTGCAGCAAGCGAAATCCCACTTCTTGGGTGCATCGTTGGTAAGAACGGTGTACGTCCTGATCCTGAAAAGATCAAGGCGATCACCGACTGGCCCGTGCCGGTCGATGTCAAAGGTCTTCGAAAATTCCTTGGGCTAGCGGCGTATTTGCATAAGTATTCACGCAATTACGCCGAGATGACTGTACACCTCTCTCGTTTGTTGAAAAAGAACGAGAGGTGGTTATGGAACGCTGAATGTCAACGCTCCTTTGAGGGTATCAAGCAGAGCTTGATACAATCCCCAGTCCTAGCAATAGCCGATCAGGACAGGCCATTTCATGTGGTCTGTGATGCCAGCGATTTCGCAATCGGCTGTGCATTAATGCAGTACGACCTTGAAGGCGTTGAACGCGTCGTCTGCTATCAGTCGCGTCAGCTGCAACCAGCTGAGCGGAACTATCCAGTGCATGACAAGGAACTCCTTGCCATGAAGTATGCACTCGCGAAGTTCAGAGTCTATCTATTAGGAGATAGACCCTTCGTTGTTTACACTGACCATGCGTCCTTACGCACGGCAGTGAACAGCCCGCACCTTTCACAACGAATGGCGCGGTGGTTGTCATTCTTTGCAGAATACAGCTTTACGGTCGAGTACAAACCAGGACGACTTAATGTCGTCGCTGATGCACTCTCACGTCGTCCCGACTTTGAACCAGTCGCGAAACCCAACAGTGAGACAGTCACTGTTGCGGTTATGACGTCCTCAGTTCCATCTACAACGTTGTATGATGATGTGAGGCGGGCATACGCCCAAGATGGTGAGATAGTGAAGTTGTTGTCACATCTCTCCCAACCATCTCGAGAATCGTTGAAACGATTGTCGTCTGCGTATCGATCTGCATCAGATCGATACACTACTCGTAACGGTTTACTGTACTATACAGCCGTTTCTGGTGACACACCACGTGTTGTCATTCCAGATGATATTGATCTGCGTTTGCGGATCATGTTCGAGTATCACGATGCTCCTATAGGAGGACATCGTGGCCGAGAGAAAACATATCTCACGGTAAGTCGAGACTTTTACTGGCCCCGCCAGTATCAGTTTGTGCGAAAGTATGTTCGCGCATGCGAAGTCTGCCAACGAGTGAAGTCAAGTCCTTCACTGCGTGCACCTTTACAGCCTCTACCGGTTCCGGCTGAGTGCTGGGAATCCATCTCAATGGATTTCGTCTTCGGGTTACCCAAAGACGCACGCGGGAATACAGGTATTCTCGTATTTGTTGACAGATTCAGCAAAATGGTACACCTTGTGGCTGTACCAGAGACAATCACGGCAAGTGGCTGTGCTTGTGTCTTTATTGACACCATCTTCCGACTTCATGGGTTGCCCCGTGAACTCGTATCAGACAGAGATCCACGATTCACTGCTGATTTCTGGCGTTCCGTGTTCAAATCACTCGGAACGCGCTTGAAGATGTCAACATCTGATCATCCAGAGTCAGATGGTCAGACGGAACGTGCCAATCGTGTCCTTGAAGAGATACTTCGAGGATACGTACACTCCTTTAAGAGTTGGAGTGAGTTTTTGCCGATGGTAGAGTTTGCCATCAACAACTCGGTGCATGCGTCCACGACACATACACCGTTTTACGTGAATGGCTTGCGCCATCCGCGTGTACCCACCTTACTAGAGTGTAACTCTGGTTTAAGGGGGGAGGGACTCGCGCGAGCAAAAACCGATTTGGTTCACGCTCATCACGCTCTGACGAAGAAGTCATTGCGTTTGATGCCGATATCGATAACATCGATATCGAAGAAGATGATGCCAGTGAGAGTGCGGAAGCCCTCACTGAAGACAATGATCCCAGTGAGAGTGCGGAAGCCCTCACTGAAGAAAAGGTTGTTGTCGCTGCAGTGCGCTCACAGCACACTGAAGCTAACGAGTCATCAGATGAGTTCATACTGGCTCGTGAAACGGTAGTCCGTTTTGTGCAAGACTCCATCGCCGAAGCGGTGGATAAGCAAAAGCAAAACGCTGACAAGAATGGAAGGGCAAACACTCTTTTATTTAATAAAGGTGACTTAGTCCTACTGTCTACGGTCAATCTACCAAAGCATGTAGTGACTAACTTGGGTAGCAGTAAACTACTACCCAAGTACATTGGCCCATTTCGTGTATTGCACCGCCTAGGCAATGCATACACGATCGAGTTACCACGTAAGATGCGAACGCATCCCACGTTTTACGTTGGTCGGCTTAAGCCGTACCATCAGTACGCTGCTTCTTCCGATGAAGAACGCCCTTGCGCTCAAGCATCTCGCAGAGAGCCTTGTGCTCCCGATGGTGGGCATCAACAAGGGTCTGAAGAGCAGTTATCTCAGCCCGAGACCGATCAACAATCCCACGAGCTACCCTTAGCTCGTCACGAAGAGATGTCAGAGATCTCTCGTTCTCAAGCTGAGCAAAGGCAAACTCAGCTCGATGCTTCGAGGCAGTGTCCACCATCTGGAGACGCCTATTCCGCTCATGCTCGAGATCGTCGCGTAACCCTTGCGTTACGCGATCAAAGAAGCTCTCGGGAACACACCGATCCACATGATCGTGTGGAGAGCGTCTTTCCTCCTCCTCCACCTCCATTAGAGGACTCTCGCGGTGGCCAGCGCTATCTAGTAGAGCAGCTGTTGAACCACCGCGACGTGAACGGACGTCGGACGAGTTACCTCGTCCGGTGGCGCGGCTATCCCCCGTCCTGGGATTCTTGGGAGCCCCGCTCCCAATTGATGGTTGACGTACTGGGTCTGGTCGAGCAGTACGACGCGACACATCCTGTGCCGCAGAAGGACCGCCGGAGAAAGTCTTCCCGGCACGGTCGTAAAGGGATTTCAGGTTGTCAATCCCTTCGTACATCTCAGTAGAGACACGTACGCGCCACCACGGGCTGGTAAGGAGGTAAGCCTCCTTAGGTGCTCGTGCAGAGTTGTTCACACAACATGGGCACGAGTCTCCCCAAGAGAGGCAGGGTAATCCTTTCTCCCTTGACAGACGATGCAGCTTGTAGCGTGCACCTGTCGGGGTTCGCTTTTCAAACTTATCACGAGCTTTGATAAGTTTGTCGTTCCAAGCGTCACGACCTACATCCTCGAGATTATGGATGTAGGCGTTCCACGCCTGAAGTAGTGAGGGACCATCACGTTTGTGATTCCCACTGTACCATCGATGTCTGAAGAAAGCATCGATGAAGAACTCATGTTCAGCGCGATAGTCTTTCGCGCTGGGGTCAAGGTGATGGATCCTTGACGAATCGAACAATCGTGTTCGATAACGATCACTCGTCGTCGCCGACAAGTGATCCATGACGGATTTAGGAGGCATCCATGCCTTCTTTTCTGGAGCGAGACGCAACACATTGCGGTCCCGCTCTTCCTGCGACGTGCCGACAGAAGTACTGGCACCTCGCTGTGAAGTGGTGTCCATAGGAGAACCGACACCACTATTAGCGCCCGAGTCTCGCGACCTCGAGCGCCTTCGCTTCGGCGATGGTTCATCTGACTTATCAGATGAACCAAAGATGCTGCGACGCAAAGCATCGTCCATGCCACGCTTGGCAGGCGGCTTGGATTCAATTGCCGTCGATACGGATCCGTCATCCGTATCAGGAGAGTACGAGACACCGAGCTCGTACTCTGTGAAGACACGAGTGTCTTCATGACCAGCGCCTGCATCACCAGGTGATACAGGCTGAGTCGATTCAGCAACCGATGGGACATCAGTTGCTGTAGTTTCTGCTTCGGCGTCCGCACAGAGACGTGCAGACGCGCTCTCGGCGGCCTTGCTCGCGCATCGCATGGGCTTGTTTACCATGCGATGAGATGTTGGAAAGTGGACGCGGACCAACAAGTGCAAACCCCGTCCCAAATGATTTGGGACGAGTATCCATTTAGTCAATCAGTCACTTTAGTGACTGATGGTTAAGGGGGGGGTGATGTAACGGGGTGAATCGTTACATAACAATTTATAAGAAATTGTTAATAGAATATAACTATAAGAGTTATATTCTCAGAATATTGTCATAAGGACAATATTCGGTAGCACTTCCAAGTAGTTCCTAATTGGTTGATATAGGCCATCATATCAACCAACGAAGACGCGCCACGACAGACGCACGCAATGAGTGGTGAGCAGATAACTGATTTACACATTTGTATTCCGACATAGTTAGATGAAGATAAATAGTGATTTATTGCAGACATTAACTATTATAAATACAGTTCTACTTTTTACTCTAACCGAGTACTCGCTTCTTCTTACCGTCTTCCTCTGCACGTACGAGTGTACGTGAAGTTACGAGGCACCGCCTTATTCTGTTATCAGAATAAGTAGCTTGTACTGTCACCAGTACAAGCTTCAGGGTGCCCCGTTACATGTACGTTGACGATTTGGTCCTCGTAAGCAACAACGCCGAACTGATTAGAGCTACAAAGGATGCGCTAAGTGAGCGGTTTGACATGACGGATCTTGGCGACCTCAAGTACTTCCTAGGAGTGGAAGTTAACCAAGATCGTTCAGCTGGTACGATTTCGATTTGTCAGTCCAAATTTGCAAAGGACATCCTTGAGAAATTTGGCATGGATAACAGCAATCCTGTCAGAACTCCACAAGAACCAGGACTCAAGCTGACAAAGTCAATGTGCGTGGATGGGTGCAAGCATGACGAAACGATGGCAAATGTGCCATTTCGCAACGCAGTCGGCTGCTTGATGTACCTTATGGTGGGTACACGCCCAGACCTTGCAGCTGCAGTGGGAGTGCTTAGCCAGTTCTCGGCAGACCCTTGTCCGACCCATTGGCAAGCTCTTAAGCGGGTGTTACGTTACATCCAAGGCACAAGGGAATATGGAATCGAGTATCAAGCAACAAACAATGACAAACTGCACGGCTACTCGGATGCAGACTGGGCCGGAGACGTGGAAGCTCGACGAAGCACAAGCGGGTACACGTTCATATTGAACAACGGGTGTGTAAGCTGGAGAAGTAAGAAACAGAGCACTGTGGCTCTTTCATCTACGGAAGCGGAGTACATGGCTTTGAAGGAAGCGGAGTACATGGCTTTGACGGAAGCTGCACAAGAAGCAATTTGGCTGAAGGCACTATTATGTGAGCTCGACGAGATGAGGAGCGATGAAGCTGTCAAGATTTACGAAGACAATCAAGGTTCCATCGCTTTGGCCAAAAATCCCGAATTTCACAAGCGCACAAAACACATTGACATTCGGTATCACTTTGTACGCGAAAAAGTGGCTGAAGGAACATCGGTGTTGGAATACTGCTCGACCAAGGACATGAAGGCCGACCTGATGACGAAGCCAATTCCTGCAGTACAGTTTCAACATCTACGGAACATGCTGGGTGTCAAGGTGCTAACTTCTGCCGAGGCGAGTGGGAGTGTTGTCACAAATGCGCCTCGGCATGCGTATTCGCACAAGAACCTGTAGCTCAAGTGGTTTGGTGTGGCAGCACCATGCGAGAGGTCACTGGTTCGATATCCAGTGACTGCAACAAAAAGTTAAAACCTTCGGGTACTGGTGTGCCGGGGTTCACCAGCACTGTCCTGCCAGACAGTGACGTCCCCCATCTTAGTAAGTTACGGTGTTTGTTAGAAACACACTATCTGAGTTAGAAACGTACGACGAGACGATTAGTAATGTACGACTAGACGATTACTAACGTAGAGTCAGAAAGAATTCAGTAGGCTTAGAGTAGCAACAATAGGTTGTGAACTAAGGACCTAAATATATTCACTGTGCATTTTGCAAAACTTCGATCACTTCCTTTATTAAGCGTTTTAAACGGTACTGCAACTTGACAAACTAAATATGCATATGGTGCCCGTATCTCCTCGTCCCATATGTCGTCTTGCCACATGACCCCTCTTGTAACGGGGTGAATCGTTACATAACAATTTATAAGAAATTGTTAATAGAATATAACTATAAGAGTTATATTCTCAGAATATTGTCATAAGGACGAAAATTCTGTAGCACTTACGAGTAGTTCCTAATTGGTTGATATAGGCCATCATATCAACCAACGAAGACGCGCCACGACAGACGCACGCTATGAGTGGTGAGCAGATAGTTGATATACACATTTGTATTTAGACATAGTTAAATGAAGATAAATAGTGATTTATTGCAGACATTAACTATGATAAATACAGTTCTACTTCTTACTTTAACCAAGTAATCGCTTCTTCTTACCTTCTTCCTCTGCACGTACGAGTGTACGTGAAGTTCCGAGGCACCGCCTTATTCTGTCATCAGAATAAGTAGCTTGTACTGTCATCAGTATAAGCTTCAGGGTGCCCCGTTACACCTGGTAGCACTTTGTAGTCCGTCCAAGGACCACGTTCACATCTAACATGAATATGTTAGATGATGAAGATGACCAAAGCTTTCACGCTACGCGTGACGGCTACTCCCATTTGAGCGATGTCGAATGGGATGCGGTTGAACGGATGGGTTCAACCATGGGCATCCATGCTGTTAGCGTCATGCTAGAGGCTCTCAATAGAGATGCCCAACATGCTACTATCGCCAAGTTCATTCAAAATGAACTTGACGCCGAACGCGAGAAAGTAGCCTTGCTTCACCAACAAGGTTCTCAACAAGCAGAGTTGTTGAGAGAACGGGGTGCTCAACAGTTTGAACTGTTGAGACAGCAGCAGGCTGCTGCTGGTGGGTCGATGCACTCGCGTCGACCCGAAATCTTGAAGATTGACATCTCCAAGTATAGGGGAGTCAAAGAGGACTCCCTCTTTAGATGGTTCGAAGAATTGGATGACGCCATAAGTGCGCGTCGCATCGACGACGGGGATATGCAAGTTGCATTTGCCCAGTCAAATCTGGCAGGACGTGCCAAGACTTGGGCTTTGGGACTCAAGTTGCACGACCCATATGCGTTTGGGTCGTTGGAAGTCTTCAAGTCGCGGCTCAGACAAACGTTTGAACCGCCTAGAGCTGAGTTCAGAGCTCGAACCGAACTCTTGAAGCTCAAACAGGGTAAGCGTGATGTGCACGCTTACGCGCAACATATACGACATCTCACGAGTTGTATAAGTTCCAACCCGGTGGATGAACACACGTTGGTTTCGGTGTTCATGCAGGGTCTTGCGGATGGTCCCGTCAAGACTCACGTGTTCCGGCTTGAACTAGATTCACTAGAACAAGCCATTTCCATTGCGGAGCAGGAAGACTTCAGTCTGAGACAGGCTCGCGCCAGTTCGACATCATATCGTCAACCGAGACGATAGGACAACGGAGGTCCAGAGCCGATGGAACTCTGTTATGTAGAGAGCGAGAAGGCTCTCTCTACAGACTACAAGAAGTTGCAGAAATGCAACAGATGTCAAAATACAGGACACTACGCTTACGAGTGTAGTGCCCCTCGTCCAGTGTCTCGCAACACTGGGCGTAGTGACCGTCCACCCATGAGAAAGGGGCGGGGACGTGGGTCCGCTGCTGGTGCAAAGACGCAACAACGGGATGGACCGTAAAAAAACGGACAGGATCAGTAGGTGCGGAGCACCCTACTGGTCCAGCAACGTCAAGAGAATTTGTAGGTCTCTTGGTGAAGGTTGCTCCCAACACACAAACGTTGTGCGTTGCTGCTCTAGGTAATGAGATCTTACTCATTACCTTGAAACTCGAAGTGACGAATAAGTTGTCCCTTCGAGCTCTAGTCAATTGTGGGGCGTCCACCAATTTTGTGCAACGCCAATCGCTAGAAGATGGTCACTTTAAATTCAGTGAATGTGACACACCTCCTACGAGGATGACGGTACGTCTTGCGACAGGCGCATCCGTAACCGTCATGAAGCGTATAGTGAAGATTCACTATACGCTAGAAGATACCCAATACGACGATGACTTTATCGTATTGGATTTGGATGACAAATTTGATGTCATCCTTGGAATACCGTGGCTCAGAAGGTACGAACCACGGGTAAACTGGCAACATCGAACAGTAACGATGCCAGCCGCTTGTTCATCAGATGGCCATCTGATGAACGTTTTGAAGCGTCCACAAGCGTGTGGATGTACTACGAGTGAGTGCGATGGCCTCACTTGTGGTAAGGTCGTTAGTACGACTGCACAAAACCTTAGTGTAACAAACGGTTACACTTTGGAGCAAGATTCCGGCGGCTGTGAGGAAATACAGGCTGCGCCGAAGGTCCACCACTCGAATAAGTCGAGTGGACCGGGACAAAGATGTGTCCCTAGCGGGGAACATCTAGAAGAGAAACGATCGATCGCTCAGGTTAAGCGAAACGATAATCCTAGATCGACTGGAGAGTCTTTCGTAGAGGATCTCGCTGTGGTTGCGCAACCCCAGCTAGAGGAAGTTAAGGGAATAAGTCCCGATATTACAAATACGGCGGAAATAAATCCCCCGAAACCCGCGGGAATAAGTCCCCGGGAAGCCGAAGGAGTAAGTCCTTCGAGGCCTGAGGGAATAAGTCCCCAGGAAATGACAGACATTGAATGTCATAGTCAATGATGGATCAAGTGTAGGCGCTTACACACTTGATCTGATTGCGCCTCCGAAGTTGACTTCGGAGATCACTCAGTTGCCAACGCTCGAACATAAAAGGTTCTTGCGTGATCTGTATAGTCGCAAAGTCAAGCAGATCTGCGTACTCATCGCTGACGACGAGTGTGTAGCCAACATAAGGTCAGCAACAATGTTTAGTGAGAACGAGAGAGTTCTCAGTAGTTCATCTATGGACGAGAGTGTCCTAGATGAAAAGACACGAATTGAGCGATATGACTCCCAATCGTGGGAATCGCTCAAGACAAATCCTCTCTATGAAGATTTGGTTGAATTCGAGGATGTATTCCCTGAAACTGTTCCGTGCGAATTACCGAAGGATAAAGGTACTCGACACGAGGTCGAGCTTAAACCAGGCTCGAAGTACTGTGTCATGAAGCAGTGGCCACTGCCTCGTGAACAAGTACTTGCTATCGACAAGTTTTGCCGATCGTTTGGCTGCGGGCCATGTGAGGGAACCAACTTCCCCACATAGCTCTCCGACCTTCTGTGTGCGAAAAGCAACAGGAGGGTGGCGGATAGTGCATGCATTTAACAAATTGAATGCTGCAACGGTACCGGCTCAGACGCCGATACCGAGGAAGGACGTAATCATTGATGGTATGTCGAAGAGTACCATCTTTTCGTCCATGGATTTGATGGATGGCTTCTATCAAATCCTTATGCGAGAACGAGATATACCCTATACCGCAGTTAGCACGCCTAGCGGCATGCTTCGAGAATGGCTAGCAATGCCACAAGGGCTTAGTAATGCCCCTGTCACGTTCAACAGATGTGTATCACATCTGTTGAGACCAGTGCGAGACTTCGCACCGAGTTATTTCGATGACGTATTCATCCATAGTCGGGCTATGGATGGAAAGTCGGACGTTGAGGTTTACAGATACCACGTCCGACAGGTTCTTAATGCGAAAGCATCAATTGTATGCAAACCTCAAGAAGTGTATATTTGCAGCAAGCGAAATACCACTTCTTGGGTGCATCGTTGGTAAGAACGGTGTACGTCCTGATCCCGAAAAGATCAAGGCGATCACCGACTTACCTGTGCCGGTTGATGTCAAAGGTCTTCGAAAATTCCTTGGGCTAGCAGCGTATTTGCATAAGTATTCACGCAATTACGCCGAGATGACTGTACACCTCTCTCGTTTGCTGAAAAAGAACGAGAGGTGGTTATGGAACGCTGAATGTCAGCGCTCCTTTGATGGTATCAAGCAGAGCTTGATACAATCCCCAGTCCTAGCAATAGCCGATCAGGACAGGCCATTTCATGTGGTCTGTGATGCCAGCGATTTCGCAATCGGCTGTGCATTAATGCAGTACGACCTTGAAGGCGTTGAACGCGTCGTCTGCTATCAGTCGCGTCAGCTGCAACCAGCTGAGCGGAACTATCCAGTGCATGACAAGGAACTCCTTGCCATGGAGTATGCACTCGCGAAGTTCAGAGTCTATCTATTAGGAGATAGACCCTTCGTTGTTTACACTGACCATGCGTCATTACGCACGGCAGTGAACAGCCCGCACCTTTCACAACTGATGGCGCGGTGGTTGTCATTCTTTGCGGAATACAACTTTACGGTCGAGTACAAACCAGGACGACTTAATTTCGTTGCTGATGCACTCTCACGTCGTCCCGACTTTGAACCAGTCGTGAAACCCAAGAGTGAGACAGCCACTGTTGCGGTTATGACGTCCTCAGTCCCATCTACAACGTTGTATGATGATGTGAGGCGGGCGTATGCCCAAGATGGTGAGATTGTGAAAGTTGTTGACACATCTCTCACAGCCATCTCGAGAATCGTTGAAACGATTGTCGTCTGCGTATCGATCTGCATCAGATCGATACACTACTCGTAACGGTTTACTGTATTATACAGCCGTTTCTGGT